GACTGAAATCGGTCCAGTGGTTCTCTAGATGTTAAAAGTTTATATGACACCAGCCAAGTAACATATAGCAATAGGTCTGAGAGTGACTTAGGTGACCAAAAAATGTTACCATACTACACCGTAGGAAGAATGAAATTAACGCAGGGAATTCTTGTGGAAACAAGAGGCCCAAGGGCCTTAACGGTCACCTGAGTATAATACAACAATTTAGAGGATCCATAGAGTATAAAATGAACTGAAAGGTGAAGCTTTGTTGCCCAAAAGCGAGAAAAATAGGGTGATCAGGATCAACAAAATAATTAATCTAGTTTTCATTGACAGTTTATAAATTAGGTTCTAATCTGTTCCCCATTTATCACTTTCACTATACAGTATATTAAAAACCTATCAGTGCTTCTGTACTATTTTAATTTCTTGTTGAAATCTTTTACTTTTGCCTCTCTTGGTCTTTAATGAACATTTAATAAGACAAGTTATTTTTGCTCCATTTTTATTTATCTATTACTTACAACTCTACCTGATCATTAAAATTATGAAAATACTTTTGTATTATACAATAAAAATTCTTGCATAATTCTCTTATATATTCTATTAACCTTTCAATTACATTGTTTACAGTGATTAATTATCAGACGTAAACAGCAAAGGAGAATAACTCCTCTCAGTAGAATACAAATTAATAGAACCCTAACCAGGACCAGAACACTTGACCAAATTGTCCAGATGTTAAAATATCTGGTAAAAATACCCTTCCTTAATAAAACTTTTAATCTTTTTGCCTCTGATATGCCCAAGTGCAGAGAAAATTTTTAAAGAAATAATGCATTTTTACTACAGATTCATTATATTATCAATAGAGCCCCCCCCCCCCCCCCCACACACACACACACACCCCACACACACACACACTGAGAAACACTAGAGTCTCTCACCCTGGGACCAGAAGTTTGCTCATCATAAGTAATCACTTTGTTTATCTGCTTAACACTAAGGAGCAGACAGGATTATTTAATAGAATTAATGCATTTTCACTATATTATCAAGAGCCCCACCCTTACACCAGCACATCTGACCCGGGGTCATGCAATTCACTACTCTGGAAGAAGCACTCTTGCTCATCATAAATATATATTTAGCTTCTTTGCTTTTTAACCAGAAGCAGAAAAGAATATTTTCAAAGAAATTTTGCTTTTTCACTATATAATCAATAGAGCCCCCCCCCCCAACCTTTTCACTAGAACCCTTGACCCTGGGGCCATGAAATTCACAATTTTGGAAGAGGCATCCTTACGTATCATAACAATGTACTTAGTTTGTTTAAATAGTACCCAGGGGCAGAGAAGAATATTTTCAAAGAAAAAAATTCACCTTCACTATAGGATCTATATAGCCCCACCCTAGAACCCCTGTCCCTGGGGCCATAAATTTCAAAATTTTGGAAGAGGCATCATTGCTTATCATAACTATGTACTTAGTTTGTTTCAAAAATACCCAGGAGCAGAGAAGAAAATTTTTAAAGCATTAATGCATTTTCACTATATAATAAATAGAGCCCGGCCCTAACATCAGAACCCCTGATCCAGGGGTCATGAAAATCACTTTTTTGGAAGAGTCAACCTTGCTTATCATAACTATGAATTTATTTTGTTTCAATAATACCCAGGAGTAGAGAGGAAGATTTTCAAAGAAATGATGCACTTTCACTATATGATCTATATAGCCCTGCCCTAGCACCAAAACCCCTCACCCTAGGGCCATGAATTTCACAATTTTGGTAGAGTCACTCTTGCTTAACATAACTATATATTCAATATGTTTCAATAATATTCAGGAGTAGAGAAGAAGATTTTCAAAGAAATAATGCACTTTCACTATATGATCTATATAGCCCCCCCCCCCCCCCCCAGCAACAGAACCCCTGACCCTGGGGCTATGAATTTCACAATTTTGGTAGTCACTCTTGCTTATCATAACTATGTATTTAATTTGTTTCAATAATACCCAGGAGTAGAGAAGAAGATTTTCAAAGAAATAATGCACTTTCACTATATGATCTGTATAGCCCTGCCCTAGCACCTGAACCCCTGACCCTGGGGCCATGAATTTCACAATTTTGGTAGAGTCACCCTTGCTTATCATAACTATGTATTCAATTTGTTTCAATAATACCCAGGAGTAGAGGAGAAGATTTTCAAAGTAATAATGCACTTTCACTATATGATCTGTATAGCCCTGCCCTAGCACCAGAACCCCTGTCCCTGGGGCCATGAATTTCACAATTTTGGTAGAGTCACTCTTGCTTATCATAACTATGTATTCAATTTATTTCAATAATACCCAGGAGTAGAGAAGAAGATTTTCAAAGTAATAATGCACTTTCACTATATGATCTATATAGCCCCGCCCTAGCACCAGAACCCCTGACCCTGGGGCCATGAATTTCACAATTTTGGTAGAGTCACCCTTGCTTATCGTAACTATGTATTCAATTTGTTTCAATAATACCTGGGAGTAGAGAAGAAAAATTTCAAAGAAATAATGCACTTTCAATATATGATCTATAATATAGTGAAAGTGCATTATTTCTTTGAAAATCTTCTTCAAGAGTGCTTTTTCCTGAGTAGTGAACTGCATGACCCCTGGGTCAGATGTGCTGGTGAAAGAGTGGGGCTCTTGATAATATAGTGAAAATGCATTAATTCTATTAAATAATCCTGTCTGCTCCTTAGTGTTAAGCAGATAAACAAAGTGATTACTTATGATGAGCAAACTTCTGGTCCCAGGGTCAGAGGCTCTGGTGTTTCTTGGGGGGGGGGGGGGGGGCTCTATTGATAATATAGTGAATCTGTAGTAAAAATGCATTATTTCTTTAAAAATTTTCTCTGCACCTGGGCATATCAGAGGCAAAAAGAGTGAAAGTTTTAACAAGGAAGGGTATTTTTTACCAGATTTTTGAACATCTGGACCATTTGGTCAAGTGTTCTGGTCCTTGCCTGTGCTCTGTTCATTTGTATTCTACTGAGAGGAGTTATTCCCCTTGCCATTTACTTTTGATGATTAATCACTGTAAATAATGTACTTGAAAGGTTAATAGAATAAGAGAATTATGCAAGAATTCTTATTGTATAATACAACAAGAGGCCCATGGGCCACATCACTCACCTGAGCGCATTGGCTGGGCAAAAGCACAAATCAGTTCAGTATTGAAAAGATTCCTGGGAAGGGGGGGGGGGGGGGGGCTTGAATTTTAAACTACCTGATGATGCTTCCATGTCAATATAACAAATGGCTTTGTTGTTCTTGAGTAGATTTTAAAAAAAATTTCCCATATATTCCTTTGTAAAAATTTGATCCCCCATTGTGGTTCCTCCCTATCCCAGGGGTCATCATTTGAACTTGAATCTACACTACCTGAGGATGCTTCCATATCAGTATGACTAAACATAGCTTTCCTGTTCTTGGGAAGAAAATATTTTTTCTATATGTTTCCATATCAAAATGACTAATCATGGTTTGCAGTTCTTCAGAAGATATTTTCCTTTACATTTCTATTTAAAACTTTGATCCTCCATTGTGGCCCCATCCTACCCATGGGGGCCATGATTTGAATAAAATAGAATCTACACTACCTGAGGATGCTTCCACATAATAATACATCAATCAGGGCTTTGCTGTTCCTGAGAAGAAGATTTTTAAAATTTTTCCTATATATTTCTATGTAAAACTTTGATCCTTCATTGTGGCCCCACCCTACCCCCGGGGGTCATGATTTGAATAAATTTGAATCTACACTACCTGTGGATGCTTCCATATAAATATATACCATCTGGGCTTTGCTGTTCCTGAGAAGAAGATTTTTCCTATATATTTCTATGTACAACTTTGATAGTCCATTGTGGCCCTGCCCTACCCCCTGGGGTCATGATTTGAACAAATTTGAATCTACACTACCTGAGGATGCTTCCATATAAATATGGCTCATCATGGCTTTGCTGTTCTTGAGAAGAAGATTTTTAAAGATTTTTCCTATATATTTCTATGTAAAACTTTGATCCTCCATTGTGGCCCTGCCCTACCCCCGGGGGTCATGATTTGAACAAACTTGAATCTACACTACCTGAGGATGCTTCCACATGAGTTTCATCTTTCCTGGCCCTACGGTTCTTGAGAAGAAGATTTTTAAATGATGCCATTATTTTTTCACTAAACCCTAATTATCTCCCCTTGAAAGAGGGCGTGGCCCTTCATTTGAACAAACTTGAATCCCCTTTACCCAAGGATACTTTGTGGCAAGTTTGGTAGAAATTGGCCCAGTGGTTCTTGAGAAGAAGTCGAAAATGTGAAAAGTTTACAGACAGACAGACAGACGGACGCCGGACAAAATGTGATCAGAAAAGCTCACTTGAGCTTTCAGCTCAGGTGAGCTAAAAAGTACTTTCATAGTTCTAATGATCAGGTAGACTTTTAATTAATAGATAAATAAAAATGAGACAGAAATAACTTGTTTTAATAAGTGTTCATTAAAGACCAAGAGAGGCCAATGCAAGACATTTCCACAAGGAATTTAAATAGTACAGAGGCACTGATAGTTTGTTAATATAGAGTATGCAGATAGTGATAAATGGGGAACAGATTTGAACCTAATTTATGAACTGTTTATGAATACTACACTAATTATTTTGTTGATCCCGATCACCCTATTTTTCTTGCTTTTGGGCAACAAAGTTTCACCTTTCAGTTCTTTTTATACTCGAGGGATCCTCTAAATTGTTGTATTATACTCAGGTGACTGTTCAGGCCCTTTGGCCTCTTGTTTAAATATGGCCGCATTTTGGGAAGAAAATTTCCCCTCTGATCATCTACTGCAAAAATGTGTACTATTTCCACATCATGCTGAGCACATCTTAATCATTTCAATAAAGAAATGTGTGAATCTGTTTAGTCAGTCATCTCGTTTTGTTTTTTTTTTCTTTTTGAAGGTTTTGAAAAAGAAAACACAATTATTAAAACTGAAGTTTTATTTTGAATTGCATGCATTACACAACACATAGTAATATCTTAATGTCAACTATTATAAATAAATTTCCTGAATTATAAAAATTATCTAAAAATGGATAAAAAGTAAGGTAAAGAAAGTACAAACCAAAAATAATTCTACAGACAAATGCAGTGCAATAAAATTAAAAGATAGAAAACTTTCTGCCAGAGATGTTTTCATGAACTTGATAAAATTCAATAAATATATGACCAAAATTAAAATGACTACCTTTGAGGCACTTAAATGATGGAGTATACTAACTGATATGGCATTGTTACAAAAATATAGATCATTTATATTTCTGACAGACCTTGACACATTATCAACAATCCAAAATGGTGGACACGAAGAAAATTTTGCATTGTAAATGGTTGTCAGAAATACAAATATTTTGTTCATATGGTTTGCCTGCTGCTTACATAGATTTTTTTTTGTTTTATAAAAGTGTTCTATTCTAAGGCATATACAAGATGAAAATAAACTATTGGAATGAATTATTTACAACAAGAATAAATTCTGGTCCAGGTGGTTTAGATGATGATTATTTCGGAAATGCCAAATTATTTCAAAGTTCAGCTGCTCAGATTACAACCTTAACATTAAAAAATTCAAGACAATGAACAAAAGTCCCCCTCATCATGCCAAATAATCTTTTGATCTTTTTTTTATCAATGTGAAATATGTACATATACTGAAATTTTTCAAAAAGAGACCATAAATATAAATTCTTTTTAACAGGAATTTCCCTCCTCCGTTCGTCAAATAACAGATACACAATACTTCGTGCTAAAGATCCTCAGATCCAATGTACAGAAAAGAACTGACTACTTTGTTTTATACATTTGCGAAGTCTTTGTATTGACCAAGCAGAGGAGTTATGCCTCTTGTGTTGTCAAGTCATGGCATCTACAAGTCTGTGGCACATTAATTTACAAGTCCGTATCGAACCACGGCATGGCTTGGTTGTTGCCAGACTGTTGAGGCAGACTTGACTCGAGATTCTCGAAATTGAGGTCCCCTGACTGTGCATTTGGTCCCAAGTCAGGCAGATTTTCCATCCCCCCATACTGACTTCCTCCCTGACTGCCAATGTCAAGACCCTGCATGGAGTCAATTGGGATTTGGTGTTCATAACCTAAAACAGAAAAACCAACAGTGAGTTTATTTTCTAGAATCAAACTCAGATTTAACAGTGCTACAATTTTTTTTTATGGTTCTCTGGAACACGAGAAAAAAAGGTGCACGAGATGAGCTTCTGAGACTCTGGATTGTTTTTTTTATATATATCACTTCTTATTCCAGGTTCCTTTTTTTTTTTATGATACATATGTGGCGGATTCTTACCCCTGTTCATATCATTGCTGTGCATGCTTCCCTGGCTGTCATGATGTGGAGGCTGGTACATCTGATCCCTGTAGGAATCATCAGCAGGGGGCATCATGTGTCCTACATCCTCAAATCCTGGGGGCTGTACATCAGACCAGGGCATGTTTTGGTTGTCCCGGAACAGAGAGCTGGTCAGTTCTACAGATAGTCTCTTCTTGTAGTCCTGTGGCTTGTCCTCAGACATGCGGAAAAGTACAGCTGCTGCATATGTAGCTACGATAACAAATATGAGAAATTTTAATCACTTTGCCAATATTTTTCTAGCCACAACAGAAATTTTGTAATATTCAATACAAATTTTTCCTACAGGTATGTTTTAATGATGATTTAATTCTTACCGACGCCTTCATTTCTGGAGTGTAATAATTCTGTGAGTGGTGCAGTGGCTCCCTCTTGTTCAATAAGCTCAGCACCCTCCTTATCAGCTGCTAGTTCACACAGTACCCCCGCAGCCACACGCTGAATGTTCTCAATGGGAGAGTACAACAGCTGTAAAACAAAAATAAGCATCACTTCTGTTCTTTAAAATACCTGTGTAATTTTGTTTGGACTAAAAACTGTATTTTAAATCATTACAATAGAAGATAAATCACCTTTTTAAAATTTTACTTCTTTGCAAATGACAAAATTTTTAACAATCAACCACGGAAATGGGATTTCTTGTGATTCCATTTCCTTATTATTTTTTCTATCTTGGTTTTATACCTGCACGAAAAGAGGAATGCCATTTAAGCCACGGATAACAGCTCTGTTGTGAGCCTCTCTGGCCAAAATGTGAAGTGCTCCCACAGTTCCTTCAACAATTTCCTCCATACGGACACCATCAACATACCCTGATCCCTGCCCATTGGAGCTGATAGAGGCTCTCTGTAAATGTGAACAAGTCTGTTTAAACTGTTCTTTTTTTTCCTTTTTTTAATCTAATTTTACTTATCTACCAGCTTTTTAATTAATATTGAAAATAAATAGAATTAAAGATTTTGGATAAACTTGCAGTGTACTCCAACAATTACTACAAACATTACATTCCCTACCCTCTGTGTGTCTTGATGGGCTCTGATGAGGAGATGAACAATTCTGGGCAGTGCTCCGTGTTCTCTCAGTGGGGCATGGTTTGCAGGGCATAGAGCCAGATTCCTGATGAGACCAACTACAGCCTTGATAAGTGGCCATCTGCTTGGTGGGTGAAGTAGCTTGACTAGAACAGGAAGTCCATAGTGTAGACGAACAGCATTCTGGGCCATCTCAGATTCTGGATGACGACTGGTCAAATGCCTCAATGCACACACCTGTGTTGAAGAAAATAAAACATTGGATAATATGAATTTGAGATCAATTGTATGAAGCCAAATTATATTTATTACTGAACATGTAATAATTTGTAAATTACTGAACATTTATTAAATGACTTTTTATTAAACATCACAAAGATCTTAAATCCTTAAGAAATCTAGCTGACAATTCAAGAGTACTCTGCTATTGATACTTACAGCTGGTTCTGTGATGTCCTCGCGGTCTCCTGCCTGCAGGATGGTTCTGACCAAAGCCTCAATACCATTCACTTGACATACAATGACCTTGTTACGCTGGTTGTTACAGGTCAAGTTCGACAGGATTCCAGCAGCACACGTCACCACATTGAGATCGTTTGAGGAGAGAAGCTGGACAAGCATTTGTAAGATGCCTTCCATGTTTTCCTGAAAGAAAATAACACACCCCAATTTAAAAGAAATCATTATTAAGCAGTCCTATGCATTACCAGTAGTTTTACTGCAATTTATTGATCAAGATCATGAAACAATTGTTCTTGATTTTTTTTAGTCAAGACTACTTACACATTTTGTTGCAGCATCTGACAAGTTTCTTATTGTCCACAAACAGTTCTGTACCAGTCTCTGGCTTTGGTGTCCTAAGTGCATAGCCAAAGCCTGCATTCCTCCTGCAAAACAGAAATCAGTTATTTTCTGTAACTTCTGTACCCTCAGAAGCAACATCTGACATTTTTAAATTGCCATAAGAAACAACTCCTTTTTTGAAAACATAGATTTGCTAATACTGAACAAAAACTTAAATGTCAATAATGGCAGTACCTGCTTCCACAATGGCTGGTTTGTTACTGGAGCAGACCGAGAGAACTTTGATGACTCGCGAGGTTGTCCACAGCAGTTTCTCGTATGTGTAAGATCTCATGATCCTCACCAGTTCACCTGGCCCACCACTGGCCAACACAATCAGCTAAAAAGGGTCGTTTTATTTAATATTCCTTTCCTGACAAATTCTAAAATCTCTCAAAAACTCAACTCCACATGATCACTAAGAAAGACTGAGACCTTGAGATACGAAGTCTTGACAGATGATTTATAAATGTACTGTTACAAGTCAAATTTGATTAGTAATTGGTCTCCAACACTAGCCCAACTGGGCAATTGCTGAACATTTTTCTCACACTGCTTATTACTGATCTATACATGAGTCATATAATAGGAATTCAAACATCAGGGTATATTAAAATGAAAGTAGTAATTTGAATAATAATTTAGGAGTACACTTTAAATTTTCTGAAGGTTTCCTCATATTTCAAAATAGTATCCAAAAAAAAAAAAAATCTACCTTGCTTTCTTGATTTCCATAAGCCAGAATTTGTAGACAGTCTGTGGTTATAGCCAAGAACTTGACATTGTTCCTTTGCAGTAATGCCACCATTTTTTGTAGACCACCTGCTAATCGGACAGCCATCTTGGAACCTTCCTGGTGAAGCAGTAGGTTGTGGAGAGTTGTAATTGCGTAAAATAAGACAGATTCCACTGGAGAGCTGTAAATGAAATCTCCAAGTTTATTTCAGATATCTGACATTATGTCATGTATAATTTGCATGGATTTCAGATTTTTAAGTCTTAATCATACATGTCTATTAAAAATGTACATTTTCTTTTAATTTAGAAAGAAATCCAAATATTGGATATTGTTGCCTCTTTAGCATGATATACAAATGTTAGTTAGAAATCCCAACAGGATTCTTCATCCAAAGTAATTAATGAATTAAGAAGTGAAACTACATTTCACCTCAGTAGCTTGACAAGTGCAGGAATGCCCCCAGACTTGAAGATAGCCAGGAGACCTTGACGATGATGTGAGAGATTGTGTAGGGTCCCAGCTGCACAGCGTGTAGTTTCTAAATCTGTAGTGTTGTTCATAGCCTTCACAAGGGCTGCTACCATCTGGGGGGAGTTCATTATTGCATGACGACTGGCCTCTTTCTTAGACAACTGATGCACCATCATAGCTGCCTGTCCGACCACCACCTGATCTTCATCATTCAGAAGCTTGGTCAGCTCAGGGATTGCTCTTGTGGCAAGATCAGCATCATCCTATCAGTATTCATTTTTTAATTAAGGATTGTTGTATATTCATTTAGAATTAAATGCTCAAATTGGTAAAATTGATTTAAAAAATAAAACACTAAAAGCCAGTGGCCCTTTTCACAAGAAAATCTTGCATCACAACTAAGATTAAATTTTGACAACTCTGTAATTTCTTTGTTGAACAAATATAAATTAAAATTCTCTGAAGGACTATTCACAATATATTCTAAATAGAAGATTTTTGTGTCTTACAGTACTATTGCTAAAATACTTAATGGAGAGTTTGAAAATTTTTGTTTTAGTTGCAAGATAATTTGTGGAAGTCCCACAGAACAGTTTACATGTTATCTTCGATGACAATCCAATGGTTCTCACATATAGATGAGACTTCAGGAAGTTTAACTTGAATATTACAGCAAGTTTATACGGAAAAATAAGATGAAAATGCTTCCAATCTTTTCCTTCAATAAATATTTAAAATCAAAAACACTTCCTTAAAAACAGGAAGCAGTTTATTCACCTGATAATTGATGAGATTGACAACAGCATGTTTCAGCATTTGAGAGGGTTCTGCCAGTCTCTGTACGGCTGTGGGCTGGTCTGGATGTACCTGGGTAGAAGGAATAGGTACTCCCTCATCCAGAGTCTCCGGGAACATTGCTGCCCTCACCCTCTGTGATCGAGTCTGATTCAGCTGCTGGTTTACATCTTAAACAAATACATTTTCAGTAAATATCACAGCTATACAGAGTGCAAAATATCTAATTATCACTTAATTTAATCGTGTCATTTCTTATCAGGTCAAAAGTTTTTGAAAATTACCATCAATTTGTTCCTGTGTGTATCCTTGTTGTGGATATTGCTGATCAGCCCAGTCAAACATTTGCATGTGTGAGGTCTCCATGTTTGATTGTGGCTCCTCCATTTCATCATGGTGACCTCCCTTGCTGCTGATTGAGGGGGCCTGGGTGGTGGCTCCTGAGTGGATTCCAGAGTCTCCCATGTATTGATTCTGTTGCCACATCATGGTCTGTTCCTGCTTGTTTTCCAGGGGCATGTTTGAAAGGTCCATATAGTTCTGTCCCCCAGACACTGTAAATGAAATATACTTTTCAACAATTGGCAAGAATCTCAGCAAATAAGAATTGTCTTCCGCATCTCTCTTACTGCTATTTATATATAATAATGTCACACATAATTAAATTCTTTGATTGGTTTATAAAACTAATGATGACATCAAAATAACAAAATGAAGGCCAACTTATATACAAGTAGAGTACAAGTCAATCCAGAGGGTATTAAAAACATAACCCTTTCAGATTTCTGAAATGTAGACACTCCCTCACAAGAATTATTTTACTTGGCTAACATTTTCAGACATCAAGTGATGGAAGTGTTAAAACGATAATCACAATTTAGTGTCAGGCAAATGTAAATTTTTTACTTCTTAAAAAATTGGTTAGAAAGAACTCGCTTAGGACATCTTTGTTATATTGTTATAAGGAATATAATGAATTCCGTGGAAGACTGCATTAGGCCAAATAAAAAAATATGTGTGGTTCCGGTTATCAGACCTTCCCTATTTTATACCCCCGACCCTAAACTTTTTTTGGGCAATTTTCATATTTTTTCTGGAATTTTCCCCCGATTTCCATCAATGGCTCCGATTTAAGTTTTAGTTTCAGCAACGACAGCCTCCTTGCAAAACATAGTGCAAGTGCTGAATAGTGTTAAATCCAAAGCAAGCTAGCATGTAGGTGTCCCCTACCAATATTGACCAGTATATTATCACACCACATCTAAATGCCATTTGCAAAGCAGTGATAGGTATTATTTAGAAAAATTAAGAAAATCATGTTCAAAAAAAAAAAAAAAAAAAAAAATACCTACCTACCTACCCTAATTTTTTTTAATGTGTAACCGGAACCACGCATATTTTTTTGTTTGGCCTTATCAGTGATTTTTCTCAATACTTTGGAACTAGGGGCTAGGGCCCTCAGAATTGGGAAATGAAGGACTAGGGCCCTCAGAATTGGGAAATGAAGCATCAATTAGGCTAATTGGGGAATTTTCAAAACTCATTTGAGCCATTAGCTCAGGTGTGCTAAAATGTAAACAATCATGCATTTATATCGCCCTTTTTATTGGTTGATAACACAGACTAATCTGAATTATCACCATTTAATTCCCTACATTATCCTAATATTGCCATATTTTTCCTGCTATGTAAAATTCTATTTATGATGCGAAATTCACAAACCATCATCTGCCACCGTTTTCATAACAGTGTCCATTTCCGAGTGACATGTATCTTGATATACCACAACAGGTGGTGGAGATCAGTGAAGTGACTAATATGTACATGTAGTTGTATGAACAGGTAAGGTATTTAAAGAAATAAACAACACAATTTTCTTTGATGGACAGTTGTTTTGTTTTCTAGTTTAGCTATGACTTTCTACTCAAATCAGATGTTTAAATTAGTTAAAAATAATATTGGCTTGACAATTCCTACTAATGCTGCAAAGTTCGCTTTAGGAATGGAGATAATTTATAGGGATGTCAACGAATATTTGAACATTTGAATATTCATTCAATGAGTTAATATTCAAATTATATATGAATTTGAGATATGAATATTCGGTGTTTTTCATATTTTAGCAGAGCTCCAGATAATTTTTTACCTCAAAGTGTATTTACTCCCTGCTTTTGAAATCAATGCAGATTTTGCTTTTCAGCAAAATAATCAAAGAGTATTATGTTAATCAATTGCTCTTTTGACATCTAATGTTAGACAGTGATCAGAAATGGCGGTGGGAATGTTCGAGTAACCGCTGTATTACGTTTTCAACAAGATTTTTAGCTTGTTATCGATGTAAGTGTTTTTGAAAGAGGAATGTAAAAGAAATGTTAGTTTCTGCATTTATCAATTAGGTTAATGAAATTTTAAAAATTTTGTCAGCTTTTAGTTATAACTGAGAAACATTTCGTTTTTTTTTTTTACCAGAAAGACCATATGATAGGCAAAGTTACCACGGGCACGCTGAACTCCATTTAAGAGCAGGCCTATATCGATCGTAGCAAGAGTTACTGAGACCTTTGGCCAAATAAAATTAATCTTTAGATTCTAATCCCCCACCTGCCCCTCTCAAAATATCCAGCCCCGTTGTTTTCCATGTTGTTTCTTTGTTTGTTTTTTTAATCAGAAATATATACTAGGTTTTGCTATATAAATTGTTGACATCGATAGAGGTAAAAGTTTGAGAGTTACTCCCCGTTTGCATTAAAAGTCGCGTGGTGCTATTTATAGCACAAGAGCATGTGAAAAGCAAAAACGCAATATTATTTTCATACAATTAATAAAAGTTGTCGGTGGACTATAGATGATATTGTTGCTACAGAAAATGGTTAATATACAAGAACTGTTTAATAAACAGTGATAAAGAATAAATTACACACAACGCGTGTTCAATTTTGCCTAACTTTGACAATATCACCTGTACGCGTCAAAAACGAAAATTTGGATGTTATATGAACAGAGGAAATCTGTGATATTTTCAGACAAAGTACGAGTATTTAATATTCAAATCTTTCTCTCGAACTCGAAATCGGTCTAGGTTATTCCAAATACGCTTAATCAAAATTTCCTTTTGATAAAAATTCAAACACTGAGCTGATTTCAATTCATATAATGAGTTAAAATCCAATCCATTGTACGCAGTACTTTCATAGTGTAATGCTTATTTATGATTGCTAATGCGTAAATGTATGCACTGTTTTAAATTTTAATGCGTATTTTGAAAAATTCAATGCATATTTCTGCAAATACGCACCTTATCTGGAGCTCTGTTTTAGAAAAAGGGGATACTAGGATTGATAACTTTTGACAGGAGCACTGCTGGGATTATCCCTGCTTTTATTTACTAGCAATCAGCGCTTGATTTCTTCCTCTGCTTTCCATTCTTTCTACTAAATCATTTCATTTTTCAGTAAGCTATAAATTTAAGAATTCTTCATATATGATACAAATTTAATAGTTTTTAACAGTTTAATATGGCCAGATCTAGAATCGAGGACACCAAAATGAAATCCTCCTTAGACTGTCCAAAAGAAATGTAGCGTGTACTAATCAAAATAAATTTCACTGATCATTAAATTACATGTTTGATAGAATTATTTTTAATATACTAAAATGTTCAATTTTAAAATTAATCTGTCATTCACTTCATTTTCTCGGGTTGCACATATTCATAAAGTTTAAAATGATTATCGGGGAATTAATAAGTTAATGACTAGAAAATTGTCTGTTTATGTTTGTTTATACTTTCAAAACACTGTAACTTGTATCGAAGATTATAATCATATCTCTTATTTGAGAGATAATTGCAATTAATTACATGTGTTTAATTCATATACCAAACTGACACAAATCTGGTTAAGAAAGAAGGATAGTACATATTTAAAATAATCAAGTTTTTAAAATTTATTTTATCGAATATTCAAATATATTCGAATACTTCCAATGAATATTCAAATATGAATTATGGACAAAATTGACATCCCAAGAGATAAACTATCATGACTATTGTTGAAGTTTTAGTAATGAGGATATAAGGCCACATAAATTTAAAATTTAGATTCTCATCCTAATTTGCTTAAAAATTGGGGCGGGTGGGCGGATTTTATTTTTTATTTTTTATAGTTGAAAGTATCAACAAAACTTTCGTACACATAATTTTTACATTATGTTACTGCCAATATGAATAGATTTTATTGTTTCATATTCTTTTAAATATCTACAGAAGATTCTTGTTATAGAAAATTAAAATACATGTATTTATAGTTTTATTAACAAATTATCTAGTACACAGATACGGCACACGCCAAATAAAATGAGGTGCTGATCCTAATAAATTGCATATGCATGTTTTCTCATCGGCCTTTCCCCAAATACCTTATAGTTTTACCAACAACTCCTTCTGTTCTGTGTGATATATCACAGATTTCCACTGTCCTCATAAATTCAATCGTTCTTGAGACTTGACATGTTCGACATAAAAATATATCATATTTGCAAAACAGGATTGTGTAAATCTGTAAAATATTCTACTGAAAAGCCTAGGCCTGAACAGTTTTAAGGTTTTATACATTAATCCTTAGCACTATTATTCTCTAAAGTCTTTGGATGATGTTTATTTTTTTTTAAAGCAAAATCACATATAACCATGATAACTGCAGATCGGTTGACCATGTGTCATTTTCTTCGTCTGTTTTTACTTCGTTAAAATCTCATTAAAAACTTGTTCATGCCAGTGATGGTATCTAGATGTGTTTATGTTATTTTGCTTTTCTGCCTTCTCTATACTGACAAATTATGTTTACCTTACATATTTAAACTGCTTTTATTGCCGATTTTTCTCCATTCTTCACACAGTTTTTTTTGCTATAAATAGCGCCACGCGACTTTTAATACAGACGGGAGATAACTCTTAAATTTTGACCCAGATTCTTGCTGAATAAAAATAAATGAAAATAATATGTTTGACACTCAAAAAGCAAAATAAAAAACAACGGGGCGGGGCACTTTGAGAGGGGCGGGCGGGGATGAGAATCTAAAGATTAATTTTACCTGGACTAATTCATTGTGAGCATTTTCAAAAGACTTTCAAGCTTTGCTCAATGCCAAAAACTGAAGATTGCAGGATCTAGAAGTAAGGATCACGCAACCAACTTTTAAGGTCACCAATACTATTGGTTTTTGGATTGGGGTTTCCCATTAATCTGAAGGTGAGTACTACACCCCCCCCCTCTCTAAAATCATTTGAGGATGACAGATTCTAGCACACTTACTTGATCGGGGTCCCCCATCACTCTGGTTCATTTGATATGTACTCATGGTTTAAACTGGTTCTCTTCAACTCTGAAAATAAAATTACGTACCATCAGTTTGACACATTTTTTTTTTTTTGATATGGTCAAAATTCATTTGAAATGGTCTTATAAATCCCAAATTTATATTTTTGAAGGGACTGCCATATTTCACATTTAGTTGCATAATGATTCATCACACCCAGAAATGCAAATTGGGACAACTTTTAATCTGAAAAACCATATTGTTACTGTATTACTCAGCAGAAAAATACACCTGTATAATATTCAACCCACTTCAATGTAACATATCAATGCATGTAACCGAGTACCACATCACAAACCTCACTTTCTTAATGTTTGTTCATGCTTGAATGCCTTTCAATTAAGTTCATATTAAGTGTTGAATTCCCCCTCTTCAGCACAAAGTCATATTTTTCACATACATAATTTCATCTTTCCTCCCCCTGTGGCACCCCTCACCACTGGCTTTTATCTTTAGAACCAGCAGTGAGGTCACGGTTTGTAACGATAACCCTCCTGTCAGTGGAAGGTAAAGATATTTGTCTGCACACCATTTACCAATGTAACAAAGGTCACCTGTGTATTAATACCCAAATACCTCTCAATTATGATTTAAAGCAGCCTGATGTATACAAAGGAATCTTGTGATAATACATAGACCAAAATGACAAGTTTCTACTGCTTATTTCAATATTCTAAAGTGACACATCCTTAAACTTCTAAACAGGTGCATTATCTAAGCTTTATATCAACTTTGGGCATCTAGAAAACACACTCACACACACATTATCAGACTCAGTTATGATTTTATTCAAAATAAAGAGCTGAGTGATGAGAGGACTACAATATTAACTACAAATTTATGAGCTCTGCCACTGTTTTGTATTATTCATAAACAAACAGCCATCTCCATCCAAGAACAATAGCCATGTACCTAATTATTAGGGGTGAAACGATACACCTCCTTCACGGTTCGATACGTATTGTATAATTTTGACTCTGTTCGGTTATTTTCGATACGATACATTTTGACAGAAGGAAACAAATTCAACGTTGTTTTATGCTTTCTTTTTCTAAATCTAGTCTCATATTTTACGAATTTTATTTGCAAATTGACTAGAAGAAATTGATTAAAATTATTTGACTGTCAAAAATTATTTTACAAGCTATCAGTCATCAAAAATTTACGTTTTCTATGCTTATTCGTGTTTTACCTTATGCCAAACCCGACTGAATAACGATCCCGACCGAAAAATGAACCGAACCGAAAATTAGAGATTTTGCACCGTGTATCAAACCGAGAAAAAATACCGCGGTGAATCGATACCGCGGTGAACCGTTTCACTCCTACTAATTATTTAATTTGTTTTTCCTTTCCTCCAAGTTTATTAACCTGTCTGTCTTATTCCAAACTTACACTTCATGTTCATTCAAAATGCATGTCTGTACTTTTAAACAAGATGTCAACTCTAATTAACATCTTAAAGTCATTTATTTCAACAAAGTCCAACATTTTACCTTTAGACATCATAATTAATGAATTGTGTCAGATTTTCTCTAACTAATTGTAACTGAATGACTTTCAACATGTAAAACATTTCCTCTTGTCAGCTTTGAAGACAACAAAACTTGTCCTCATTTTGGAGAATCAACATCAAAAGCATAAACCAATTCAAATAGACCAGCTAATTAATCAACTTCCTAAACCATGTTTACTCTACCATGTTTCCTAGTTTGTTTGTTTTTTTTTTTTGGTTTTTGTTTTGTTTTTTTTTTGTAATCTATGAACTATTTCTTTGGATTGATAGAAAATATAATTCCCTTTGGGGTTATAATAATTAGAGAGTTGTGCACAGTGAAAGTCTTCAAAGCTTGACTTTCCCCCTTTAAAGATAATACCCAAACACAGCACTAGAGAATCCCTAGAAACATATCAATGCAAACTGATGCATTCTATTCAAAATTCAACAGGCTACAGAATATCATCTCAGAACAGATCAATATACATACACCATGTCCATGTGCACCTAAATGAACTACTGTTTGTCCAACTGCAACAAGCTTAACTGCTTTTGTTTTCACAGGGATGAGACACAGCCCTCCTGTGGTTCAATCAAATCTACTTACATCTCACAGACTCAATGTCTCCCACTGATCTACTGACATAATTACTCCTCTGTTTAAATATTGATTTGTTCAGTGCATTTTTCCAAATCAATAGCTCATATAAGTATAGAAAATGAACAGTGCATCAATTCATACCTTAAATTACATGCTGTGTTGAAGGGAGAACTTGTTAATTAATGAAGGTGGTAATTCCCACAGAGACAATCACAAGGTACAATGAATTAACACAACACTAAACTAATGGCTTATATCCAGAACTGGTGAATCTTGTCAAAACTCCTCAATGTTTTCAAAGTGACTTTAGTCAATGAGAGAGTTACAATTAAAGTGTCAAACGTTTAAAATTATTCAATCTCTCTCCCACATTTAAATCCTGAGATAATGTGACTAATATTTACACTCCTAACTGACAGGCATTTTTAATCATTCAACCTTAACACCCCTCTCATGTGACATGGACTCAACCATGGCACTTCAATTTTCTGCTTATCATTGCTATGTCTGAGGGGGGAAATGGATGGATGCCTTATTTAAATAATCTACTATGACATGTGTCATGTGTGACCCCCTGAACCACGTCCGCCAGTAACCTTAAAAGAGGTTCTAGATGGGTAACTTTAAAATCTCTCAAACCCCATATCAACAGACTACTGCCAAGATGAGAACTTGATAAGACAAAATACTATCAATAACTGCCATATGGTTTGGGAAGATCTTAATAATCTAAACACAACTAGTTGCCTGTGTTTTTCACTTAATTAATCTTGATATGCCATAATGGAAAGCATTTCAACAAAATCAGTGTCACTTTCCTCATTTCTTAAAATAACGACACAGAGCATTAATTATGACAGTCTGCACTTTAAGGAAAATAATTAATTGTCTGTTTTTGTTTTTCTTTAATGAAACAATATATTAAGCAGAATTGAATATACATGTATAAATTACTAAGTATACTACTAACAAAGACAGTGTACTGATTGTCAAATGTACCAATTACACAAACAATCTATGCATGCATATTATTTTAAAATTAAACTTTTAAAATTAAAGACTTTTGCATACAAAAATTTATTACTGGGCTTTACTGGCTTAAAATCACAATAAGCATCTCTACTGAAATTTTAAATATTGCTTATATGACAGAAAACATGGGAAACCATATTGGTTCATATGACTCAGTTCAAATATTTGTATTATTCTAAAATTTAGTTCTACAACATATCAACTGCTGCTAACAAGAGCGAACAACTTGATTGGCTGTCTGATGTTACATTATTTTATCACTTTTTCTTTTGTTTTACTCTTTGTGGAAAATGGCAACAAAAGTTCAGCTGTTAGAGTACTTCTTTACAAACTTTATCATTGTACAAGGCATACCAAATAAGTCATAATTTAGTTGTCTCACTTTAACATCTTTTTTTTTTTTTTGAATGCATTTCATTTCCAGAAATATTTTAAAATATTCAACTTTTTCAGGTATTTTGTAGTTTTCCTTTCAGATGTTTTGTAGTTTTTATCGTTATTAGTCATAAAGTTCTTTTCTGGCAATGAAAACAGAATTCAAGACGTTCCTTATAAATTCAAGATGTTCTATAAATCCAACATGAATTCAATGCAGTCACCAAACATTTAATTCAGTGAACACTGAATTTTTTAAATCAAAAAACAAAACAAAAACAAAAAAAGAGAAAGCATGCTCATTTAACTTATGTAAATCTTTTAATTAGACTTAGTAATGCATATACACATTACACAATACAGTGTATTGTAAAATTACACAATACAGTGTATTGTAAAATTACACAATACAGTGTATTGTAATATTTTTGTACTATATTTTTAAAAAAAAAATTATTTGGAAAATGTGGATTGAAATAATTGTAATATTTGTATCCTGTTAAATTTTATTACCACTAACCTGGTAAACACTAAATTACTGGAAAGGTATCCAAAAAAAATTTCAGGATATGTAACAAAATTTAATATTGGAAATGAAAAAAAAAATATATGGAAATAAAAATAACTAGAAATATGTCCATAGGACATGAATGCCCCGCCGAGGGTATATTAGTAATGCAACATTTTAACACAAATTGAGAAAAGTGAGGTCAAGGTCAAAGGAAAGGTAAAGGTCAAAAAACATTGATGCAGTTGAATAGCTCTCATCGGTATGTATCAGCATATGAAGTTTGACACTAATTTAAGAAAAGTGAGGTCAAGGTCAGAGGAAAGGTCAAGGTCAAAAAATGTTGATGCAGTTGAAAAGGTTACATCAGTATGTATAAGCATATGAAGTTTGATGAAAATATTATGAATGGTTTCTTTAAAAATGAGCTAAACACTAATTTAAGAAAAGTGAGGTCAAGGTCAAAGAAAAGGTCAAGGTCAAAATATATTGATGCAGTTGAATAGCTCTTATCGGTATGTATCAGCATATGAAGTTTGACACTAATTTAAGAAAAGTGAGGTCAAGGTCAGAGGAAAGGTCAAGGTCAAAAAATGTTGATGCAGTTGAAAAGGTTACATCAGTATGTATCAGGATATGAAGTTTGTTAAAAATATCTTGAATGGTTTCATTAAAACTGAGCTTAACACTAATTTAAAGAAAGTGAGGTCAAGATCAAAAGAAAGGTCAAGGTCAAAAAATGTTGATGCAGTTGAATAGCTTACGTCAGTAGGTATCAACATATGAAGTTTCATTACACTATCTTGAATGGTATCTTTAAAACTGAGCTAAACACTAATTTAAGAAAAGTGAGGTCAAGGTCAAAGGAAAGGTCAAGGTCAAAAAATGTTGATGCAGTTGCATAGCCCTCATCAATATCTATCAGCATATGAAGTTTGATAAAAATATCTTGGATAGTTTCTTTGAAACTGAGCTTTGAACAGAGCTAAACGCAAAGTGTGACGGAAGGACGGAAGACGGACATGACAAACACTATATGCCCCGGCCATATTCATGGCGGGGCATAAAAACTGTCGGAAATGCAAAGCAAAATTCTGGAAATGAAATGCAGCCCCTTTTTTTACCACTCAGTACATCCTCGGTGACACGATTGGTCAATTAAATTCTACTAATTTAATCTTTTTATTCATGACCACTGACCCAAACAAAATTTACATTTAGATAATACATTTGCAGTCAAAAATTCAATTTTCCAAAGTGTTGCACCTACAATTTTATGTTTTTCTAAATGGACTGATGATAATTTCACTAAGTATTTGTGAATTACAAGGATCCTATATCTTAAACCGTTGAATTTTATGAAATACAAAGTAGTGCAAACTGATAATTCCAATGTAAATACCAATACAATTATTTTCTTACAGATTACAGAAGCCTGAAAATAATTTTAATTAATTTTTTTTTTTTAAAATGACAGAATTATTATAAATAGAAAGCAAATGTCTTACTTCTTTTCACATTTAATTTGGTTACTTCAATACACTGATTAGAAGAGTTTTAAAATACCAGTGGTATCATTATTAATCAGAATCTTTTGTTCTTCAGTAATGAGAATGATTCAATCATGAAAGTTTACCTGTATTGACTCTATGTTTTAACAATAGATTAAGTGAACCCTCAATATTTCTATAGCCTTAATAGATAAAAAAATCGTCCTAAGAATGGGGATGTTGAAGTTTGCCGCTCATTTCTGATGACAAGCAACAGAAAATAAAAAGTGAGCAAGCTCACATACCCCACGCTCCCCCAAAAATCGACAATGCAACACGTAATGAATGGCACAGTGCATTTTAAATACACAGTATAATTCAAAAAGGGGCATTACTTGCAAAAAATCATCACATCAATTGACAAAACTTCTTGCATATAAGGACATTCAAATCTTTGTATGTTACAAATTCAATTGGGCTGAAGTTTCTAGATAAATAATGGAATCAAAATTTCTTGGTAATATACAAATCTATACATTATGTCTGAAATACCTACAAAGTTTCAGGAAATTCAGTGCAGGAGTTATGGTGACAATTAAATTGTTATTGAAATTCCTCAGTGATTTTGATTTGTTAATGAGTGTAAGTCCATGTCCAACACATGACAATTTACACATTTAAATAATTGATGGAAACAAAATTATGATGTAGTCATATGAATTTGTTTATATACCATACTTATGAAATTATTTAAGGCAAAGTACCAATTTGGGGGGGGGGGGGGGGGGGGGGGGGAGAGAGAGAACTATCCAAGATTTTGTGTGTGTGTTAAATCATTAATATTTTGATCTCAAAATCAATAGGGGTCTTTTAAGGTCATAAAATATTTCAAATAAAATTTCATTACAAAAGCTGATTCCAGTGGATTTCCTTATTACCTAGCTGGAAAGTTTCTTCAATAATAGGCAAAACTCTTAAGGCAAAAATTATGGAATCAGAATTTCCTTGTAATGGGCACATCTACACACTGTGTACTAAATATCTGCAGAGTTTAACCAAATTCTGTGCAGCGGTTAAAGAGGAGTTGCACTAAGAAACTGTTCATCTCTTTATTCAAGATATGGCCAAAAATCTAAGTTGAAAAGTGCCAAAATTCCCAAAAAAATCAAGGAATCGGAATTTCCTGGTAATATGCATATCTACACATTGTGTGCTAAATATCTGAAAAGTTTGACGAAATTCTGTGCAGCGGTTTATGAGGAGTTGCGCTGACAAACTGTTCATCTCTATATTCAAGATATGGCCAAAAATCTAAGTTGAAAAGTGCCGAAATTCCCAGAAAAAAATAAAAGAATCGGAATTTCCTGGTAATATGCACATCTACACATTGTGTCCTAAATATATGCAAAGTTTGAAGAAATTCTGTGCAGTGGTTTATGAGGAGTTGTGTTGACAAAAAAACAGGACTGACGGACTGACTGACGGGTCAAAAACATTATACCCCCCGCATCTTGTTGCATGGGGTATAACAAATAGTTACGAATCTCTTTTAAAATGGCAGCCATTTTCACAATTTTCTAATCATCTTTGAATTTGTCTCCATGTCCACACTTGCTGGACTTAAAGGTCAAATTCAAAGGAAATAGATACACTTGTAAATGATATATGTTGTAAATAAGTTAAAAAGAGGGAACCACAATATTCTTAAAATCTTAAACTTCATTGTTTTCTTTGTTTACCTGTTTAAAAGTCACTAAAAATAACGTTTATCAATAGTTACTTCCCCTTTTTGTGACGTCATAAGAGACAATTGATAATATCTAATAATATAAGTATAGTATAGTGCTCTCGATTATCATTTTAAAAAAATGTCAAATTTTAGCGACAGTGATGCAGTCTTCGACAAATCCCGGGAGTCCGAAGCGCGGGACCTGGTAAAATTGGAAGCGGGCATGTGGAAATTGCATACTTACAAGCCCGAAGGGCATGTAAATTCTGAGGCCTAAGCCTTCGTATTATCAAATTAAATAATACCAATAGCATTAAATGTACTTAAAAGTCTGATTTTTCATCTAAAGTTGAGCACCAAATAAAATTTTAACTAAAGTTTATTCTACCGCGATTTGGAAGGAACTCTTTTGCAAAGGAGACACAAAACGTGTACAGGTTGAAAACAATATTAATGGCAAGACAATAGATTGATAGAAATGGATTTCGGATCATCTACTTGGCAAGAAAAGGCAAATAAGAATAAAATTACTGTCCGCTGTAAATATCGCACCTAATTATTATGTCCGGGGATGTCTGACCCTATCATTCATTAGCCAAAAAAAAAAAAAAAAAAAAATCCCAACCTACCGACCCTTAATTTTTTAGGAATGTTTCAGGGAACAAACATAATTTTTTTTCAGGCCTATATAAAATTTCACTGGAAAAAGCCCACACTTTTTGAGACACAATTTGGTGATGATGACAGCCAATCAAAAGTTGGTAGCTTTACTAGAGACCTGCAAGTCACAAACATTCCCAATGGTAAAAAATATGTGTTTTCCCAATTTAATAAAAGAAAATTCCCAAACAAACAAATATGGTTGGGAAAAAAAGACCGAATTCAGTAACATGTATATCAGAAAAGGTGTTTTTAAAAAAAATCAACAAGAGGCCCATGGGCCACTTCGCTCACCTGAGCACATTGGCTAGGCAAAAGCACAAATCAGTTCAGTATTGAAAAGATTACCTGGGGTGGGGTGGGGGGTGGGGCTTGAATTTTAAACTACCTGATGATGCTTCCATGTCAATATAACAAATGGCTTTATTATACTTGAGAAGATTTTAAAATAATTTTCCCATATATTCCTTTGTAAAAATTTGATCCTCCATTGTGGCTCCTCCCTATCCCAGGGGTCATCATTTGAACTTGAATCTAGACTACATGAGGATGCTTCCATATCAATATGACTAAACATAGCTTTCCTGTACTTAAGAAGAAATATTTTTTCTATATGTTCTTATGTAAAACTTTCGATCCCCCAATGGGCCCCATCCAACCCCTGGGGGTCATCATTTGAACAAAACTGAATCTACACTACCTGAGGATGCTCCCATATAAATATGACCCATCATGGCTTTGCTGTTCTTGAGAAGAAGATTTTTAAAGATTTTTCCTATATATTTCTATGTAAAACTTTGATCCTCCAATGTGGCCCCGCCCTACCCCCTGGGGTCATGATTTTAACAAACTTGAATCTACACTACCGGAAGATGCTTCAATATAAATATTACTCATCATGACTTTGCTGTTCTTGAGAAGAAGATTTTTAAAGATTTTTCCTATATATTATTTCTATATAAAACTTTGATCCTCCATTGTGGCCCCGCCCTACCAGGGTTAGAAACTCCCTAAAATTACAACTCGCAAATAATTGCGAGTACCAAGAAAGTGAACTCGCAATTTTATAAGACTACTCGCAACTTTCATATAAAGTTAAATTTATATAAATTAAATACATGTAACTTAAGGAAAAAGTAACTACTGTAGAATACACAAAATACAACTACAGTGTGACTTTTATTTAAATTACTGATTTAAATCAAAAGCATTATGTTCTGTCATATTATATAATTTTGCTACAGTTTCAATGCAAAAAAATTAAATCGCAAGTTTTTGCGAGTTACCTAATTTTTAACTCGCAATTTGGGAATTCTAACTCGTGTTTTGCGAGTTGTATATAGTGAATTTCGAACCCTGCCTACCTCTGGGGGTCATGATTTGAACAAACTTGAATCTACACTACCTGAAGACGCTTCCATATAAATATGACTCATCATGGCTTTGTTGTTCTTGAGAAGAAGATTTTTAAAAATTTTTCCTATATATTTCTATGTAAAACTTTGATCCTCCATTGTGGCCCCGCCCTACCCCTGGGGGTCATGGTTTGAACAAAACTGAATCTACACTACCTGAGGATGCTCCCATATAAATATGACTCATCATGACTTTGCTGTTCTTGAGAAGAAGATTTTTAAAGATTTTTCCTATATATATATTTCTATGTAAAACTTTGATCCTCCATTGTGGCCCCGCCCTACCCCCGGGGGTCATGGTTTGAACAAACTTGAATCTACACTACCTGAGGATGCTTCCATATAAATATGACTCATCATGGCTTTGCTGTTCTTGAGAAGAAGATTTTTAAAGATTTTTCCTACATATTTCTATGTAAAACTTTGATCCTCCATTGTGGCCCCGCCCTACCCCGGGGGTCATGATTTGAACAAACTTGAATGTACACTACTTGAGGATGCTTCCACATGAGTTTCATCTTTCCTGGCCCTATGGTTCTTGAGAAGAAGATTTTTAAATGTTGCCATTATTTTTTCACTAATTCCTAATTATCTCCTCTTGAAAGAGGGCGTGGCCCTTCATTTGAACAAACTTGAATCCCCTTCACCCAAGGATACTTTGTGGCAAGTTTGGTTGAAATTGGCCCAGTGGTTCTTGAGAAGAAGTCAAATGTGAAAAGTTTACAGACAGACAGACGGACAGACAGACGGAGACCGGACAAAATGTGATCAGAAAAGCTCACTTGAGCTTTCAGCTCAGGTGAGCTAAAAAGGCTTGCTCCAAAAACTTATCAACTAAATGTAAAGTAAGTCAATAAAAAATACCTTGCAAATGAAAAAAAAAAAACTCTTTTTCCCATTTTTCAATTAAACAGGTTGGGCACACTCCACCAAATGGTCATTTATCCCCCGTTTGGTGGACAATCTCTCATATCGGAGACGAATTTTACTGACCAAATGGTGGACTTCTTTATTCTATTCCAAATTTTATTAAAACAAAGCAAAAGCGCATTTACTTAGGCATTGGGGAATTTTAGTGAACATATTCGTCGCACAATTAACATAGTTCGGTCGATTTCCCATGTGCAATTTCTCCATAACTTCCTGAAAACGATACCCATAGTTGTCCGTAACAGCCGAACTTCTTGATCACTCGATCAAAAAAAAAAAATTGATTGTGTCTAGTAGGATAAAAATTCTATTTTATCCAGTGGTTGAACTCTTGATAAGTTAAGTTTCAATCGCTTTTTGGATCTTCGTCAATATTTATTTCCATAAAATCCCGTTAAACACGAGCTCCCCATTACTTTACTGGTACGGTGGGCACTTATTGCTATAAAGTTAAATTTTTCTATACTTGAACGTAATATCTGTTGTTATTTTTCTTTTAGGATGAAGTTGCATATTCCATACGACCTTTTGTGGTTTAATATGTATATTACTGATGAATTTAATATACTTGATAAATAATTTTCAATAAAAGATTTACAAAGTGACTTTTGCAATTATTCTTGTATTCATTCGAAGTACAGTGAAACTTGTCTAATCTGGATGTTGTATAATCCAAAATCTTGCCTAATGCGATGTAAAATTTAAGTCCTTTTCAGTAAATTCATTTGTTTAAAATGTTGTCTAATCTGAAATGTTGTCTAATCCGGCCAGATTCTTTGGAACCAGTGGTGTCCGGATTAGACAAGTTTTACTGTACATCGTTTTAAAACAATAATTATATCATAATCTAACTTCATTTACTATTTTTATGGAGAACAAAACTATTGCGAAGGCTAAGGCGAAAACTTATTTTTCTTCTGATTTTCTAATTGAAAATTGACACTAATGTGCCTTCGTAGTAAAATCCGACTTTTGACCAGGTTAAAAAAAGATCATCGTTTTCATTGGTTTGCATTATTTGATTGGTTGCCCGGATAATCGAAAGAGAAAGTAAAGAACATGATTGACAGGTGCAGCATCGTTGAAGAAGGAGGAAATTTTCTTTTTAAGTAAAAATGGAGAAACGTTGTACTTGTTTACATACGTGACATTTTTTGTCAAATTTTTGAACGACTCTGCACAAAAATTGCACGTTGAATTTCCTATTTTTTTCACTCAAAACACCGATAAATATCTATATTTTATTCCACATGGTTTAAAATTATGCGCCATTCCATGCCATTCTATGGAATTGAACACAACCATTTTTCCCAAATGGTCAGTAAAATTCGTCTCCGATATGGGAGATTGTCCACCAAACGGGGGATAAATGACCATTTGGTGGGATGTGCCCAACCTGTTAAATGTCAATATTTTTCCCAAATGGAAAGCCAAGGCCCTTGATTTTAACACCTAAAAAAACACTGTTATATAATGTTCATTACATTATGACGTGTTTAAAAGAAGAGGGACAATAGAAGCATTTTGAAAGAAAGAGATACTGTTTTTGATGTATTTTTTAAGTCAATGATATTGACGAGCTACATAGTTATTTGTAAACTCCCAACTTGTTTTTGAACATTTGGCAATATGTACATGTAATACTGTTTATGTGAATTTTTAATCAAGGCAATGAACTACAAGTATCAATTTTAAAGCACATGATTTGATATAAAATATTTCGTTGATTTATTGTCAAGAAGACAAATAAAAAAAAAAACTAAGTTTATTAATAGCTTTCTAATTTATCATATCAAAATACATGTATCATATTGTTACAGTATTATAATATGAAACAATATTGGTATCGTATTGCAAGCCCTGTGTTAGTTAGAATAATCTAATTGTGTCTCGGGACAAGCTCTCACCACAGTTAAAATACGTCCCATATACTTGCAATGTAGCAAATTCGAGCAAATCTGCTCCGAAATGATTTTGAAGAATACAAATTAAATGAGTTCAGGGTTAGAAACTCCCTAAAATTACAACTCGCAAATAATTGCGAGTACCAAGAAAGTGAACTCACAATTTTATAAGACTACTCACAATTTTCATATAAAGTTAAATTTATATAAATTAAATACTTGCTGTACATGTAACTTAATGAAAATGTATAACTTCTGTACAATACACAAAATACAACTACAGTGTGACCTTTAGTTAAATTACTAACTTAAATCAAAAGCATTGTGTTCTGTCATATTACGTAATTTTGTTACAGTTTCAATGCAAAAATATCAACTCGCAAGTTTTTGCGAGTTACCTAATTTTTAACTCACAATCTGGGAATTCTAACTCGCGTTTTGCGAGTTGTATACACTGAATTTCGAACCCTGGAGTTGCACTGAAAATAACTACCAAATTAATCATAACAAACCTTTTTGAGATTGTATATGCCTTTTAATCTAAACAATAATCCATATAAATACGAAAATTCAGCCATTTTCTCAACGTTTTTTCCTCGATTCAAATTTACACTCCATGTTGACATTCTGAACTCTCTGGATTACTCATAGAAAATGCATATAGTTTGAGTTATTGCAGGTGTTTGTTTGCTACATTGCCAATATATGGAACGAAATTATCTCGTTTAACCGGATTTGTAGGACAATAACATTTAACAATAGGACGTTCTATCTACCTCCGTGTATCATCCCAGCTCTATTATTTTTAGTGCAACTCTTTCTAAATAGTATTCTTCAAAATCTGGATCAGGAGTACAATCAGTTTCCACACATTTCAACTGTTCAATATATTCCTTAAATAGTTTTTTTGTTGTTTAACGTCCCTCTCGAAAATTTTTCACTCATAAAGAGATGCCACCAGTAGCCGGTGGAGAGCTGCAAATTTTGACCTATATTGACACTCAGGGCCATTGCACAGTGAGGAATCTTTTTCGTGCCAGCACCTACTGCGACACAGGACCTCGGTTTCATCCGAAGGACCGGTCCCCACATCCCTTAGTGGGATTCGAACTCCATGACGTAAGGATCAACTCCTTACTTCACAACTCTAGAGCAAACACGCTACCACTGCCATTTTGGACCCCTTCCTCGCATCAACCTCTGTTTCTGTTGTATTTTCTCGTATTTTACCGACTCACCGCCACAGATCTGTTAAGTAGTGATTCTTCTAAGATATAATGCTTGAATTATCCCCTTGGAGCCTCGATTACACCATTTCAGGCTAATAATAATCCAAACACGCTTTTTAGGACAGTTGTAGGGGGACAGAAAGCAAAATAGTTAGAATAATCTAACTTTGTCTCGGGACAAGCCCTCACCAATTAGAATACGTCCCATATACTTGCAATCAGGGTTCTCACTAGGATTTTGTTAACTTGAGTCCCAGGACTCAAGATTTCTGAGAAGGTTGCGTCCCAGCTAAATTTGATGCGTCCCAGAATAATTATGTTGAGTCCCAACTAAATTATTGCAGTATCCCTCCATCCAAACATCAATATAAATCTTTACCATTTTATCAGTTTGTTTACGCAATATTAACATATTCAAGTATATAAACTGGTAATGCATTCAAGCCATATTCTAAAATACACGCGAAATCAATTGCCATAAAAATTAACTTGGTGTTTATAAAGCTAAAATTAACTGTTGCATAATCAACTGGTACCCGAAAGTTGACTGTATACAATCACAGGTGTCATGTGCAATGAGGCGTAACTAATCCTGTCGGTCTTCTGCACTGGGTGAAATTCACAAGATAATCAAGCCGCATTGTGTATACAAGCAGTAATTATGGTTTCTTTATGTAGATAACACTCAAGATTCAAAAGTGTGTGTGTGTTTTTTTTTTTTAAAAAGCTGCAGTGTGTTTACAGCTGTCGGAGTTTGGCATGCGACATTATTATGACTATGGACTATAATAAACATGAAGTATCTTAATTATGATCAATCCCTGTTTAAAAAAAGAGAAATAAGTACAAGAAAAGTTATTTCTTGGATGAACTTTATGATAGTTACAGGAAGGTTTCAATTAAATATTTCTTTGACAAATCCCAACATCTAAATTCCCCGTTTTTGAAATTACCCGAATTTTCTCGCTAACGAGGACGCGTCCGATCAGGAGTCCGCGGACGCATCGTTTTTAAGAACCTTGCGTCCCAAGTAATTTTGCTGCGTCTAGGACGCAGATTCTTGCGTTATTGAGAACCCTGCTTGCAATGTAGCAAATCGGAGTGGATCCATTCCGAAATGACTTTGAAGTACACAAAAGGAATTGCACTGAAAATAACTACCAGATTAATCATAACAAACCTTTTTGAGATTGTATATGCCTCTTAACTGAAAAATTAATCTATATAAAGACGAAAATTCAACTTATTTTCTCAACCTTTTTTTCTTGCTTCAAATTTACACGCAATGTTGACATTCGGAACTCTCTGGATTGATCATAGAAAAAGCACCGAGTTGGAGTTATTGCCCGTGTTTATTTCGCTACGTTGCAAATACACGGAATGAATTCTATCGTTAAACCGGGTCTGTAGGACAATATCATTTTAACAATAGAATGTTCTATCTAAAAGCAAAAGTATCCTCTGCGTTTTAAATTCTAATATGAAATTGAACATTTTTTATTTTCAAATTTACAATTAGCAGTTATTTTAACAAGTGGAAAACTCCAAAGTTTCTGACTGTGTTCCGCTTTCTGTCAAGCCCCTGTGGTTAAACAACAAAACGTAGGCATTTTTCTCGCCTTAATCGCCCGTGCTCTTTTAACAGTTGTGAGAAATGTTAATGCTCGCCAAGTTCAAGAGTCTCTATTGTTTCTGACGTTAGTTATTGTAAATGATCAATGGAAAATGAACGTTAAATTGTTAAGATAAATGCGCTTGCACAATTATCGAGTAAATTAATAACAAAAGGGTCTACTGTGTTATAACAATGTCGGCCATTCACCACTAGGCCAGGCCTATTCGTTATCAGCAAAATATGTTAAATAAACCCCATATCTGGTGCATTGAAACAGTTTCTTACCGAAATTGTAATGCCCCCTCGAACCATAGGTGGCTTTCGAAACAAAATGTTGATACTGTCTCGTTTCTATCGTGTTTTTCGTGCTCTTACTTTACTCGCTTGATTCAAATGTTCCAAGATGGCGAAAGATGTAGTTGGCGCATGCGTAATAAGAACGGGGCACCTGTTATGACCGCTTCACTCAATAAACATTTGTCTCAGGATGTAAAAGAAATAGTGCGGACTTTTTATGATTTTTGTTTTTTATAACAGTCTACTCGGAGACCTAAATAATAAAGTTTCTGTCTCTGATCTACTGAATAAATTATTTTTCACTGTAGACATTTATTATGTGTTCATTCATTCTGATTACAATTTTTTTTTTTGGTTCATAGACCTAATGCTAGAATATAACTTATATTATTAGTCCATGTACAAAGCTTACTAAACATGCTAAAGCCCTCATTTAATTTTTTTTATCTTTTTCTTCTTTTGTGTAAGTTTTCTAAGTTTTCTATCAGTTTTACATTTCACAAGGCTTCGATCAGTATTTTTATGTTTCTAAACTCTAGGAAAGGGCGTGTGCTACTTGCTAGGCGGTCGACGCACTTCATGACCCGAGGCAATATGCTTTCATGTTCGACAAACCCAAATCCACGCCCACACTCAGTCATGAATACACACCTTTTCTCTAATTTTTAGTTAGTTTATAATAATCATAAACTAAAACAAATATAGATTAACAACATCCTTAAATACTTGAGTTTTATGCATTACTTGCGAGGTGTTTTGCATAAAAAATACAGTTCCTTTGATCTTTAATAAAATCTATATTTTCCTGTCAATCAAATTACGAGATCCGGTGATGGTGAAAGGCGTGTTTATTTTTGTCGAAAAATCCCTTCGCGGTACAATATAGTATCGTTATTTTGATTAAAATTTTAAAATTTTCTTATCTTTATTCATCCAAAATTTGAAATACATTTTTAAAAAATGAGATTGTACTTATTATTTTTTGAGAGTTTAAATATTAAACGTGTATACAAAAATCATGCGTATGAATCTCATCCAGACTATCAATTTTTGGACACGAGCCATTGAGGGAGACGCACCTTCCTGTGACAATGAATTCACGGCCCATATTTTGAATAAACAAGCCTCTTTGTCTTTATCTCTTGATGAGTAGAACATTAAATAAAACCATATGACGACAACAATAACAGTTAGACGAAATAATCAGGAATATGTTGTGCCTGCAAGTTCTTCTCAGGTAAGGTATTTTACAAGTGTGTATTATAATACATCGGCACCATCGCGTGTTGTATATACATGTGTCGGCCATGTTTATGTACACCCCTCATCTACGTTAACCCCGCCTTGTTTTAGGACGCGCAACCATCCCCCTTAGCCCTTCTAGCAGCAACTTGTAGTAAAATAGGTGATCCTGCGACTGCCCCCGAGGGAGGAGCCACACAGAATGGGGGTAATGCAGTGAGAGTAGTTGGACAAGCTGGGGGTGCGGAAATAGTTACACCAAACTTTATACAGTTACCGTCGGGAGCCATTGTAGACGCTAGCGGCAAGTTTTTCTTTTGAGTTTAATGAATAAAGTTTTCAATATATTTTTTTTTCAAATTATAGAAAAATTTAAACAATTCTCTGAATTCATTTGTTAAAAATATAATTTTCAGGTAAACAGCAGTTTGGGATCCCAGTTTCTATAGGTCCTAATGGCCAGATTATACAGCAAGCAGCCCAACCTCAACTGTTTGCAAATGGAAATGTACAGTACAGTGTTATTCCTTCTTACCCTACCATTGGCATTGACAGCCAGGATGGATCTGCCATCATTATTCCAGCTTCTCCCTCAGCAAATAACACAGGGCAGGCTATATTTGCTGGAGGACAGCAAACTGTGTTGGCTGCCCCAAATGGTCAACTGATCAGGGCTCAAGGTCTCCCAGCCAACAGTGTCATTCCAAACATGGGATTTGCTAACTTGACTGGGAATGTTGTGAACTTGGGAGGGAATTTAGTAAGTTTGGGCAATGTCCAGGGTGGTCCAAGACCAGTTCAAGCTGTTCAACTTCAGTCACAATATCAACAGGTGCCCAATTTTATTCAGATACCTGTCTCTAATGGTCAAGCCACAGCAATGCAGGCAATTCAGTTACAGTCTTTACCGGGGTTTCAGATGGTTCAAGGTTCTCAAGCAATTACAACTACTGCTAACAGCAGTGGGCAGACAAATGCAGATGGAACACAGACTGTATCCAGTACGAGCACAGTCAGTATTGCACCTCAACCAACACAGCAGCAACAGCCTCAGACAATTCAAATACAACCACAAGTGCTTGAAATCTCTAATGTAGCAACTCCCTCAAAAGGTAGTGACAATAATAATAGTAGTAAACCATCTACACCACAGACTTTAACTATCCAACCTAACCCTGTAACATCCTCACCACCGTCATCAACGACAGCACCTTCAACACAGCAACATAACCAGACTGTGGTCCCTCAGCTCCTCCCTGCCAGCGGTTCTATTCCCATACAACAGATGCCCACTGTTGTGTACAATGCTGCTACTGGACAATTAATACCGATTTCTCAAGGGATGATAGTGTCTAATGGACAAAGTATTGTGATGAATTCTATGTCACAGATGGCATCTAGTGCCTCAACATCAACTGTCAGTACTTCATCATCATCACAGACCTCACAACCTGTCTCTGTGCTTCAACCAGGCCAGGTAATAACCCCTCAACAACTTGGCCTTCAAACTATTCAAGGTCAGAATATCCAGTTTTCTGGTGCCCAACAGCCTGGTCAAGTCATCACTGGTACACCTTGGTTGTCTGCCATTAACAATTTAAATGTGGGCAGCATTAGGCCACCTAATGCAATTCAAACCATACAAGTTCCAAACATGACTCTACAAAACCTTCAAGGTCTGCCTGCAGTGCAGAACTTTCAAGGGATACAGACATTTCAGCTAACCCCTCAGGGGCAGTTAATTGCAGCTGGGCCAACCCCTATCCAGTCAAATCTGGCCATAAACTCCCAGGGGGCAATCACAATAGCAGCCCCTCAGGCACAGACTACCCAGCAGACCCAACCTGCCCAGTCTCTGAGTCCACAGATGTCCCAACAGTACACAGCGACTGTACAAAACATTCAGCCTGCACCCCAGCAAGCTCAGATTATCAATGGTAAATTATTCCCATTTACCCACATTTTTCAGTCTTATAGTAAATAATGCATGCTACTGAAAAGAGTACGGTATTATAAATAGTCTAAGACTACTTTACATAAGAATAACTCATATGCTTTTATTTTAATAGCAAACACAGGGCAGCCTGTAGCTGGAACAACCATACAGCAGGATCCAAATGACCCTACTAAATGGCAAGTGGTTCAAACCCCAAACAACCCACCTCTTAGTCCCACAGAGCAGGGAATGGCACAACCAGGGAGGAGACTTCGGAGAGTGGCATGCACGTGTCCTAACTGTAAAGACAATGAGGGAAGGTAGGTGACAGGAACGCGATCAAGTTAAGAGTATGGTGTCTATTTTTCTTTTTAATTGGCAAAAGATATGAGGTGCATCACTAAATTGAATCAGAAAAAGACAACTGTTCTAGCATTAAAGTACATTGTGTGTTACAATGTTTGAGTTATTTCCCTGTATTTTATATGTATTTACAGATCAGGTGACAACAAGAAAAAACAACATATTTGTCATTACCCTGGATGTAATAAAGTTTATGGAAAGACTTCACATTTGCGTGCCCATTTGAGGTGATAATCATTTTCAGGTTACTTTTCGAAAGTGAAAAATATATCAAAGTCTTACCTAATACTTCCTGTTTATTCTGCTGTATACTTGTAACATAACATTGATGTGCGCAAGTTTTTTTTAAGGTGGCACTCGGGCGAGCGTCCATTTGTGTGCAATTGGTTATTTTGTGGAAAACGCTTCACAAGATCAGATGAACTTCAAAGACACAGAAGAACACACACAGGTAATTCTTGGAAAAGATATTGAGATGTGTTTCTCCATGATTTTTTAGGCATGAGTATGATACAGTTATTCTGTAATAATGTCTTGTTTTCTTATTCTGATTTTTAGGAGAGAAGCGGTTTGAATGTCCTGAGTGCCAGAAAAGGTTTATGAGAAGTGATCATCTTACAAAGCACAGAAAAACTCACAAGAATAAGAATGTGCAAGTTGTTTTAGGTAATACAAGAAAAAATTCTAATGTTTTACATAATGTACCTTCGGATGTCTTACTCAGTGAATTAAGGTTTAAATAATGATGAAAAAATAAAATAATGCTTAAACATTTCTTCCCATAACAAAGTGCATTGTTTCCATAAGAAACTTGTAATCTTTTTTTTTTTTTTTTATTTTTTTTTTTTGAAAGATTCAAGTGAAACTGGGGAGGAGGGGGAGATTGAAGGGTTTCCTGAGACCCTGACTGTGGATACCGATGAGGGAACCACAACAATACAAATGGTGGCATATACTGGACAACCCATTCAGCAGGTGGAGGAGGGATGAGAAGGGATGCAGTAAATTACTGGCATTGCTAAATTATCAGTGTCAAGATTCATAGTCCTAGGCTGTGTGTGCAAAGAGGAGTAGTGACTGCACTGGAAGGAATCCCCTCTCTAATCCGGTCTCCTTGCTTTAATGATGAAGCTTGTTCATGGAGTACATGGTACTCTCTATTTAAAATTCATCAGAATGCTTCTTTCAGCTTGAAGGTGAATAACGTAATACCCAAGATAATGTGCAGTCACTTTATTTTTCCCCCATTCTAGCATTTTATTAAGAGGATATATTGTTGGTAATATATGTGTACATTGGATGTACATGTTCTAAAGTAAGATGTATTTATAATGTGATGTACTTGTTATGTTGTTATAGATGTTGTGCAGCTGTTAGTAGTCTTGTATTTAAAAACTTTTTTTTGGAATGGAATTTAAAGGCAAATGAGGTAGGATCATCATTGCTTTAGAATCATGGAAGTAATATAATGTCTTAAAGAATTGCTATGGCAAAACAATAGGCAGAAGTCTAGAGAAACTGCATTTGATTATTTTCAGAAATGTGATTGGTTGTTTATAAAAAGGAAAAGTTCTATTAAAAAAAAAAAAAAAAAAACTTGGAGTTTAAAGCAAAACATATACACCAAGTTAAGAAATTTTTCACTTTAACCTTTTTCATTTAAATAAATGTTGTTTCATCCAAAATGAACTTCCTTTTATGATATATTTCAAAATTAAGGAAGAGGACAATTTGTTCATGTTGTTTATTTTTCTTACTCTTTAGGGTAGGGGTGGTAAAAGACCAAATATTGGTATCTTTACTTATATTTGCAGTTGTAAAAGACATTGCGATAAAAATACCTCAGTAAATGAGCTTTGACATAATCCAAGTTTCAAAGTTCACATTTTCTTTATAGGTCAATTCCACATTTGATAAAATTAAACTTTTAAAGCCATAATTATTAGTGAATTTTTATACTTTGACATTAATAAAGAAGATAACATTGTAATCTTTTACACTTTCTAGCTCACCTGAGCAGAAGTTTCTTCTCAAGAACCACTGGGCCAATTTCAACTAAACTTACCACAAAGCATCCTTGGGTAAAGGGGATTCAAGTTTGTTCAAATGAAGGACCAAATCTTCTTGAAAGGGGAGATAATCAAAAATTAGTGAAAATTAAATGGCATCTTTTAGAAATCTTTTTTGAAGAATCACTGGGCCAGAAATAATGAAACTTATATGAAAGCTTATATTATTATTATTATTTGTTCAAATCATGCCCACCCATGGGTAGGATGGAACAAAAAAACAGGATCAAAGTTTAAAATAGGAATTTGTAGGAAATAGCTTTAAAAAGTGTCTTCTCATGAATAGCAAAGCCATGATTAGCAGTCATATTAAATCAGAAGCATTCTCAGGTAGTGTAGATTCAAATGTGTTCAAATCATGACCTCCTTGGAGTAGGGTGGGACCACATTTGACAATCAAAGTTTTACTTAGGATTATAGGAAAAAATCTCAAGAACAGCATGGCCTTGATAAGTCATATTAATCATATTAATATGGAACAAGTTTGTTCAAATCATTAACCCCTGGGGGATGGGACTACTTGTATGTGTAAACTTTTCAGTGCTGGACTGATTTCTGCTTTCCTCTCACCAAAGTGCTCAGGTGAGCAATGTGGCCCATAAGTCTCTTGTTGATCCTTCTTATTTCACAGAATTTCTCAGAAAGGCTCTGCCCTAGTGTTCTGTTAAAGTGATTATTTTTGTACAAATGATTCACAAGTACCAGTAAATGTATTGTAGTACCAATATTATACATGTCTTGAGTCATAAACGTTTAGAGTGATCTATAATTGAATCTCAGATTATGAAATGTGAAATCAATTTGTTTGGTATTGTAAAGAAACTGCCTTTTTTTTTTAAAGGGATTTTTGATTTTTTTTAAATGAACATTATTGCAAGTTATTTGCACATCACAGAACATTCAGTGCTATTGTAAACTGATAATTTGTATTCATATACATGTGTATGTATTTTAAAGCTGTCGAACATTTTGATATACATGTAATTTTAGCTCTGCACAGTTTTAGGTGTTTAAGTTTTACATGAAAGATTTTGTAAGGAAAGTTTTTTAACATTGCTTCTGTGTCCCAATGTAAAATAAAGAAATCAACAGCTCAGGTTTTTTGCTTGCCTTATGGTTTGTCAACTGAGGGACTGGACGTGTCATTCATACAAAGGTGAACTCATTAAGACAGGTTGCTAATGAATATTTACAAGGCAAACTTTTTCACAATTATATTAAGCAGCTGGCCCTCCACCAGGATATTTAGATTTTGAAACCTGGGTCATATTTTCCCCCAAGAATTTGCTAATGATGTATTGCTACTTTAACAAGTTTCATCGCAAAAAACGGGCATTTATGCAAGATACCAGAGTAATTTTTGATGTATATCGATGAGATTTGAGGAATATGTAGTCAGACCTTAATGAATCCATTTTCTGAACTTGGCCTTTAAATTCACTTTTCCAGATGTGTTAATAAATTTCAAACAAAAATACACATTAGTTGTAGTAATTCAAATGAGTGATTTTTTTTTAATCTCGAATTTCCCTTTGACATTTTGGACCTTGACATTCCATGACCCTGAACTTCTCTTTACAAGATATTTACATTAAACTTCATACAAAGTTACACATTGGTGAGAGCAATTCAGCTGTGTAATCTTCCCCATGACCATTTACCTTTTCACCCACAATTACAAATTGATGGTAGAAATTCAACTGAGTCATAATTTTCAGTCTTTGACATTTCTTATGACCTTGAACTTCACCTTTTCCTCATTTTTGCACTTAGTTCTTCTTATTAAATTCATTAAAGAATTCCGAAAAGGATAACTTCATATACATGTACCAATCTCTGTGAGAACATTGCAACTGTACCTACTTACGAGGTCATATATAAATTAGCTACAATGAACTTGAAATAGTTAGACTTAACTTAGTTTTTAGATAGATGGACTGAATCAACAATTATAATACCACAATCTACCAAATAAAATAGGCAGATGGAATTGTATCCAAAGAAATGAACACTGTAATTTATACGACGGGAAAAAGAAAGATGAATATCACTGTATATCTTAGAAATAAATGTTTACGTCATTTGCAGACATATTTTTCCAACAGATTTGGATCTAAACCAAATTGATACTACGAACTTTTGTGAAGTTATGTTACTTAAAAATATTGAAATTCTAACCAAACATGCTTTTATTACAAAAATTGTTCTACCCTAGACTTAAATCACATAATCTGCTTGATGTATCTGGTTTTTATCTCGTATACCATTTACATGAATTTAAGTGAATATACTGAAATGAACTTTGTACGAACCATTTTTAAACTGAGACATGCTACTGAAAAATGAGTTAATGTTACGGGGCTTTCAATGATTTTTATCTTATATACCATTTACATGGTTTTAAGTAAATAAACTGAACGGAACTTTGGGCGATCCATTTTTAAACTGAGATGTGCTACTGCAAAATGAGTTAATGTTACAGGGCTTTCGATGGTTTTATCTCCTATACCATTTACATGGTTTTAAGTGAATAGACTGAACTGAACTTATAGTACGAATCATTTTTTTCTAAACTGAGACATGCTACTGCAAAATGAGTTGATGTTACGGGGCTCTCAATGATTTTTATCTCGTATATCATTTACATGGTTTTAAGTGAATAAACTAAAGTGAATTTAGTACGAATCATTTTAAAACTGAGACATGCTACTGCAGAATGAGTTGATGCTACGGGGCTCTCAATGGTTTTTATCTCGTATACCATTTACACGGTTTAAATGAATAAACTAAACTAAACTTAGTACGAACCATTTTTTTAACTGAGACATACTAACAATGAGTTGATGTTACGGGGCTTTCAATATTTCATTTAAAGTCAGCATTTCGCAAATTCTATGGTCGTTATATTTACAAATCTGGTATTATTTTGACTGATATGTTTCATACCACATTATCTTGTTTCCAACTTAGGTTTATATAGTGATTATTTCTGTTATGATCTTAAATTTAAATGATATGTATTGTAAACCTCATAAGTAATTAACAATGTATTTATTATTATTAAAACATGTAATAAGTTATTACTAATGTATGCATCTTTTTTCAAATATGAAATAGGTTCACAGAGCTTATGTTTTTGTTATAAGATTGTTTAATTCTATTCCATTCTTCTGCAGATTTCAAAAATGAAATTATCGCTAACAGAAAGTTCGACAACTCGTGACCGTAAAGAAAGCACATTTGGAGATTCATACAAACATCCTGTGTCTTGTTAATTTCACAGACAACACTGATCGATTCCTTTAGTCTATCTCTAGTAATAAAATCTCCATTGATTGGGTTCGTGTTACGAGTTAAATAATGGAACACCTGATGACAAGCTAAATTTTGTTTCCAAAAAACTCTGCCATCCTGAAAAATTATTGCATGCCTTTTGGTGAAGACTTTTATTAAATGCTATAATGACAAAACTACCTTTTTTGAGTGTGTAGGTTTTTTTTTTTTTTTTTTTTTTTTTCATTTTTGTTGATATGTACGTGAGATCATTGACAGCTACCTCGTACTATTCTGTAATTAGTCAAAGTTCTAGTTTAATTGTTATCACCTAATTTCATTGTCTGAATCAGCCAAGAAAACGACTAAATTGGTGTTCAACGAAAAATAATGAAACCACGATAAATCTTTTCTACGTAACTGTGAAGTAGATAATGATTACTTTAGAATAAATCTTAATTTTGAGAGGCATACATATGGAAAACTTTTTAATATCTAATATTTCATATTATTTAATATTAAGAATAAAATTGGACAGCTGTATTACATCTAATTTTCTTACTTATTTAATATTAGGAATATTAGGAATATAATTGGACTGCTTTGTATTATATCATACTCTTAGTCTCTTACAGATTAATATGAGAACAAGAGAAAGATAAAAATCATTTTTAAATAAAAATATTGTATAACACCCCCTCTCATCCCCGCCAAAAAAGGTGATGCTTGTCCTTTTATTGGTTTTTCTATCACCTTCCTTTGACCACTGCATGTCCTAGCTGGAATTCAAAACCAATACTGATCTTTTTAATCAATAATCAAAGAGTCAATTAATTGGGTATGTTTATAATTACAGATTATTAACGTTGACTTATATTTCTGATGAGGGTTCCAATTTAACCTTATTTTATTCTTTTTAGTTATAATGGACTATAAAATTTTGGTTTGGAAGCTATAAATCTGTATAATTTCTTTTATTGTTTACAAATTTTCATTGTTGCGAAGAGACACCGAGAGTATATTTTCATAATATATATATATATATATATATATATATATATATATATATATATATATATATATATATATATATATATATATATATATATATATATATATATATATAATTTAAACTAATATACTAAATATTTGTCTGAATTCTAACACCCAATGCAGTTTTAACTTTGATATACCCCCCCCCCCCCCCCGCAAAAAAAAAAAAAACAATTGAAGTAAATGTTCGGTCTCTGGACTGACCAGTGTCCAGACATCAATAAGCTGACCAGTGTCCAGTCACCAATAAGCTGACCAGTAAAGTATTCCTCTCAGTGCATATACGTTAAGTACTTGATGGTCCCATTCTGCCATCGATTCGCTGGTTATTTCATATCCAAAGTCGCTGGTATATTGACTGCACATAGGGCATAATTCGTTCTCTATTGATCGCAGAACTAAAATGAAACAAATCAAAATGTTAATCAATAGACTCCTATTAAGTCGACCCCTTTAGGAAGCGAAGGCGACAAAATGCAATTTGGGATAGAAAAGTATCAACCCATGACGTCTTGTGTCTCGCAAATAAAAATCAAGAACGTGCGGAGTATATAGGGATTAACCGAAGGATGCCCGCTTGGCACTTTTCTCTAACGGTTTTTGTCTATGTTACACTTCTTCAAGGTAAGCTCAATTTCATTCTCCACAATTTTCACAAATTATTGATTTATCTCGTATATTTCTACTTTGTTTATGCAAGTCAACCAAAGTATACATATTTAATATGATAATGCTACATCTCAAGTGATTTGTGATAGATTACTTGGCGTATTTGATTTACTCAAATACAATCCAAGATATAGGGAGGGGGATCTTTTATGATATAGTTCAGTCAGAAAAGGAAAGGGTATTTCTGATAAGTTTTATTTTCCTTAATTGCTACCATTGCTTATAGATCTATCACATTACATGAACATATACGCGATTGCTCTTGATAACATAATGACAACTTCAATTAATTAACTCTGTAAGACTTCTTTCTGATATATATATATATATATATATATATATATATATATATATATATATATATATATATATATATATATATATATATATATATATATCTGTTATAATTAAAGTCCCATTTACTAAATCTGTAAAAACGAGAAGGTTTACTGATCTTATTTCTGTCGATAATATCTGTTGATTTCCATTACTGCGTTCATTATCTACCATGAGTTTTCGTATACATTTTAACAACTTAAACAAGAATTGAAACTACTTGTATATTTTGTATAGTTACAAACTGAGATGGATATCAGGGTTTTCGAGCCCGTCATCTTTCAATAAAATGTTAACCAATAAGTTTAACTCGAAGATGTGAGATAACACATATTTTACACAGTTTAAATTGTGATTTTGGAATAGAGAGAGAGAGAGAGAGAGAGAGAGCAATACTTGAAATGGATTAAAGTAACGTATTACCAACTACATGTGTTGCTTTGTCCTGAAATGTTATATTCTGAAAAACAGTTGTGAATTAAGTGTTAATACGAAAGCTCAATAAACCAGTTTTAAACAAACAAGTAAACAATACTAATTGCTGCAATCAATTACAAATTCATACCACTGAGTATATTATGGTTTATTTAGCATAAATCTTTGCTTAGGTAATAGTTAAATTAAAATGAACAAGTAAGAATAACTCTTCTTTAGTTTTATCCATCTTTAATTTTTTTTTCAAAAAAAGCGATTAACTTATACCTCTATCACCCCTCAAACATATTTTACTTCTCTCTCTCCCTCTGTTGAGATATATATATATATATATATATATATATATATATATATATATATATATATATATATATATATATATATATTGAAATGACTGTTTTTATTTTCTTCAAAATATCCACAGGTGAAAGCGAGTCCTTAAACTGCTACCAATGTACTAATGAGAAGACTAATATACATTGTGTAGATGACTATAATGTTCAACGCTGTGATAGAGGAATGGACACCTGTCAAACAATTACGTCATACTCAGGTAAAATCAAACAATTACGTCATATCCAGGCAAAACTTTTTTTTAATTCATTTTTTTTTTAGTTGTACTGGTTAAAAGACAAATAGTCCGAGGTGCAAGTAGGAAACCAGTAGAACTAAAGTCTCATCAGAGACTTCTAATTTTAAGTTCAGTTTTACAAAACAAGATTTTTTCATCTTTTTTTTTGTACTTTTTAATGCAATAAACATAAGCATCTGCACAAGTTCTTTAAACAAAGCAAAATCAATTATCATTAATGAGCTGTAAATGAAATCGATGTTGTATACAGTATCGATATATCAACCCCCACCCACCTACCCCCCATTTTAGGTCACCTAAGTCACTCAGGTGACTTGTTGCTACCTGTTTTTGTCCTAAGTGCATGATTATAATGAACATTACCACTTCCAAAATTATGAGATTCATTGCCCTTGAGACAAGGGATTTGGTGTTAGAATGGGACTCTAGTGATCATATAGTGAAAATGCATTAATTCTTTGAAAAACTTCTTTCTTCCTTGGTAGCAGTATTAGGTGCATGGCAATGATGAGCAAGAGTGCCTCTACCTAAGACACAAAATTCATTGCCAAAGGGGTTCTGGTGTTAGGACGGGGCTCTATTCATAATACAGTGAAAATGATTAATTCTTTGAAAATCTTCTTTCCCGTTCCTGGGTTTAAAGCAGACAAACTAAACTTGTGCATGGTTATGATGAGCAAGAGAGCATCGACCTAAATTACAAAGTTTATGACCCAAGGATCAGGAGTTCTGGTGTTATGGCAGGGTCCTATGAACATATATTGAAAATGTATTACATATAATTCATTGAAAATCCTCTGTATCTGGTATTTAGCACACAAATTAAATGCATGGTTATATGATGAGCAAGGGTGCCTCTAGGGTTAGGGGTTGTGGTCTTAGGGCGTGGCTCTACATATATTATAAAAAAAAAATGCATTTTTTGTTGAAAATCTCTATATAACATACACATTAAGCAGACAATCCAAGTATATGCAGTAGTTTCAATGAGCAGGGGTGTTTTATCAGATGTGTTCAATTCATAACCAATGCGTGAATCAGGGGTTCTTGTACTAGGGCAAGGCTCCTTCAATTTTACGATTTTTCTCCTTTAATTCCTTATTCACTTAAAATAAAAAATAACTCAGGTGACCGTTTATGTCTTTTAGTCTTTTGTTTTCTTTATTTTAAATTATAATAATAAATTATTTTAGGATTTTGCCCAGATAACAAAATCTTTTCTGTAGAACATTTTTTTGTGCGAAAAGTACTGTAATGATGCAAACTTTTTTTCCAGACGTGTCAGAGAGGCTTTCCATTTTGAAGTCTTGTACAACGAATGTGTCCTGTCACCTTCAGAAGCAGGAGTACTACAGATCCTGTAATCTAGTCAGTCCAGGATGGGTGTGTGTTTATTGTTGTCACCATGACAAATGCAATATACACGCGGCTTCCGGAACAATATCATCTCTGAGGACCAAGTCGTTATTAAGACAAATATTGGATTATATTTTCCTTTACTTGATAATTTCTGTGAACAAGTACATTTCTGTATTGATGTTATAACTGGAATGTAATTAAGTTTCAGACACGTCTTCCAATGCCATAAATTCTACAAAACTGGAGCAGCAAAATTGATACAGTGATTCTGTTTGGGATTTGTGTTTTTTCTCCTACAGCACCATTAATGGCATTCTCACTTGATGCTGAAAATCGAAGAAACTTGGGAAAAGAGCAGTGCAACATTGGTTACTTTTCCCATTTCTCCATGAATTTAGTTTTAAGTTTTGACAGAAAAATCATAAAACGAAAAAGAAAAAAAAACAAACAAACAAAAAACAAACATCGATTTCATGACGAAGGATAGAGCAATCTTCGTGCACATTACTCGTAAAACTAGTTGCTGTTTTTTTTAAATTAAAAGGTGTTTCTCCAAAGTGTGAGAGAGATATAGTGAAGATATAATGGAAGACTGGGAATTATTTAAAGGAACCCTTTGTTGATAGAGATTGGGAGAAAAACAAATTTGACCTTATTTAGTGTAATATAAATTGTCAAAAGTTGTTTTATAATACAGAATGCCTATAATCCTTTTGATTACAAAAGAAAATTTAAAATTTATGTATATATTTTATTGAAATACAAATGCAATTTTTTCATGTGTTTAGAGGAAATATAATCATCAATATTGAATATATACATATATATAAAAAAAAAATACACCTCTGTTATATATACTACATGTCCAAGTTAATTCTACGTTTAGCGCCCGCGTGCGCCTTGGTTTTTCACAAACCATATCAGAAAAAAAAAACACAAAATCAGGAGTCCTTAAATTGATTCTTTGAATTTCGTCGATTTCTCAAAATAATTCTGTACAGTATGTCATATTAGGTGTTTTTAAAGTATTTAATGCCTTGATTTTGTTGAAGAATAGATATTTCTTCTAGAAAAACAGTTTAATGAAATCGTTTCGTTTGAATGACGTCATTTGTATGACTTTTAAGTCTGTGTTTTATGGGTTTTTTTTTTTTTTTTTTTTGTTTTGTTTTTTTTTTTTTTTTGCGAATGCAGGTTTTTCGAAAGATGGATGGACGCTAAAATAAACAGAGAAAAAAACTTGGAATGGCCTCGTGTAGAAATGCTACAAATATAACCCCCTTTTTTCTTTCTCCCTATTAAAAAAATCTAAACTATGCTAAAAAGAAATAAGGATTAAGGGGCACACCCTATTGGGGGGGGGATTAAAGATGTAAAGATGGTTGAAAAATAAAGAGGAATTATTTAAGTATGAATTAAGGACCTAAATATTAATGTACCCATTCTGTTTGCTTAAATTTGTACAAAATGCTATGTATCTCTTTATGCTAAATTATTAAAGATTTATACCCCCCCCCCTTTTTTTTCACGTGCCAAGTATGAGCTTCTATACATTTCCTCTGAATTAATTAGGAATTTTAGATATTTGAACACTGTGACTTTGACCCTAATCTTGGGTCACGTGTTTGTTTCAAGTAATGACCATTGAATCTTTCTTCACGTTCTATTCCGTGCAAGTCAATGACTCACAGAAGCCCCATGGGCGGATACAGGGTTTGTGATTAGGGGGGGGGGGCGTGGATAACTTTGTTCAGGCAGGGGGTCTGGGGGCCGCCTTAAGGCCCCCAGGGGGTCCAGGGCGAAGCCCTGGTGGGGGCCCAGGGGGCGAAGCCCCTGAAAGCTCCTGGGTTTTCGTGAATTTTAGAGTAAAACCAGGCACAAAAATAGTGGTATTGATTAGTTATGTACACTATGATATTTCACTTTTTAAAAGAAAAACACACACACACAAACCAAAAAAAAAAAAAAAAACACAAGATAAGTGTGTTGGGTAACTTCGACCGCACACGGGGTATTTTCGATCGATGTGCAAATATAAACGAAATTATTCGCGTCATCTCTAATTAAAATATATATATATATATTATTTTAAATTATTCTGTTGTTAAACATAAAAGATTGTGAAAAAATGCTGACAAAAAAGTAATTTTCAAAATGTACCTAATTTGAAGACATTAAATGCACCAGGTGCCTTGAGACTGACTTAATTACCGATTTGTCAAGGTATGCTACAAATGTATATATATGCGCAGGCATCTAAACCGCATGTAAACAGAGCAGATGATTTTTTCACTGTTATAGAACTAGTTTCTACGGAGTATTCTTATACATAATACTTATCCTAATATTTTTTTTTATACGGACAGTGGTCATGATTCTTTTCTGGTAACAAATAGCATTGCGTCATTTTCATTGGTCGAACTGAGTTACCCGCTGACGCCGTATTCATGCATGGGTAACTTCGGCCGATTTCTGTTCAGCTGCATGATTTGCATTTTATTTGTAAAAACTAAATTAAACATTGAAAAGGTATGAATTTAAGTTGCAAAATTAAACATATAGTAGATAAATTTCACGCCAGGAATTCCACTGTGTCTGTCTATATATACAAGATATTTTCAGAGGTGATAAACTGATAATTCCCCGCAATGGTTTAAAAATACTCGTCCGTAATTTTTCGGGCGATAAAGTTTCTTCTTGGATGTAATTTTCCAGTGAAGAAATAAATTTCGCCTATTATTATCGACATTGATTTGTATATGAAAAATGCATTTTCTTTCTGCATAAAATAGATGTGTGTGCACTATACTGGGTTATAAACAAATTATTTTAAGGTATTTATGAACGGTCGAAATTAACCAGGTGGTCGAAGTTACACCATCCTAACCTATATCCTGACGTTAAATTCCATTTATATGCATGGAAAGATTATGAGATGTGTGTAATGAAAAAAGTCTAGTATCTATGTAAGTAAATTACTGCATAGTTACACCATTTGATAAATAAATACATCAATCAGTGGACGGGTTTGTAACGTAGACCATCTGATTTTAAAATTCATTTATTTACCTTCGACCAGCCTTTAAATATTGCAGTATTTTTCCTTGCATCATGAAATTGATAAGTGCAGTATACCCTTCAAACGAAATCGGGAGACGTTTTCCGGTTTGAATAATTATGAGATAATATTCATAGCCTAGGGAAGTGCGCCCCCCCCCCCCCCCTTAAAGCCGCCAGTGAGCCCAGTCTGGTATGCAACTCAGTATACAAAACTACTCTTTACTCGGGCAATTAAATTAGATGTGTTTTTTAAAATAACGTCTTCCCCTTCTCCAATCATACCTCTACTCCATATGACCTTGACGACATAACTAAATTAAGTCAAGGTCTTGACACACCTTAAGGTCATAAGCAACAAAATACACTTGAATTGGGTTCCAAAGTTACAGCTTGCAACCATGCACTCAGCTGGAATACATTCCAAATTTATGGCCCTGAATGTCACAATCTCTTTGCTCAGTGATCTTGAACTTTTTCAGATATGAATTTCACTTAATACAATAACACACTTGTAAATCACCAACAACCACGTTTCAGTGACTTATTGTGTAGTGACCTCTACTTATATCATCTTGAGTCAAGCTTGACACACATTCTAAAATATCAGTAACTTAGTGTTTTTGCATAAGCATTTACATCAGGTCAACACTGCAGGTCAAACGTCCTTCAAATCACAATTATTTTAAATATGTAGGCCTCATGATGGTCCAACCATGTTTTTGAGTAGAGAAGTTGAAAAAATTATATAGAATGTGTTAGATATATTCTTGTTTTACACTTTCATAATTTTTTTTCCTTCTTAAAATGCATTGTCTGTATTAATGTTCAAGGTATCATCATTTCAGAAATGTTCATCATAAAATTAAAATAAAATCAGCTCATCACATTCAAATATCCATATTTTATTAGTAGTATTTTATTAAAGGGTAAAAATAACAAATCTTATTACATGAAAGGCTTTGCCTGTTTCCAACACTTACTAACCAAAACTGTTAGGAAATCTGTTTCCAGTATTCTATGCAGGTCATAATGACAAACAGCATATATGACAATGGATAAAAAAGGGTGGAGGAGATAAAGAATAAAATGCACTCCTCACTGACTTCAGACTTAATTTGAAAGCATGCACAACTGTTGACATTATTAAATACACGCACACATGTGCATGCACTATCTAAAGAACAGGTTTACATACATGTAGTTAAATTTACAGTAAGCATCAACCTTTTCCTGTAATTATGCAGGATTCAACCATCACCTCAACTGTGTAGCACAGCTGGAAACACAAAATATCACTTTCTGGAAATTATACAGTACATTGAACTTTATATTTTCATGTGCAGTCATTGAAAATTTCATACGACCATACAAACAATGCCTTTTCTGTAGACAATCACTAAAGAGATATTCTCACAAAATTATGTTAAACAAATGTATACAAGTACTGTAGACATTGTGTATTGTCATTGTATTCAACAAAACTGCAAAATATTTAACAACAGCCCTTTTATCCTTACTTAATTTTCATGAATTTATTTACCTAATGTTTTGACTTAAATATCGGGTGTTATTTTTTCATTCAAAATTTAAAACTATCAGATAGCTTTGTAGTTAAATAATTTCAAGGACTGCTTGCTTTAAGCCCAGTATACAAGAATATTTTGTCATAACTCTTCACTTTGTAAAGCTTGAAATTACACTAAATTCCACATATATCAAAATAATAATAATACACAGCATAAAATGGTAATACATGTAAATAGGATTTACTAGTTAATGCTTTGCATGTTCTTAAACAAATGTAGCTTACTAAAGTAAAATGTCAGTAACAATCTGTTATATGAGTAGCACCATACTCTAAATCACAAGATTTCAAACAAAGAAAAGGATTTGTGTACAACTTTCAACACATTTGTGTGCATTTTCAAACAGGCTTTTACTATAGATAGTTGAAAACCTTTTAGTATTTGAAAATGAAGGCAATGTACGTGTAAGCACTGTACATCAAATAAATTATTGATGAACCTGCATTGTTCACTACCCTGAAAAAATCACCCAGAATATTTTGATATAGTGAATCAAAGCAATAAACATATAATAATAAAAACTGAATAGAAATTTTAAATATAATGTACAATAATTAATTTTTTTCTACTTTATTTTAGATATAGTAGGAGCTGATGAACAAAGGCCTAATTTGTAAACATGATAAAACACTTCACTCAGCAAATATAATCCCATTGTTGTCCTTTCCCAGAAAAAAGCCTGTCAACTCAGCCGTAATATTCCCTTATAATGCTAACTGCTGTAAACTTTATGAAGAAGTCACACTGGTGGCACATTAGAGAGGTTAATTAAAGGTCAATCGTTATCACCTTGATGCATACATCTGTATATAGTCTCTCACTTTTGCTTTGAATGACTCCTGCAAAGTTACAAAAAAGTTCTGTACCACACATATTTCAAAACCATTCAAAATGAAGAAATAATGTTCTTTCACTGATCCATATAATAATATTTATTCTTTGTAATCATCATTAAAAGCTAAAAATAAATAATAATAAAAAAAAATTATTTTACAGAATATTTTTATTTTTAACTTTGGTTGCTTTTTTAGTCTCTCTGCATTTTTTAATCTCATTTTATTGAACAACCATGATGTACCTTGTTTCTAGAGTAATGATCTGCAGCATCAACATTTAAAGGATCATCAAAGTTCAATAAATCCTGAAACATTAAACAAAGGCATACATATATCATAACAATCTCCAAAATTTACGTGTAAATTTGCATAATCCTATGAATAAGTTATGCAATTTAATCTCTCTTCTGAACAAGTAGAAAACTAGCATTCTCGAAGAGTGACTCCAAAATGTAATATTGTCTTTCTTAACCATCCTCATCAGTAATATTGCACCAGGAGAATGAGTGCAGCTGGGTTCTGCAGCATCAAGTTTTACTATATACTTACTGAAAATAATGAATTTAATCCCCAAACTACGTCTTTCAATCTTCTAGTTGGTGCCCAGCCTGCATTAGAAATGCTCACACAGTAAATCATGTGTTAGTCTAGAAAAAACTATAATTTTGAGAAAATGTTTCAGCTTTAAAACAAACAAGGGTGTGTGTGTGTGTTGGGGGGGGGGGGATTGAGGATATATACATGTACCATAAATTGCAGAAAATAAAATTTTCAACTACAGATAAACACACATAAATATACAGTTAAGATTTGCACATTATTCATCACATACCCAGGCTATCATAAGAACTTTGACGTAACAGACTTAAACAAACTTCTCCATCTTCGTTGATGTTTGGGTGCCATATCCTCGTGTTACATACAACCTGAGGGGGCTAAAAAGGGAAGAAGAACAATATCTATACATGTACAGAGCCTAATGAAAGTCTGTCTGTAGTGAAAAAATCCATTAATTCTGAAATCCTAATTATTCTAAGTTTACAACTTCAGGAGAACTAGTGGGTATTATTTTTTTTTTTTACAAACACATGTCTCCCCTTCTTTACCAGCATTAACGAGTGCATATATATGATCAGGGTCAAAAATAATAATGCAGTGCATCTCAACTCAAATTCTGTGTAAAAAATTACAAGTCTTCATGTCAAACGGATCTCAAGTAATGGTCTGGTCGTGTTTTTCTTAATTTGACCTTGAAGAAAGTGGTCAAGGTCAAATATTTTGATGCAGTGCATTTAGTCTCAATGTTGTCTTTCCTTGTTCCAAGTTTGAAATCCTAATGTCAAAAAGTTCTCAAGTTATGACCTAGACTATATTTTCATGTAAACGATTGACCTTGACTTTATTAATAGGTCAAGGTGAAAAAAATGTTGGCATTCACCCTTCCTCTATACCACCTCTCCAAGTTCTCAAGTTATGGTATAGTCATGTTTTCTCTATTTGACCTTGAAGAAAGGGGTCAAGGTCAAAATTTTGAAGCGTTGCATCTTGTAACAATGTCTTCTTTCGATGTTACAAGTTTGAAGTCCTAATATCAAAGGGTACTCAAGCTAAGGCCTGGACTCTATTTTGATGTAAAAGATTGACCTTGACATTATAATAATTGGATCAAGGTCAAAAAATTTTGGTGGCATGCATCCCTCCTTCATACCACTTCTGCATGTTCCATGTCTGTAGTCTTTATAACAAAGGATTCTTAAGTAATGGTCTAATCAAGTTTTTTCCCTATTTGACCTTGAGGAAGAAAAGAGGTCAAGGTAAAAAAATTTTGGTGTGTTGCATCTTGTATCAATGTCTTCTTTCTCTGTTACAAGTTTGAAGTTCTAATATCAAAGGGTACTCAAGCTATGGCTTGGACTCTATTTTGATGTAAAGATAAAAGATTGACCTTGACCTTATAATAATTGAATCAAGGTCAAAAATTTTGGTGGCATGCATCCCTCCTTTATACCACCTCTGCATGTTCCAAGTTTGAAGTCTTAATGTCAAAAGGTTCCCAAGTTATGGTCAGATCATGTTTTTTCCCTATTTGACCTTGAGGGCAGAAAGGGGTCAAGGTCAAAATTCTAATGCAGTGCATTTTGCCTCAAGGTCTTCTTCCTATGTTACAAGTTTGAAGTCCTAATATCAAAGGGATCTCAAGTTATGGGCTGAACTCTATTTTGATGTAAAAGATTGACCTTGACCTTATAAATAGGTCAAGGTCAAAAATGTTGGTGGCGTGCACTCCTTCTCAATGTAATCTATCTATGTTCCAAGTTTGAAGTCTTAATGTCAAAGGGTATTTAAGTTACGGCCTGGACAAAATTTGGATGATGATGAAGAAGAAGAAGAAAATCGACAAAAACAATATGTCTCCCCTTGAAGGGGAGACATAAAAATTAATTGTCAACAACTCTTGTTTCCAGAAATTTAGCTGAAAATACAGATCTTTATATTCAAAGCAACACAAACATAACTACATGTACCTAATATGTGAACATAAAATAGACATCTCAAGGATATCAAGGTTTCACTGCTTATTACCCATTATCTGATACAAATGTTTGGAGAAATTTTAAATTCACTATTGTCCAAATTCTTAACAGATTTGTATGCTAAAGAGGACATAAATCACAGTTACATGGAAAACTTAGTATTTACTTAAAAAATTAACAAGCTTATTCAATGTTAATATTATTTCCTGCCCTTATGAACATTGATAAGAGAGAATTTTCAATAACCTAGCTTCCTTGTGGTATTGTATAACATGGAGGATTGAGGAACATACATATGTGTGTCTAATAGTCTAAGGATATCTAGACTTAGTCTGTAGCCAGTACTAGGTTTGTTGCCAATAATCCTAAAGTGTCTGGGTAAAAATAATAGAATTTTTAGCAAAGAAGATATATCCAGGTATTCTATGGCTTTGATAAACCCTATATGCCTCAAAAACTTGAAATAAATATATTACAAAACAAGAGGCCCAAGGGCCTTAACGGTCACCTGAGTATGATACAACAATTTCAAGGATGCATAGAGTGTAAAATGAACTGAAAGGTGAAGCTTTGTTGCCCAAAAGCAAGAAAAATAGGGTGGTCATGATCAACAAAATAACTGGTCTTAATATTCATTAACAGTTCATAAATTAGGTTCTAATCTGTTCCCAATTTATCACTATCACTATACAGTATATTAACAAATTATCAATGCTTCTGTACTATTTTAATCCTTTGTTGAAATCTCTTACATTAGCATCTCTTGGTCTTTGATGAATATTTAATAAGACAAGTTATTTTTGTCTCATTTTTATTTATCTAATACTTACAAGACTATCTGATCATTAAAACTATGAAAGTACTTTTTGTATTATACAATAAAAGTTTTTGCATGATTCTCTTATTCTATTTACCTTTCAAGTACATTATTTACAGTGATAAATTATCACAAGTAAATGGCAAAGGGGAATAACTCCTCTCAGAAGAATACAAACTAATAGAGCCCTGGCCAGGACCAGAACACTTGACCAAATGATCCAGATGTTTAAAAATCTGGTAAAAATTCCCTTCCTTATAAAAACTTTTACTCTGTTTGCCTCAGATATGCCCAGGTGCGGAGAAGATTTTTAAATAAATAATGCATTTTTACTACAGATTCACTATATTATCAATAGAGCCCCCAACCCCCAACCCCCAACCCCCAAAACACCAGAGCTTCTGACCCTGGGACCATATGTTTGCTCATCATCACTTTGTTTATCTGCTTAACACTAAGGAGCAAACAGGATTATTTCATAGAATTAATGCATTTTCACTACATTATCAAGAGCCCCACCCGCACACCAGCACATCTGACCCAGGGGTCATGAAATTCACTACTCTGGAAGAAGCACACTTGCTCATCATAACTATACACTTAGCTTCTTTGCTTTTTTAACCAGAAGAAGAAAAGAATATTTTCAAAGAAATTTTGCTTTTTCACTTTATAATCAATAGAAGCCCCCCCCCCCCCCCTCTCACCAAAACCCTTAAACCTGGGGTCATAAAATTGATAATTTTGGAAGAGGCATCCTTGTGTATCATAACAATGTACTTTAGTCTGTTTAAGCAATACCCAGGGGCAGAGAAGAAGATTTTCAAAGAAATAATTCACCTTCACTATAGGATCTATATAGCCCCGCCCTAGCACCAGAACTCCTGTCCCCGGGGCCATGAATTTCACAATTTTGGAAGAGGCATCCTTGCTTACCATAACAATGTACTTAGTTTGTTTAAATAACACCCAGGTGCAGAGAAAAAGATTTTTAAAGAATTAAAACATTTTCACTTTATAATCAATAGAGCCCTGCCCTAACACCAGAACCCCTGATCCAGGGGCCACGAATTTCACAATTTTGAAAGAGGCATCCTTGATTATCATATCTATGTATTTAATGTGTTTCAATAATACCCAGGAGTAGAGAAGAAGATTTTCAAAGAATTAATGCATTTTCACTATATAATCAATAGAGCCCCACCCTAACACCAGAACCCCTGACCCAGGGGCCATGAAATTCACAATTTTGAAAGAGGCACTCTTGCTCATCATAACTATGTACTTAGTTACTGAATTTAATACCCAGGAGCAGAGAAGAAGATTTCAAAGGATTAATGTATTTTCACTATATAATCAATAGAGTCCCGCCCTAACACCAGAATCCCTGACCCAGGGGCCATGAAATTCACAATTTTGGAAGAGGCACTCTTGCTCATCCTAACTATGTACTTAGTTAGTTTATTTAATACCCAGGAGCAGAGAAGAAGATTTTCAAAGAATTAATGCATTTTCACTATATAATCAATAGAGCCCCACCCTAACACCAGAACCCCTGCCCCTGGGGCTATGAATTTCACAATTTTGGAAGAGGTACTCTTACTCATCATTACTATATACTTAGTTAGTTTATTTAATACCCAGGAGCAGAGAAGAAGATTTTCAAAGAAATAATGCACTTTCACTATATGATCTATATAGCCCCGCCCTAGCACCAGAACCCCTGACCCTGGGGCCATGAATTTCACAATTTTGGTAGAGGACTTCATGCTTATTACAATGATGCCAACAGTTTGACTGCTTGATGTCCAGGAGTAAAGAAGAAGATTTTTAAAGATTGCATTAATTTTGGTGGTTTTAGCCCCACCCCTCAGGCCCCAGGGGGGCAGGGACCATGAAATTCACAATTTTTGTTCCCTTTCACCCATAGATGCTATATGCCAAATTTAGTTGAAATTGGTTGAGTGGCTTCAGAGAAGAAGCTAAAAATGTTCAAATGTTAACGCACATCGCACGACGTCGGACAAAAACGGATAGCAATAGGTCACCTGAATGACTCAGGTGACCTAATAAAATCCAATTCTTGTGAAAAACCAAAAGTGATTTAATCATTACAAATAACTTTAAGTGAAACTGCTTACTACAATATTATATTCTTCAGGTATATCAAGAGTGAATTTAAATTTCCCACTCTTCCAAAAACCTTCATCTGGTACAATGGTCAATGTGAAGATGTGTAATTTATTTGGATCATCAAAATGCACCGTGCATGTTTTGGGTAAGTTCTCCTCCATCTCCTGAACCTCTGCAAGAAATAAGGGAAAAATGACATGCTGGTACTAAAAACACAATGTACAGTAAGACCTCATTATTTCAAACTAGATGGGACCAGGAATAAGCTTCAAGATATCCTTTTGACATCCAGCCTATAACCTAATAAAATGTATATAAAATTCCGGATTTTATACGGCCAAGGGTGATTTCCTGAAGGACCACTGCAATGTAAGAAAATGGTTACACTGAGGCTGTCCTACGGAAGTCACCATTAGCTATATGAACAGGTTCTTTATATACGGTTTATAACATTGCCGCTGTTGAAAAGAGAGAGGTTAAAATTTCAAGAGAAAGAGTGGTTAGAGATTCCACCTTGACATATTCATGCTATTTGAAATATCAATGTTTGAGATACAAAAGTTAACTGCACATTAATCTCTGCCAATCAGGAACCAAGAGGACGAAAATATGAATCTTTCTACAGGTCATTTAATGTGAACATTTGTAAAATGTTTTAAATTCAAATTCAACACTACCTTTAACTAAAAGTTTATCCCGAATTGAAATTCTCTTTGTGACGTCATCTTGAACAATCTTGTTTCTAGGGGATTCTGAAGGTTGTTTAAGCTTCTTGGAGAGAGTGATCATGATTTTATCTGGAAATAATGTTCAAATCTTGTTACAAGTTTCAATGGTAAGAAGTGATCATAATAAAATAATATTAATGGATAAATTATACCATCATTAAAATACAGCAAAATATATAATATAAACTGGCAATGATCCAGATCAATTATATCTATCTATCTATATACATATTTTATATATATATATATATATATATATATATATATATATATATATATATATATATATATATATATATATATATATATATATATATAAACAAGAGGCCCATGGACCACAATGCTCACTTGAAAAACTATGGCCCTTCTTGTTCTTCATCAGTAGATTCTCTTTCTTATACAGTTGAACTTCGGTATCTCGAACACTGATATCTCAAATACCATGGATATGTCGAAGTGATTTTGAAGTCCCAAGCACTTATTTCTTAAGTTTTTTACCCTGGATATCTCGAATCCTCGGATATCTCGACGTATTTTCTTGGTCCCTTGAAGTTCGAGATAACGAGGTTTGACTGTATATTCATATGTAAAATTTTGTCGCCCTAACCTACCCCCAAGAGTCATGAACGATCATAGTGCCCCACGGGGTCATGATTTGAACAAACTTGAATATACACTACTTGTGGATGCTTCAATATAAATATGACTTAAAATGGCTTTCCTAAAAAAAGAGAAGAATTTTAATCTTGAAGAGAAGAATTCTAAAGATTTTTCCTATGTAAAACTTTGATTGCTCAATGTGGCCCCATCCTGCCCCAGGGGTCAGGATTTGAACAAATTTGAATCAACCTGGGGATCCTTTCCATATAAATATGACTGATCATGGCTTTTCTGTTCTTGAGAAAAGATTTTAAAAGATTTTTCCTAGATAGCCATGTAAAACTTGGACTGCCCATAGCAGCCCCACCCTACCCCCGGGTCATAATTTGAACAAACTTGAATCTACACTTTATTAAGAAGCTTTCACATAAGTTTCACTAATTCTGGCCCAGAAGTTCTTGAGAAGATTTTTAAATGACACCACCCAATTTTTACTTTTTCTTAACTATCTCTCTTTGGAAAAGGATGTGGCCCTTCATATGAACAAACTTGGATTCCCTTTACCCAAGGATACTCTGTACAAAGTTTGGTTGAAATTGGCCCAGTTGTTCTGGAGAAGAAGATGAAATTGTAAAAAGTTTACGACAACTACGACAAACAACAGACAAATTTTGATCAGAAAAGCTCACTTGAGCCTTCATCTCAGGTGAGTTAAACAAGTCTAGAACAATGTTCTTAAAATATTAATGAAATGAAGTCTTAAAACTGTCTCCAGGTCTCCATGTTATAACAAAGCAAAGGGGGTGTAAATGGGCTCTGGATGTTGGTTGTGAAAACTGCCTAAACAATCATGTGGAGGACCCCTCCTTTCACCAGTCTAGACGAACTCCAAAAACGGCGTGAACTCTGAAAACGAAGTCTTTGGCTCCATCATGCATTGTGGCAAAATGGCGTCCGATGTAAACAAACGATGGATTGTCGTTCGCTTCCTCCAGATATACGTCTGCATAATGGCTGTATTTAGTGCATTGTGACTTTATTTTAATTTTTGTTGAATGGATAATTACATTTATTAAATTATTTTGTGGATACTGACTTATTTATCGCTTCAAACTCTTGCATAATGGTAAATTGGATATACGACATCAAATTCAGTGCTGCCAGTAAGAATTATTTTATTATTTGATTTATTGTCTCCTTGATTTAAATTTTATGTCGTTCCTAAAATAAAGGTGCTTTTATTTGTTTTTGAAGACACCCAGCTTGTGTTTATTTTAATCAGAAAATGCGTATTTTTCACCACGGAGCAGAGATATTCACAGGTTCATTTTTAGAAGACATTTGTGACCTTAATTTCTAAAAGAGTGGTTTTTAAAGTCTTCATGTTGATAGATTATAGTTTTAAAAATGTTTTCACAATAATATCTGTTCGTATGTGATAAAAAATCGGTAAATAACGATGGTAATAACTTACGTGTTCAATTCAGATGTCGTACACAAATAAAAAACCGGAATGCTAATTTATGTGTAAAATTCAGTCTCGTTTTTAACAGTTACAATATATATTGTCCCATTTTGATTATATTTCCCTTTTATTATGCACATTTACTTCTCAAACGTATCATTTTCTATGTAATTGATCTCACTTCAAACGTCAACTTTGAAAGTAAATATCTCCTTTTTTGCAAATAAAATAAAAAATCTGACAAATATGATCCCTCCCGAAGTCTTTTATTTAGCATTTCTGAATACTGTCATAATTGCCATACTTTCCAAAACTTTGCACGGACAGTTTTTGTAGACCCATCATTTTTGCCGAAAAATTGCCATTTTTTGCGTGGGTGCACATGCGCGGACTCTTTTTTCGGAGTCTTTTTCAGTCTCAATTTCTCACTTCCGGAAACGCTGTTTTTGGAGTTCGTCTAGACTGTTCAGATTCCTAGATCCGCCTAATATGATACCTACCTTAGTAATACTCAAACAACGATGTTCCAACAGTGTTCATGTGAGGCTTTCAATAATTTTGAAGAGGTTATTCAAAATTATTTCCAAAAGTTTACTTTGCAAACTATGAAATTTGAAGCAGCGAATTCCAATCATTGAAACAGTGTTAAATTGCCCCCTGCCACCCCTTACTGAAAGCCCTGGTTCATGGTAAACGTTTACAATATAGTTTTATAATTATCAGATTCAGCTGTTGTATCAGTATCTTGGTATCTCACCAGAGTACACGTGAAGAAAACTTATGTGTGTTCTGTACATATTGCTAAAATGAACCCTCTTTATCGCCGAACTCGGAAGTGTTACGTATCAAGTTCTTATACATAAATAATCACATTTACTCAAGAAATGTCCCATTACATTCGACATTGTAAAATCTGAAGCAATATTTTAAATTTTATTCATTTTTTCCCCCAGAGCACAGGGTCAATTAGATGAATTAGTGATTGTTTACATCCTTGAAAACGAGATTGAAGTACTTGAATGTACAACACTTTAATTAGTTTAAACAAACAGTAAATTTCTGGAACATCGAATTGAGTAAAACAATGCAGTGATTCTGCCAGTAAAACCATAATTACCCTCCGATCTTCAACATAAGTAAGTTCTTGTGTTCCGAGTCTGTTCGAGTTGTTATTTCTTTTTTCTGAAAATTTACTGTATGTCGATCCCGATCTTTTTAAAATATATAAACGTCAAAGAGTTTTTATTTTCTAATTTTTGAACGGTGCTCTTTCATTGCCAGTCCTGAGGATGACAAGACCCTTGTGTTCAATGATACTTATGTGAGTTAGTGGCGGGTCCAGGATTTGGCATGAAGCAATCTTGAGAGGGTGCAATGCAAAATCCTGGGATCCAATAAGGTGCCCCTCCTTTTACTCATATCTTAAAATATCCTCAATTTGTCCTCTGTAAGAAAGACCAGAAACTGCATTATTAGCAAGCATACACCAAAGAGGACAAAATTTATCATTTCTTTATACCAAAACACAGTTTTCTATATAAGTGGATCTTCACTCCATTTCTTCAAAAAATATACCGGTACATATTTTGCTTATCAAAAAATATGAAGCAAGGACCTACTAACCTAAAAAAAAAATGCTTTTTTGACACAAACTGTGCATCTTTCTGAGAAATATTTAGGTCTTTCATCAAGGGTCATATCACAGACAAGATTTATATGTCACTAACTGTTATTTTCTATAAAATCATCTTCTTTTTTACATTGCATAGAACAACTTTTTTTGCAATTTTTTTTCACAGAGTTTTGTTTGACATTATCTCATACCTTTCAATAATTAGAACTTTGCTCTAAATACAGTAAAACACACTTATAACAAAGTGCCAGGGACAGACAATTTTGTTTCGTTTTAAACATAATTCATTTTATCCACTAAGTTCACAATATATTTTAAAGCCACAGGAAATGAAACTCACTTCGTTATAAGCACGTTTTACTGTACTTTGTTTACAAACTGAATTTGAAGGTATAGGCATTTTGCATATCTTGTTCGCCCGTCTTCTTTAAAATTTTTGGATCACATTAATTATTAGATGCGTGGTCATGTTTTTTCCTGCAGTTCAATAGAACTTCAGTCTCACTTCAATTATCTTTTTTAACCTGACAAATCATACCTTGTATACCTCCCAAAGTTATGCTTTAGACAAGAGAAGTTGGAATTTGATGTAAAGATTAAATATAATCCTTGCCCCAAGAAATGAATGCAAAATTCATTTCCTATTCATTTAAAGGTTGCAAACAACAAATGCATGTAGCGACAACTTCAAAAAGTTATTACATTTTCTTTTATCCAGGGATGCTACATGTATAGCCATTTTGAGAACATTCCAAGTGGTTCTTACAAAGAAGTGATAAATATGAAGTTATAATATATCAGTATATTATACTGTCCTTCCTCTAACAAGAATTTCAATATCTGAAACAAGCATTCAACTCAACATTTTATTATAAATCAAAATCAGATACATGTATTCAAAATGAATTATTCAAAAATCTTTTACAAAATAATCTCAAATAAATATTGTATACACATATAGTGATATAAATTATGTTGATTTATTTATATACATGCCGATATAAACGTAACTGACAATTTCATGCACCTACATGTACCCCTCCCTTTTTGTGGTTGTTAATTAAATCTGAAATTGCAGGTCTGTACAGTTCTATGAAGACTAATGGTTTATAGTTTGTAATGTCACTTTATAGAGGCCATTTATTTGAAAGCTCTGGGTAGAATGCAAGAAAAATATGTATTTTTTTTTTTTTAAGAGCTTCAAACTGTTTTTAAAAATATGTACTGTAAAATCATTCGCGGTTTGAGGAAAAAATTTCATTTGTAGGGATTTGATTTTGTGGTTGGAGAATGTTTAGTAGTAAGGCATATGAAATTTTACATTTCCTGGTGGTCTTAAATTCATGGGTCTCTCCAAACCTCGAAAACAACAAAAATTAAACCCCCATGAAAATTAGTGATTTCATAGTATTTCAAAGTGATTCCTGTATGTTAAAAAAAAACCCTTCCTTCCAACCCTTTGTTTTTTATTAGCATCTAATAGTAAAAAAAAAAAATTATTCTTGCAATTCTGAAGGAAAAGGCAAATAATCTCCAATAATCCTAGTATACTTTTATCCAACATAGTCATGTGAAATAAATGTGACTTACAATGCTTATTTCTAACAATTTCCACTGGAACTCTTGAAAAATAAATACACATTCACAAAGCAACAGATATTCCACGCTATAAATTACAATACTTCCTAAATTTTGTTTGAATATTTCAACATACCATATAAATACAGGCAAAACATATCTTCCACACTGTATACTATCCATAGCATCAATTTTATATTCATTCATGATCAGTTGTAAAAACTTCGCAAAACACACAATATTTTATACTAAATAAAAACTTTTATAATCAAACATTCAAAATAATTAAGTGAGGTAAAATCAAAATAAGACAACAAGTTTCTCATTCTTAAAATAAGGAATTGCCAAAAATAAAAATTAAGAAATAGTTTAAAAATTACAAAGATCTAATATATTACATTTAATTCACATTCAATATAATTATTTATTCCCTGTCTGTAGTCAGGGATGTCTGTTCTTCATGACATATCAATAAAAGCCATTGTGTAAAACCAAATACATGAAACATTGTACGGAGAAGGGTTATTACTATCAATGAATCTACGGTAGACCATCTTGTAGAATTGAGGACATCAAAACCTTGTCTTGAAGAGTGTGTTCAAGTTCTTTTTCATCCAGCTTGAGTGCCACCTTCAAAAGTAAAATGACTGATTTCAAAACGGTTAATTGTATGATAAAGCCATACTCATATTGTTGTAGCTATGAAACAACATACCTGTACAATGTATCAACAGTGGCATTAGAGACGAAGAATGTAAAGTGTATGAATAAACAACAGTGTATGGATCCAAAATAAAATTTCCATCAAATGTTAGGCTTGAGCTGTATTATTGTTTATCTTAACGTTTTACGGGTGTGTTTGATTTGCCAGCACTGCACAAATCACTCAACAGGAACTGACAATTTTCCCTTTTTTACATTTCTGTCTCTATTTCTACTTAACATGATTATGATTTTCAAATCTTTATTAATACCCTACAGAATTCCAAATTTTCTTAAATACATGTATTAAGGATAAATTTTAGTACATGAAAGGATGTAAAACAATTAAAGGTTCATAAACCCTCTGCTCACTCATTTCAAATGTTTCTTTACTCTTATGATTTCCAAAAGAAACACATTTGTCAAGTAAAATACAAACAATTACAGCATAGCCTGCGAGGAATAATTGGACCAAAAAAAAAGACACTTCAACTTGACAAATGTATAAAGGAATAAAAGACATTTATGTCATTTAGAGTTATCTCTCTTATCAGAGTATCAATGAACCTTCTCTCTAAATTTCATTAATTTTCAGGTAAAAGAAGTTTCTGAACATGCTTTTAAGATACTGTACATGTACTTTTTTTTTCCATGGGGTCTAATTCCACAGAATGACAATTTCTATATAATCTGTGTGTAAAATATTACATGGATTTCTTGGATAGTTATTATATGTCCTTAATGCATTTTAAATATGCTGTGACAAATTTCCATGGAAAAATTGTGACCGCGTAAAAAGTGGAAATTAATTCGTGGGGAAAAAGTACGCCAACAGTGTATCAGTTTGAAATGCTCTTGTAACATGCAAGTCATGAAATTCTCAAGTTTTTAAGGAAATAAAATTTCAAACCATATCTATATCCCTTTTAAATACAAAGGGGGTAATCTTCTTTTATGACTTGTATTATAATATCATAATTATTGACATAAGAAGTTGCAGGGGTGAGCAATTAGCATCGCCCGACGCCCGGGGCTACCATTTTTTGGGGTCGGGCTAGTAGTTTTGTGCACAGAGGTAGCCCCTTGGGCTAGTAAAAATTAAAACTACCAATGTAATACACGAAAATCACTATCGGTATTTTCACTCATTTTTTGCTATTAAATTCTCAAGCAATGAACAATTTTTGGCAGCATGTTCCTATTGTTCGTAAATCTCCATAATCTTATCCATTTTGCAGTACTACCTGAAGTAATTTACTTCCAAAAACGATCGTTATTATCTAATCCGAATTTCCTCTATTCCTCTGTTTATGGTAAATACACCTGCAGATATCTCAATAAATTATTTACGATCACTCAATCAACTGAAAATAAGTGATATGTGGTTTACATAAAATATATTTCCAGCGTATTTAATGATTTAAAATGAAAAAATGATTGTCATTTCATTTTAGATAAGATCATTTATTTGAATTTATTTTTATTTTCTATCATAATTATTAATTTATATATGATTTAATTTTACTACTGAGAATTAAAAATAATCAAATTTATTAACCCTGACTATTTCAACAATAAACTATTTCCTTTTAATATTAGTTGTTAACCCCCCCCCCCCCCTACATTTGGGCTAGTAACTTTTTACTTGGGGCTAGTAACTTTATTGCTTCCACTAGCCCGTGGGCTAGTACTTAATTTTTTTAATTGCATACCCCTGAGTTGATTTAAAGACATAAAACAGATCACCAACCCTTCGTAGGAATTTGTTTTGTATAAAAGGTTGATTGCTGATGAATACCTTTGCCATTCTCCCATCCTTTATTTTCTTGATCCCTGTAATACCCCTGGTTTCCAGTAGACTGATAATCCCCTGGTACTCGGAGTAATCCACTGCTGCCATCTGTCTTTTCTTACAGATCTTAGTATATGTGTCATGTAACTGAAACAAACATGTATATACAATGTGTATATTTTCTGCATAGAGAAGAACCCAAAGTCATACATGAGCTTTCTAGTTGTGCAAAGTATAAATACATGTATGTATCCTGCATATATTGTTTATTTTTTATCATGAAATTCAATCTTGGTGATTTATGACTGTTGAATTCATACATGTACTTAATATTAAAACCTTTCTTTTTCAATATTAAAACATTCCACTTACTTTGCCCATGGTGACTTCTTTTAGTTTTCCCTGTTTCACCATAAGAAGCAGTGTGCAGACAATCAGTTTCTGTTGAAGAGGAATGCTTTCTTGACTGTTTGAAGCCGAACTAGACCCGTACACTTCTGACAACACTTTGGAAATTTGCATGACTCCTATTTTCTTAATTGGCGGGTTGATTTTGGTGGGACTGTTTGGACAATCTAAAATATTTTTCATTGATTGAATTCTTACCCCATACTTAATATTTTATAAAATTCTTATGCTCAGTGAATTTTTTTTTCATTTTTACTTGTGTATAAATTCGAAAATCTAAAACACTCATTCACAACAGACATCTTTAAAGAAGCAAATCAAAAATTCTTACTTTAATGTATGTAAATGATTTTTTTTTTCTTAGCATTAAATTATAAAATAAGATGAGAAACATTTTATTGATTACTTAAACTTTATTCTCAAAATATTATTTATAGCCTTTATCCTAACTTTGAGGCAATTTGTTAGAATGAAAGACTTCCATTGCATTTTAAATACTTACCAGCTGTAGAGACTTTTAAGACCTGTTGCGCTTTAACTTCATGCTCCACCATTTCAATGGCACGGCGACATACATCCAGTGCTTTCCTCATGTCTCCTGCCACAGCCGATATCTTCCTGGCACAAAACTGCACTGCACTGGGTTCCATTACAGACACACCATCTTTTTCAAGCTGTAAGAAAGGGAAATAATCAAACTAAATATAACGATGAATAATATTGTAGATTAATTAGTCCAATACAGTACAATTCGTTTTTTATCATACCGGTTTTATATCATACTACTTTTTTTATCATAGATATCTGAAACACAAAACCATTTCTTAATAATTCATTATAAATTTTGTCTGTTATTATCATAGGTAAAAGTATACACTTCGCTTACTATAATAGAAAATGTCCGTCCGTAATATTTTTTTCACACCTTTTCACTCTTGGGACAATCAACAAAACAAAAGATAACACCTATCTACACCTGTGGTTCATGCACTGTCGCTTGTCTATTCACAATGGCTTGATTTTCACTTTGAAATTTGCCGATAGTGAAAGACTGGGGAGATTAGTCACACTTCAGTGCACTTACCTGAGCGATTGACAGGGAGTCTGTTTATTTCATGAAGTACATGACAGGATAACACGAACTCTTTTTTTTCATAACTTATTTTCTTCTTATGTTATTCCTGAATTTTACGTTCGTAATAAATACGTTTTACCAAATGTGTTGAAACTAAATTTAGTGTCAATATTAACCCAAGCTTTCTTACGCTTGGTGCCTGGATCAATGTTCATAGTTAATTACATTTACAAAACTACCAGATTAATTAAGAAATAATTAAGTGAAATTAACTCTTTCACCAGTCTGTCCAAGCGGCTTTGAATGCATATGCTCATCAGTGTATCAATTAATTTTAATTATACGGCGACATTAAGTGTAAATAGGTAATTTTTTTAATGTCTACTTTGGATGAATAAAAGAAACAATTTGAATGCATGCTTTGTTGCTGTGTTAATTTATTTAATATGTGACCAAAACAAAAAACAAAACAAAAATGAAAAACGAAACGAAACATTGGTAATTTGAATTGACCATAAATTAAAAATGAAAGTAGATCAAAATAAACAAGATGGATGCCAAGGGATCTAGAAGATTGAGTTTGAAGCGTATTAAGCTTTATTTAAGTGAATTTATTTATAATAAAAAGTTGAAACAGGAAGTAAGTATTGTGAAATGATATGTCAGTTAACTTGTATTTCAAATAAACCTAAAAAATCGAAATTATATGTAACGTAAGATGTATAATACATCTAATAATTTACACAAACATCATATCGTCAGCCGTCCGACATGAATTTCAGCCGACTATGGTTATTATAAAAGTCGCTTATTATAAAGTTTTGGCCTGACAAATAAACTATGATAATAAGCGAATTGTACTGTATCATTTTCAGGAGTTTTAAAAAAGGAGATTCACCTCTGCATTTACATTGTAATTGAATAGAGTGACAAAACTGAAAGCCACATGCAGTTAACATTGAAAAATTCATCTGAACAAGAGGTTTGTGAGACAAAATGCTCAATCTAGATAAGCATCTTGTTATCTACATTTGTATGAAACCCCAGCTTTAAATTTATAAGTGAATGAAATAAAGATCTTTTTGCTGTAATTCTTTATATTCCTTTCCTACATAAAACCTTGACCTCCCTACTGCCCCTTCCCCCTCCTTCCAGCAGTCTTTTTTCCCTTATATAATTTGTACTGATAAATGGTACCACTCTCAATGCCAAATTAGTTTCTCCCAATTTTGAAACTCAAAATTCCCAAATCAACTGTCGAGGAAAAGACTGTGATGACATTTTTATTCTTTCTGTATGAAATGTAGTACAAAGTAACTATATTTTTCACGTCCGCTTAAATCAAAAGTATAGATCAGTTGTAATACGGCAGGATGTATGTTGCAGATAGCCTACTGTCTAACATTATTGACAACTTGAAAGCATGAAAATGAAGAACAAGAGACATTAATATGTAAAACAATGAATACCTGTTGTTTATCCTTTTATAGACGGATAGTTAATGAGGTTAGAATAAATGTAAAATAAATGTCATTTGTTGATATCACAGAAAATTCCCCTTTTGACATTATTTCTCCAAATTGAATCCGTACCCAAACCATTCCCAATGGGTAGAAAAAAATTGCTTCAAACCAGTTGTATTTAGTATTCTGGAACCATACCATGAGCAATCGGTCTTGAAGTATAGCTGCAATCTGTTCCTTACTGTATGGAGCAAAATTAAGCAGCTGTGGTTTGCAGTTTGGCCTGGCTTGTAGACGTGGCAAAATCCTGTCTGTCAAATCCAAGGCATTGGCAATACCTGTAGAATAGCAAGAAAATGAATTTTATTTTGACATGTGTATATCAATGATTAGAATAACAACATATATGTGCATGTTAATGATTATTTTTTTATACTTCCCAACAACTCTTCTTAGTCAAAACAATTATATGTACACCATTCAAAGGGAAACAGTAATAATCAAAATAGCTCCAGCTTGAAGACAGATGTTGATTGCCCTTATTGTTGCAAAGAAATTAATTTTAGCTCAAATACTTTATCTTGCACATTAACAAACCTCTACATGAACTAATTTAATAAATTTTATTACTAAATAAATGATGTTTATTTCTCAAATCATGAAAAACTTTCATTGATGTTTTCTTAAGTAGTGCTAGTATTTTTAGCATTATGTTATTCTACTGGAAGGGGGATAAGCCAGATTTTTTTCTAACTCCTTAAATAACTAACCTATCAATACAAGTCGAGATTTCTGTAAAGATGGCCACTCAAAAATTGTGTAAAGGATTTCTTGGTTTTTGCTGTCCAGCTGATCGATTTCATCCAAAACCATAATTCTACAAAGCAATGTCATAATCCATGATGAGCAAACAAAATGTCAGATGTTCTCTTTTGATACATGATTAACTCATGCAATGTACATGTATATTATTTACATGCTGGGTCCTGTTGTTGTCAGACATTTCTCCACAGCTCTAAGTCTGTCCTTGGCTGATGGTGGGGATTTCCCAGTCAAGTCTGTGTATAACTTCCCATAAACTGTTGCCGAGTCTTTTAATGTCATGCAGTTCAAGTACAGACTCTTACAGCTGTGAGATGCCTACAAAATTGCAATTTATCGGTTCATTCTCAGAATCTGTTGATTTAAAAGAGGCAGCATTTTTACTGGAAAACATACATAAATGTAAACCAACAACACACACACATTTTTACATCTAATAGTCACTATATCTAGATTTTATATTGCAATTAGCAGTTACTTGAAGAGATGATTTTGTAAAAATATCAAGATTGTTATATCTACACTTGTCTAACAGTGGAAAACTATGAATATATACAATAAATACTTTTTTGTTCATACTTTGATGTTGTCTAAAATGTGTGACAGTGATGCTGTTTTGCCTGTCCCCGGGGCTCCAGAAATATAAAGACTGCCCGAGGTTTTGTTTGACACATGATTTTTGACAAACTTGTTAATTTCTTCCACCTCTCTCTCCCGTCCGACCAGTCTGTCAGGTTTAGCTGTGTGAAATGTCTGCTTGGCTTTATGATAGGCTTGTCCTATGTTAAATCAATGCATAATATCATCAGTATTTCTTATGAAGTTACAATTGGTTCACACAACATATACTGAACTACGAATACAAATTTTTCTTGACAGTACACAATATGTTGTTTAATAAGCACACCTCATGAAATTTTTAATCTTGCATTAAACTGATAATTTATTATTTTTTGGTCCAAAAATAAAAACTATTTGGAAACTTTTTTACTTCCTTACCATTTGGACGTTGGAGTTTAAGTACTGGGGATGATAATTTTTCCTCTTCTGGTAAAATTTGTTTTCTTGCTGGTGATGACAAAGGCTTTACACTACATATACCTACAAACAAAATATAACTATGTCATGATTTATACAGAACTAATATGTTTTACGGTGTGACTGCTGGGGCGAGCGCAGTTGTACCATCAGAAACCTATACACCGCTTACACTTGTAAGTTCAAACTTCAAACCGCACAAGACACAGTCTAGAATGTGACGTCACATATTATATATGACGTCAGAATTTACGGAGACAGCCGAGCGTCTGGTTGAACGAGACTACAGGTCTTGTTCAATATTTAATGAAATACGTTGTAAAGTAGATACAAGTATTTTTTGCTTCTTTTGAGCTCTCTGGAAAGAAAGAAAAGTAAAGGTATTTCTTGGTAAAGGAAGAATTATCCTTTTATCCTTGGTCTTTTGTATGTTTTGTAATAATTTCGCATGGAACCCTGCTAGCGAAGGAATTCTGGGAATGTTTCACAAGAAAATTTGCCTGATGTATGTACAGCATTTCCTTCCAAAATTCCTCTGTTCTTACACTTGTCTTGAAAATTGAAACTTAAAATTTTTCATAATGTATACTTGGACCACAATTAATAGATATTTCAGCTATTAACACTTGTTTTTTGATTAAGCTGTTTACGTTTTATATACCTGGTAATCTGGCCTTCAATGGTGTATTCTCTTTATCAGCACCCTTGCTAGCTCCAAGTGGAGACTTCGCCTTTGATCCATCTGAAATTTTGAAACCATTTTACATGTAAAACAGTAATTTTTCAATCATCAAATAAAGAACAATATAGATAATACATATGAGAATGTCACCTGACGTTGTGGATTTGGTAGTTTTTTGTTTGGCTGGAGAGGAAAGAATCCCATCTGTAAGCTTTCCTGTTGTTTCAGGCTGGAGCACATTTTCAGAGTCTGCTCATAAAAATCAAATCCTCAATAGAGAACATTTTACAATGAATATGAAACTATACCAGAATATGTTTGGGAAAGATGTTAAACAAGTTAATTTTAATGCCAATTCTTTAAATATTTTTTTCACTTTAAATTTAATTACATGTGCTTTTACTTATTGATAATATATGTAAATCTTAAGTCATTGTTATCTTTTTCCTATGGTATACAAATTGTACTTTTTTCACCTGGTAACTGCTTTGGGTACAGTTTTGTCCTAAGACTTGATCTAGTCGGTGTTTCTCCACATCTGTTAAGGGTCTCCTTACTCTCCTTAGACTTCTTTGTTGGAGAACATTTCAGTGCTAGCGAAGCATCATTTTCATCTGAAATGCCAAAATAAAAATAAATATTACCCTGCTGATTTTGTTTACATGGTAATTCGATCCATTAAAATCTTGAAAGATATGAACATTAAGTAAACCTACAGAAATTAAAAAAAAAAGAGTTCTAAGATAACTGACCACATTAAATATAATTTGGACAAGATATTCAGATTCGTGCTGATCAGTAGAGTAAAACTATAAAAAAAAAAATCAAATTTTACCACTGTATTTGTAATTTCATTTATCATTACTTTGTATAAATCAAGAACTTACCGTCACTGTATCTTTTTCTAGGAGACTCGGTCTGCGATCTGCTTTTGTTCTGTGATCGCTGTTTGGCCCTTGTCGACCTGGTGGACTTCTTCACTTGAAATTCCAATTTTCTTTGTACTCGGGTTTCCATGTCTGCATTTTCAAACAGATATTACACACCAATATTTAAAGCGGTAAAAAATGTAAACAAAAGTTTTAAAGACTTTTCAACAAATAACTTCACAAAAAGTTAGCAATAATTTCTATTATGTAAATAGGAAAATAACACTACAATTAATTCAACATTATTAGAAAATGATCAACGCTGTGAATCACCTGTAGGCTCTGTTTTCCTGTCCACGTAAATAAACCCAAGCTGACAAGGGACAAAGTTGGCGCGAACACAGGGTGACGTCACGTTGGATTGACCAATCGCCAATCATGTCAAAGCTAAAATTACAAACCGAGCTAAACTAACATTGTGATTCCGAAAAGAAGATTAAAATGTTGAATTTGTCTTGACGTTTGATATGTTTATCACAAATCCCTTAAATTTTTTTAATGCTCCAAGATCTTTCTAAGATTTCTCATTGATAATAATGATTTAAAATTAACCAACCCCTTTTTAGAGGGAGGGGCAACTGTAAAAATGCTTATGGCAAACAACAGAAAATGGAAAGAAAAAGTAATGCACCAAAAAGTAATGAATAGAATTTCTCCCAATCAACTTATATTTTGCTATAAATAATGTCACCCTTGTCCAGTTTATTTTAAATTCACTAATCCTTTATTAGAGGTTAGGTTAAAAAAAAATAGAACGTATCTAGTTAAGACAAAACCTGACAAATCCAAATTAAGAGCTTAAAGATATCTTATAACATAGAAATACATCGATCTGTGAACAGGAGGCCCATGGGCCACATCCCTCACCTGAGCACTGTGGCTAGGAAAAAAAGCAAATCAGTTCAGTATTTAAAAGCTTTAATGCATATAAGTGGTCTCGACCTACCCCTTAAAGAGGAAGGGGGGATATGATTTGAACAAAATTGAATCTACACAAACTAAAGATGCTTACATATTTCTTTGACTAACTGTGTCTTTTTTCCCTAAAAGTTTGAACTTTCATTATTATTATCATTGTGCCCCCTACCCCCGGGGGTCATGATTTGAACAAATCTTAATCTACACTCTCTGAGGATGCTTCCATATAAATATGACCAATCATAGCTTTGATGTTCTTGAAAAGAAGATTTTTTTTTCCAATTCATTCCTATGCATAACTAGAATCAATTGTGGCCACACACTATCCCCACGGGTCATGATTTTTATCAAACATGAATCTACACTACCTTAAGATACTTCCGAATAGTTAATAACCAATCACGGCTTTGCTGTTCTTGAGAAGATTTTTTCTATATACATGTATTCCCATGTAAAACTTTGATCGTCCACTGTGGCACCATCCGACCCCTGGGGGTCATGATTTGAACAAACTTGAATCTACACCACCTGAGGATGCTTCCATATAAATATGACCAATCATGGCTTTGTTGTTCTTGAGAAGAAGATTTTAAGCAAAATTTTCCTATATACTCCAATGTAAAACTTGTAAGAGTTTTATCTTACAAAATGGCATTTTAGAACATGAAAGTGATATGTTTCAGCATTAACTTATAAAACATACTTTATTATTTTATTGATCCTATATGTTGTCATACTTAAATTAAATTTAACGGGTAAGCAATGCAGTGCTAAAATTATAGTGCCAAAAATTGTTATAGTGCTTTAATGATGAAACATTAATTGTATTTTTATCTTATTTAGGGTAGGACCCCATTGGAAATAAGCTCTCCAGCTTTAATGGGTCATCCTGGTATCAACTATAGTCACTATCTAAAATATGGTTTCCTGAATATTTATTTATAAATCTGTTTAAAATGTATGGATTCCCAAATATAGTCTTTCAAATGATTATGTATATTTATGTGTATTTGTTTTATGTATGATGACATATGATACCAAATAAATGATGATGATGATGATGATCGTCCACAGTGGCCCCACCCTACCCCAGGGGGTCATGATTTGAACAAACTTGAATCTACACCACCTGAGGATGCTTCCATATAAATATGACCAATTATGGCTTTGCTGTTTAAAGATTTTTTCCCCCTATATATTCCTATGTAAAAGTTTGATCGTCCATTGTGGCCCCACCCAACCCCGGGGGTCATGTTATTTATAAACTTGAATCTACACTACTTGAGGATGATTCGACATGAGTTTCATCTTTCCTGGCCCAGTGGTTCTTGAGAAGAAGATTTTTAAAAGATGTCATTAATTTTTCACTAATTTGTAATTATCTCTCCTTGGAAGAGGGCGTGGTCCTTCATTTGAACAAACTTGAATCCACTTTATCCAAGGATATTCTGTGCCAAGTTTGGTTGAAATTGGTCCAGTAGTTCTGGAGAAGAAGATGAAATTGTGAAAAGACGACGACAGACAACGGACAAATTTCGATAAGAAAAGCTCACTTGAGCCTTCGGCTCAGGCGAGCTAAAAGAGTAATGTTTGCAAATATTATGTTATTATATCATTTTTCGCTAATGGATTTTGAAATCGTTAAAGACAGTTTTAAGACGTTCTAAAATATATTGCATTTTAGAATACAAAAATAGGAAAAAGCCGTAACGATCCCAGATTTAAAAAGGAAAAAAAGGAAAGGGGGGGGGGGGTCCAGCCCCAAAGTGCCTGTGCATTCTCCTTTAAAATAATAGCTGTGTATTTTTCAATGAGAGAGAGAGATCAACTATCAAAATTTTTTATTGTATAAAGTGAGTTTGTATATTGGATTTTTTTAGTCTTGTGAAGTGCAACCCGATTCAAGAGAGAAGGGGGGACATTTTTTTTAAATCGGGTTTGGTATACACTAAAAAGTTAAACAGTGGACATGGTGAAGGAAATTCGAACCAAGATATTGCAACAACATGTGCAAAGACAAAGTTGAAACGTGATTAAAGAAATAACAATGCTATGTTACGATTATTTAGAGAAAAGTTGCAGATCAATATAGGGTATTTTCTCACTAGACTGAGAGATCGAAAAATGGAGCCTACTTCTTTGTTTATTGTACGTTCACTCCCAGATAACGACAGAATCACTATGGAATTTGACTATTCTCACGATGGTGGAAAACCTAAGCAATTCCGTATGGATAGAATAAAAGAAGAAGAATTGGGCCAGACTTTTGCACGACTCAAAAATTCCATAACATCAAAATTCATAAAAAGAAAGAGAAAGAAAAATGAACCAGAAATTGTTCAAGAGGATACCCCACTTAAGTTTACCATAAATGGTGTTGAAATCAATACAGAAAGCAAATTACGTGTTGCAGAAGCCTTGATTCAGGGATCAGAAGTCTGTATTAATGAGCAAAAATATCAGGTATCAGTTAACCCCCCTACAGTGCTAAAGTTAGAGCTTCCCAAGAGCATGATGTCTGGGTTCCCAGTTTTTCCAAAGGTGGATTTACAGTTTGCTAATGTGTTGGACAGTGAGTTCACATGGAACAGAGTACATAAAGATTTTAACAATCTTAATAACTCTCTAAAGAATTTGAATCAGAAATTCCTCTCCAAAGAAAAATTTTACACACCAACAAATGACGACATTGACCACAAAATTGAATTGAGCTGTATCCCAAAGCTTGGGGATAGATCAGGGAGTATGTCCACTATTGTCAGTAAAGTGGTGGTTGAAGCAGGTCCAGGGGTCTGTCCATTTGAGATGAGACACATGTACACTTCAGAACTGACCGATAGCACAAGGTACACATACTACACACACATTGTCAGGCTTGTCTACAGTGGGTTGAATTTAAAATATCATCACCCATGTTCTTTCTAATTCTTGAACTAGGTGATGGCATTACTTGAACAGATTGTTTTGTTATTAGTGATAAATTCAGAAGTTGTTGGAAGTACTTCATAATGATTATTATTTCCTATGTAGCTTGTAACATAAGCTTAGCTGCAGATCTGAAGCTCTCTGGTCTGAAAAAATTGGGATGGATGACCAGAGAGCTACAGTGCCACTCATAAAAAACTGTATATTTATTGCAAACAAATAGTTGCGCTCGGTTCTGGATTAATTTTTCCAAATTCTTACCTCGACTGCACAAAAGCTCAATTTCAAAAAATTCCTTAGACCTCTATCAAATACTTACGTAGTTGACATCTGCATGAAGTGCTTTGGACCGAATTATTTTGCCACCCAAAATGGCAGCATAAATAGACGAAATTTTCTATGGTCTCAATTTCAGACCCAGGAGGGCTATTAACAATGGTAACGAGGAATGTTGTGGAAACAGTAAAAGAATATGTAAGGAACACACGGTTAGTAATATTTTGGGATGGAGGTTTCAAAAACATGGAGAAATAAATCGAGAAATAGCGCACTTTTTTTGTGCGCAATAAATATACAATTTTCAATGAGTGGCACTGTACTCTGTAGCTCTCCGGTCTGTCATTTTTTTTTTTTTTTCGGAGAGCTACAGTTCTGCAGCTAACCTGAGCTCAGCTTTGATTGGTTACAAAGTCGGGTGTAAATTTACATACACCCGACTTGAACAGGGGTAAAAAACGTGACGTCACAATGCATAGTTTTTCTATGATAAAAAGCAAATAACATGACGTCACAATGCATTGTAGGACATGGTAAATCTTATTGATAGCTTGAAACACAGCTGATTGGACTTGTTTACAAAGAATTTATTTTGGTACATAGGAAATAAATTTGTTATCCAGGTCAATTGGGCCGTATGGAATACAACCTTGGGTAAATCCCCGTACACCCTTGATTGGACCTGGATAACTAATACTATTATATAGTCTATAAATAATCCCTATATAATAGGGATGGCAACGAATATTCGAATATTCATTCGATGAGTCGATATTCGAATATGAATTTCAGATTCGAATATTCGGTGTTTTTCAGATTTCATAAAAAGAAGTACATGTACTGTGATTAATAAATTTCGCTAAGAACAGAGCTGGAATTATCTCTGTTTAATTTTCTAGCGATCAATTTCGATCGCCTGATTTCTTTCACTGCTTTCTTATCTTACAGATTTACTAAATTACATGTATTTTGTTTTGAATAAGGTGTTAAGGAATTGTACAATAATAGTCTATGTATTGAAATCTGAACAATATACCGTTACAACTATCTTGCCTTTGGTAAGACGACTGGTTCCTCAGTTGGAGCTACTATAAATACACATGTTTCATTTGTTAAAATTATACTTTTCTATATTTAAATCAATTATTTATTTCAAACATTGACAAATATCAAATGGAATTTCTTATTGTACAACTGCAAAAGTCTCCATACAATTTTACTTCCAATATAAGTATACTACGCTAAACCTGTCATGAGTAGGATGATGCATATTTAAAATAAAACAGATTTTATTTATTTTATCGAATATTCGAATATATTTGAATACTTTCATTGAATATTCGAATATGAATTATTGACAAAATTGACATCCCTACTATATAATCTATACAAACGCAAACAGTTCATAATACTGCATATTCACTGGATTTGAAGCCATATTCACCGGAGGGTCAGTGCGCGTGCAGCGGCATTGTGACGTCACAATCAATACCTAAAACAACGTTGAAAACAATGGTTGCAACGGCCGGAGCCAGCTGTATATGCTGTATATCTGAGCAGGAAAACTTTTAGGCAAATTTCTCGTAGGATTATTTTCCAAACATTTCGATGTCTTACACACAGCAAAAGGAAAACACGGAAGTTATAAGTTATAAACTGGACATTTTTAAAAAAATTTTCTACGACAAAAGTTCGTTAATGAAAATGGAGTCGTCATGCAGCCTTCAATGTCTTATAATTCATTCAAATCCTGACTATATAATAAAACAATTATGGACTCTTTCGATGGTGAATATGGTTTGTTATTCACCAGAAAAATACATGTATCAATATTGACCTCGGCTTCGCCTCGGTCAATATTGATATTTTTCTGGTGAATAACAAACCATATTCTCCACCGAAAGAATCCATATTTGTATAATGTTCTGACACTAGACTCTATTTCTTAATTATTGTTACTTGACCCAGTCATGGCCAGTGTATACAATGGTACAAATGAATTGTGAATGGTTGTTATTATATTGAGTAATATTTTCAAAATTTTTATCAACATAATTGATAATTGCTGTATTTTTAGTTTCAGAGTGGTGTCCTATAATATACTAGCAGATGCATTTGCAGACACAGACTTTACTAGAAATGAACTGTATCCATACTGCCCCCCTTACGCACAGTCCATAGATTACAGAAAACAACTGCTACTGAAAGAGATTCTGGGTAACTTATTTTTGCATTGAAATGTGAGAAGTATCAAAATGAGAAATGTTACAGAAAAGTAATGGCAAAAAATGCTATAAAAGTGTGTTACTGAAATCTGCAAAATGCATAACCTGTAAGGGTGTAACGATACGACTAAAACATATGGTATATCATGATACATTTGGGACTTTATCATGATACATATTGCAATATTCACTGGTCATAATTTTCTATATAATTTGTGTGTCTCTGTTTTGAAATGAGAAATTCTCTATCACAATATGAAGGTCTAAAAGGTGAAGATTATTTCTTTAGTTCACAAATACATTATGTAACATTTAATAAGCTCTGAACACAATGAAAACAACATGAATAAATTAAGAAATTCACTCCTAATAGTTAAATTAAAAGAAATAGCATAAATTGCTTAAAATGTTCCATTTTGTGATACACAGGTTTACTGTTTTTGTACCATAATATGGTACAATTTTTTAACATGCCAAAAAAAAGTTAGGGTAGGTAGAAAGGCGATTACTTTTTTTAAAACTTGACTTTTTATCTTGAAAGAATCAGTTAATTATTCAATACGCTGTTTTTTTTTTTTTGTCATATATACATACACATATATGAATAAACATGCACAACAAAACAAGTGTACTCTTTTATAGAGCACTTGGATAGACATTTTTTTGCAGTATCTGAGAAATTCATTTTATTGACTGCATTTTGAGAAAACTGTACTAGTGAATAAAAGTACAGTTCAAAATACGGATTTGGAATAAAAAGCACAGTCAAACCTCGTTATCTCGAACTTAATGGACTAAGAAAAAACTTTGAGATATCCCAGGATTCGAGATATCCAGGGTAAAATACTTAAAAGAATGAGGTGTTGGGACTTCCAAATCTCTTTGAAATCCATGGTATTTGAGATATCAGTGACAAAGATGCCGAAGTTCAATTGTAGTAGGTTGGTGAGTAAAAATTAGGATTAGTCTGAGTCAGGTTACCAGAAACACACATTTTTTTTGCCTAATAACCTAGCTGGTGATTTTTTCCCAAATGTTAATCATTATAAATGTAAATTATACATGTGATTTAACAGGATACAATGCAGACATAATTTGCCTCCAAGAAGTAGATGAGAAGGTATTTGACAGATATCTATTGCCAGCCCTTCAGATAAATGGCTTCTCTGGAGTGTATCAGATGAAATCTGGGAAAATCAGAGAGGGAGAGGCTTTGTTTTACAGAAATTCAAAGTTCAGGTTAGTATATAGTGTCAAATACTCAGAAATAAAATAAAACATCAATCAGATTGAATCCTGCTACCAAATATTTTGTTACTGTCCCTGTATATTGAACATTTGACTGGTTTGTAGGAGCCTTACATTAGCAACAGTACATGTGATATTACCAGTATTATGTACATTGTGAATATAGGGAACATGCACATTGCATGGAAGTAAGATTGATAACCTCTATTAATGAAGAGCGTCTGCTCTAGAGTCGCGGAGTAAGGAGTTGATCCTTGTGTCACGGGTTCAAATCCCACTGTGGGACGTGGAGACCGGTCCTTCGGATGAGACTGTATAAACCGAGGTCCCGTGTCGCAGTAGGTGCTGGCACGAAAAAGATCCCTTACTGCTCAATGGCCGTAAGTGCCGAGTATAGGACAAAAATTTGCAGCTCTCCACCGGCAAGTGGTGGCGTCTCCATATGAGTGAAAAATTCTTGAGAGGGACGTTAAACAACATACAAACAAACAAAATTAAAAATTAATGAAGTAAGAAAGAGAGGCACATTTCCACCCATGTCTATGTTTATCTGCCTGTCTCTTAATGGGATATCAAGTGATGACGGATTCAATGAAATTGAAGGAAAAAAGCGTATATTGTACCAAAGAAAGAGGAGAATTGATAGGTTTTGAGATTAATCCACTTTAAGATATAGATGATGGATCCCTCTTCTCCCCACATTTTAGCTCACTCAAGCTATGATAAGATCATGAGCTTTTCTGATTACTCATTGTCCAGCATTAGTTTGTCTCTCAATCCACTGTCCACCTGTAAACTTTACAGATTTTTTACCTCATTCTTCGGAACCACTGGGTCAATTTCAACCAAACTTGCCACGAAGCATACTCGCATGAAGAGAATTCAGAATTAATCAAATAAAGACTCATATCTTCTTTCAAGGCTCCATAATTTAAAAAAAAATGAACCTAATGGTGGCATCTTTATACAAGAGGCCCATGGGCAACAATACTTACCTACCTGAGTAACTTTAGCACTCTGTTCCTCATTAGATTTTTATATTCCCATGAGAAAAAAAAATGATGCCACACAACTTGTGAATGTTTGGAAATTAAATGTTCTGTTCTGGTTCTTGAGATTTAAAAAAAAAAATTCTTGCATATTCTCATGTAAAACTGTGGCTTGCACTATAACTGGTGGCCATGATTGAACAATTTAGAATCTTCATTTTATTAGGAAAGCTTTCATCTAAGTTTCAGTCTTTCAGGTCTAGTGGTTCTTGAGAAGATTTTTTAAAGATTTTTCCTTTGTATTTTTATTTTAACCTTTCATCCCTATTGTGGACCCACCCAACCCCAGGGGTTATGATTTGAACAATGCAGAATCTACACTATGCCAGGAATCTTACATATAAATTTCAACTTAATTTTTAAAAATCTGATGGATAAACTATTTTTTTCTGTATCATATTTGTATGTGTTATATTAGGCATTTAGATAGATACTTAGCTGAGAGTCTAATTAGTAAATATTTATAATAATTGGCCATTGCATGGGTTTGCTAGTTCTGAAAAGAAAGAATCATAAATTAATCAGATTGTATTGACAATATTGACTTAGATATGAATTATAAGATGAAAAAAATTGGTTCCTGTCTCATAAATATATCTGTGCAAAGTAAATAACTCAAGGTATAAGATTTTCTGTTTCGTTCAACTTTCCGTTCCATTCTCCATTTGGCATATTAGCAGCACCCTGATGGAAATAAACAGGGAAAATTCTTCTGATGAAGAAGAGCAGTGCCATGCAAGCATTGTGCCCTATAGACCTCTTGTTTGGAGTACCCATGTGCTCTATGGAGTTTCTTGAAGATGATGGCTTTAAATACTGACAATTAGAATTATTCTCTGATTACAGGGCCACAGAGGAACATACAATTGACATAACACAAAGCTTGGAGGAGGAGGCCTTTAAAGATATCAAAGAAAAATTGGCCAAATATGAAGTCTTGTACGAGTTTTATAAAAAGAGAAAAAATGTGTTACAGGTAAGGCCCTTAGCACAATTAATATACAGTAAATTTGATTTTTAGATGTGAACATGGCTACCATTTTCAGCTCACATTTAGTGATCTTTTCTTATCAATAAGTCTGGCTTGCATCTTTTGAAAAAAATTTGTGGTTAGGTAAAGTGATCAGTGAAATGTGAGTGTATAAAAACCTTCCATTTTGTTTATTGGTAGAGGTAAAGACTGAGTAGATAATTAAGTGATAAGAAAATTCTGGTATTGATAGAATTTAAAACAGGTTTCAGAAAACAATGACATTGCCATTCACCAAGATTCGTCTATTGATAATTCATGAAATCTTTATCAACATGCCCCTGTATTAGATTCTCTATGTACTTGTATGATTAAGTGTCAATATTAACAAGAATATTCTGAAAAAGCAATTCTTTAACTTACATCAGCAATATTTTAAAAACGAAGTCATATGCTTCATTATGGACCACTAAAATACAGTTAAATCTCATTATCTCAAACTCTATAGGACCAAAAAAACTTTGAGGTATCCAAGGGTTCAAGATATCTGAGGATTCGAGATATTGAGGGTAAAATACTGAAAGAAAAAGTGCTTGGGACTTTCAAATCACTTTGATATATCCATGGTATTCAAGATATCAGTGTTCGAGATACCGAAGTTCAGCTGTAGTACTAAATATTGTTTACTGCTGCATTAGGATGAGTTTTTGTTGTATTTAGTAATGTTATATTTTCATGTAAATTAGTTGAATCTAATTCATCTAGGAACATTTGTTAAAAACAGTTACCATTGGAATGATAAAACAACACCCTCCAGCATGATAGAACGTAGCAGTACTCAACATTGCTTGACAACGGGTGATATTCCAAAAAATATTGATTGTGCAGAATTAATGCACTCACAGTTCACTATTCTGTTTATAAAATATTCAGTGTAATATAATGATTAATACATGTAGTTGAGTGTAGCATTGAAAATTTTCACCCCTTGAAAACCATTATCTAACTCGGCTGCACCTCAGTTGACAATGTTTTCTTGGGTGAAAATTTTCAATGTTACACTCAACTACATGCAATATTTAAGTAATCTGTGATGAATGATATCTAACCAACCTTCAGTATTTATTGATTTGAACATTGTAGGTACATGTTCTGGAATCTGTGTCTGATCCACGGAAGAAGCTGTGTGTGGCAAACACCCATCTGTTTTTTCACAGAGACTTTGATCACATCCGTATTGTCCAGGGCGTGGTCAGCATCAGGCACTTAGAACAAGTGATGACAAAATACAGAGAACAGGTCAGCCACTCAAATAGCAATTTTATTTTAAGGGATATAAATTTTTTTTAAAAAAATGTTGTTTGTTTTTTTTTTCAAATTATTTACTGTAATTAAATTAAATTTAATGTTTTCAATTGATGAAGATTTGTAATGAAAGTAATGATTTGAAGGACAAAGTTTTTGTATGAAGTTATGATTTGCAAGATGTAAATGTACAGTACATCATCACTGTATAAACACATACTTACAAAAATTTGATTAAATTAAAAAAATTCTCTTTGATTACATTATGAAACAAGGACATTGTAACATTATTTCTATCAAGAGTATGTCCATTTCAAAGCAGAGAACAAAAACTATTCTTCATCATTACAAACATTTTTCCCTCTACAGGGAGACGACATTTCCTTAGTTTTTTGTGGAGATTTCAATGCCAGTCCTCAAAGTCCCTTACATGGATTTCTGATCACTAGTCAACTCAAGCCAGAGGAATACGACTTGCAGATAAAAGGTCCTGTTTTACAGAATTTGTGATTATTTTTATACAAGTTGATTTAGGAAGGGTTTAAGGATACAGGTTTAATCTTTTCAAATTTCCAATTTTTATGCCCCGCCATGAATATGGCCGGGGCATATAGTGTTTCCGTCCTTCCATCTGACTTTCCGTCAGGCTTTGCATTTAGCTCTGTTCAAAGCTCCGTTTCTCAGAAACTATACAAGATATTTTTATCAAACTTCATATGCTGATAGATATTGATGAGAGCTATGCAACTGCATCAACATTTTTTGACCTTGACCTTTCCTTTGACCTCGACCTCACTTTTCTTAACTTAGTGTTTAGCTCAGTTTTAAAGATACCATTCAAGATAGTGTAATCAAACTTCATATGCTGATACATACTGATGAAAACTATTCAACTGCATCAATATTTTTTGACCATGACCTTTCCTTTGACCTTGACCTCACTTTTCTCAATTTGTGTTGTAATTCAGTTTTAAAGAAACCATTCATAATATTTTTATCAAACTTCAGATGGTAATACATACTGATGTAACCTTCAACTGCATCAACATTTTTGACCTTGACCTCTCCTTTGACCTTAACTTCATTTACTTTAAATTAGTGTTTAGCTCAGTTTTAAATAAACCATTCAAAATATTTTTATCAAACTTAATATGTTGATACGTATTTGTGAGAACTATTGAACTGCATCAAAAACGTTTGACCTTGAACTTTCCTGTGATCTTGACCTCACTTTTCTTAAATTTGCATTTTGCTTAATTTTAAAGATAAGATATATTTGCTTAATTTTAAAGATAAGATATATTTATGTAAGTTTATGCACTTATGCATAATTTGGTGAGAATTTATCATCTATATCCAACTTTTTAGCTCACCTGAGCTGAAAGCTCAAGTGAGCTTTTCTGATCACATTTTGTCCGGCGTCCGTCTGTCTGTCCGTCTGTCTGTCTGTCTGTCTGTAAACTTTTCACATTTTCGACTTCTTCTCAAGAACCACAGGGCCAATTTCAACCAAACTTGCCACAAAGTATCCTTGGGTAAAGGGGATTCAAGTTTGTTCAAATGAAGGGCCACGCCCTCTTTCAAGGGGAGATAATTAGGAATTACTGAAAAAATAATGGCATCATTTAAAAATCTTCTTCTCAAGAACCATAGGGCCAGGAAAGATGAAACTCATGTGGAAGCATCCTTAGGTAGTGTACATTCCAGTTTGTTCAAATCATGACCCCCAGGGGTAGGGCGGGGCTGCAATGGAGGATCAAAGTTTTACATAGAAATATATAGGAAAAATCTTTAAAAATCTTCTTCTCAAGAACAGCAAAGCCATGATGAGTCATATTTATATGGAAGCATCCTGAGGTAGTGTAGATTCAAGTTTGTTCAAATCATGACCCCCAGGGGTAGGGCGGGGCTGCAATGGAGGATCAAAGTTTTACATAGAAATATATAGGAAAAATCTTTAAAAATCTTCTTCTCAAGAACAGCAAAGCCATGATGAGTCATATTTATATGGAAGCATCCTGAGGTAGTGTAGATTCAAGTTTGTTCAAATCATGACCCCTGGGGGTAGGGCGGGGCTGCAATGGAGGATCAAAGTTTTACATAGAAATATATAGGAAAAATCTTTAAAAATCTTCTTCTCAGGAACAGCAAAGCCATGATGAGTCATATTTATATGGAAGCATCCTGAGGTAGTGTAGATTCAAGTTTGTTCAAATCATGACCCCTGGGGGTAGGGCGGGGCCACATTGGAGGATCAAAGTTTTACATAGAAATATATAGGTAAAATCTTTAAAAATCTTCTTCTCAGGAACAGCAAAGCCATGATGAGTCATATTTATATGGAAGCATCCTGAGGTAGTGTAGATTCAAATTTGTTCAAATCATGACCCCCGGGGGTAGGGCGGGGCCACATTGGAGGATCAAAGTTTTACATAGAAATATATAGGTAAAATCTTTAAAAATCTTCTTCTCAGGAACAGCAAAGCCATGATGAGTCATATTGATATGGAAGCATCCTCAGGTAGTGTAGATTCAAGTTTGTTCAAACCATGACCCCCGGGGGTAGGACGGAGCCACAATGGAGGATCAAAGTTTTACATAGAAATATATAGGTAAAATCTTTAAAAATCTTCTTCTCAGGAACAGCAAAGCCATGATGAGTCATATTGATATGGAAGCATCCTCAGGTAGTGTAGATTCAAGTTTGTTCAAACCATGACCCCCGGGGGTAGGACGGAGCCACAATGGAGGATCAAAGTTTTACATAGAAATATAAAGGAAAATATCTTGTTCTGAAGAACAGAAAAGCTATGTTTAGTCATATTGATATGGAAGCATCCTCAGGTAGTGTAGATTCAATTTTGTTCAAATGATGACCCCCCAGGGGTAGGATGGGGCCCAATGGGGGATGGAAAGTTTTACATAAGAACATATAGAAAAAATATTTCTTCTCAAGAACAGAAAAGCTATGTTTAGTCATACTGATATGGAAGCATCCTCAGGTAGTGTAGATTCAAGTTTGTTCAAATGATGACCCCTGGGATAGGGAGGAGCCACAATGAGGGATCAAATTTTTACAAAGGAATATATGGGAATTTTTTTTTAAAAATCTTCTCAAGTACAACAAAGCCATTTGTTATATTGACATGGAAGCATCATCAGGTAGTTTAAAATTCAAGCCCCCCCCCCCCCCCCCCCCCCCCCCCGTCTTTTCAATACTGAACTGATTGTGCTTTTGCCTAGCCAATGTGCTGCTCAGGTGAGCGATGTGGCCCATGGGCCTCTTGTTAGATTTCAATTTCAATTTTAAAGAAACCATTCAAGATATTTTCATCAAATTTCATACACTAATACAAATTCTCATGTTGCATTACTAATATACCCTCGGCGGGGCATTCATGTTCTATGGACATATTTCTAGTTTTTTAAAGTTACATGTACATGAAAGATAGAAGCCATAATGGCTAAACATGCTAAATGTAAAGTAAAATTCCCTCATTAATATGATAACCATATAGGCATCTTGGAAAAAGTTCTTCTTGTGGGGATTGGGTGGTAAAGTATTTCATAAATACTATTATTCCTACATTTCTTTCTATTCTACCCAGAGGTTTATTAATTAACACTAAATTAATTCTGGATATAACACATTATTTGATTGGATGAAAAAAATACTTCATTTCATATAAATTAGGTTGCCTATGTCACAATGACTTGTGTAAAGAAACGTATCGACACGCCTGACGTTACATTTAAATTTTGTACAATTTGAAGTTATTTTTTAAGGGCAATCATCTTTTTTTCTTACTGTAAATGAATGAAATTGGAATTATAAGGATTGAATTTAATAGCTACCCAATTTATACCATATAAACTAGTTTGGAACAGTTCATGCTTTTTAAAATTAAAACCGCTTTGTGGTTTATAAAGCGTAAACTGCCTAGCCCAGTTTATATCTTAAAATTGGGTAGCTATTAAGTTCATTCCTTAATTAATAATTGTTCATTGGTTCTTGGTGATTTAAAAAATGCAACTTATTCATAATTTTTTTTTTTTGTTTCACAGATTCGGGTGAGAAAGTAACCAACTTTGACTTTTCCCACAGCTTTAAGCTGACTAGTGCCTGTGGTTATCCGAGGTACACTAATTATGTAGGGGCATTCCATGGACAGTTGGACTATGTGTTTGTGGACAGCAATTTGGAGGTGGTCAGTGTCGTCCCTCCTCCAGACCATGAACAGGTCACGCAGCATTTGGCCCTACCCAGCATAGTTTTTCCTTCTGATCATATAGCACAAATCTGTGTAATTAAATGGAAGTGAGATTTTATGTACTGGATAAAGTATTTGAAGCTGATGGCATTATTTTCTTTTGTTAGAAGGGCCCAGGGGTCTTGATAACACTTGAGTATTAAGAGTTTCTCAGGCTCTGACCACTTAAGCCCCACCTATGATATGAATTTTACAATATAGTAGAGGACTCATTCATTACCACACTGAGAAGAAATTTGTCTCGTAGATGATCAGGAGTAAAGAAGATTTCTACAGATAGAATTTTAATATATGATCAACTTTGCCCCATTTAACTTTACACATACACTTTCCATACAACATTTTGGGGGAACAAGGCCTATTATCCTCACAATGTTGGGTCCTGATTCAATGTTTCTGTTGGACCCCTGACAAATTTCATTCAATATCTTGCGGGCTGACTGCAGTGTCGTCTTTCGGGAAAATTACAAATCTTGATTGTTTTTCCTAGCTCTTAACCAATCACATTAAGCCTTTTGGTGATAAACAATGCATAACACGTGCATTTTATTCATCAACTGATTCCTTACTGTTTACCTTGTCTGTTTACTTCAATTTTATTAGTGCTTCTCAATGAGAGAAGCCAGCCCAAATAAAACGAATGAAATTTGTCAGGGGTCCAATGGCAATGTTGACTCAGGAGTCAGGACCCTTGACGTGAGGATGGAGGCGTATAGGTCAGCATGCATGCCCCAAATGATTCAAGGTTATGACCCATTAATTCAGTTGACGGAGTGGCATAGTAGATTAATTACAGTTTTAGCTCTGACAAAAAAAAATAAAAATAGCCTTACACTTGCTGGACTCTTTATCAATAAACAGCAGTCTTAAGGCCACACATGCTCTGTGCTTCCTTCCTTAATGTTAAAATTCCTGTTTAATGGTGTGTGTCTATTATACTCTTTCCATCAATAGATAATATTTACATCCAGTGAATATTATTTCCTTTATTTCTTTTGAAAACCATTGTCATTTATCAGTCAGTAAACACCACTAAGCAAGCTACCTTTATAGATTTCTTAAGGAACAGCTCTTCCATCAATTATGCATACCATGACATACACATGAATAATACAATATTTAACATATTTAATTTTACTTTAAATGTTTTTTAATACAGATATAAATATACACAATAAAGTGTCTTTGTTTGTTAGTACTGGAATTAAGGTAGCAGCTATTGCAGGAAAAAATTTAGTACATAACCTGCTTACGTATTTTTTCTGCAACAGCTACAACATTAATTCCCGTAATAACAACCAAAGAAAGCATTTTATTGCTTAAAAAGAGGCCGTTTTAGAATTATTGGCAGTAGCTTATTTTGCCAATTATGAAAATTGGTGGCGAATTCCCATTATTGAAATAGTGGTAAATTGCCACCTGTCACCTTTTATTGAAAATCCAGGAAAATAATTATTTCAATTTTTATTTTAGTTACCTGGTTTATATAGATAAATTCTTTGTCCATAAAACCTCTTATTGCAAGCTTATTCAATTCCATTTGTAAAACAAAAAACTACAAAGAGAATTTGTTACAAATTTTATTTGTTCTATGGAAAATTATTGGATTTCTGAAAAAGTACATCTGATCAATGATATAGTATTATACAGTAAGGGCATAACCAAATCTGGTACATGTATTTGTTTAAAAACTGTTTTCAGTTATTATTTATTATAAACGATGCTACAAACAAGAGATTCAACATATAATGGTTTTGTGGCTTTTTACTTCTGCTATGTCTATATCTCTCTTAAAATTATGTCATGTTTGCTCCCATAAAAGTTGACTTTCTGTTCAATGTTTATTGTATAATAACAGATTGGAACTTTCAGGAAAAGGATTTGGAGTAATTTTGAAAAAAAGAAACTTTTTCATTTTAAGCATGAATGTGATTCTATTTTAATAAGTACATGGCAGTTTTACCATTTTTATCCCACACAGAACCAAATTTTCATAGATTTAGTCTAATGTAAGATTTTTCATTATACAGTTTGTAAAAATTTTTTAAAAATGTTTAGGAACTTGTAAGATTTTTATAGAGATATTAAATCAAAGTGGTTATTTTTCATTTTGGAAAGTACAATATGTTTACGTTTTGAGTAAATCAACATTCCACTGTAAAGGGATATAACCCAAGAAACTAAATGGTTTTTCTTATCATAAAGTATCTACCGGGTATTTAGTTATGCCCCAAACCGATATTTACACCGCATGCATAGCACCATTTGTTTAAACAAAAAATCATTTCAATGGTAAGATGGTGGTTTTCATTCATATCACATTAGACTGAGGTGTTCATCAATAAAAATTATTACTACACTTCTCATAATAGTTTGGAACATACTTTTTCTACAACCAAATTTTGAACAACCTTTCATACTTAATGGTAATACTTGATACAATCTCTAAGAAAAACATGCACAAATTTGAAACACAAAAATACATGCAAAATTCTCTGATCACATAGAAAAGTTATTGTGGATTGGGAATTTAACAATTAAAACATGCATATGGCATTCCTTTCTTACGACCTTTTTTAACATTAATATGAAGCACACAAACAATATTAGAAACATGAACAAAGATCAGGAAGACTTATGAGAACTCTGCCTTGTTTTGTTCAAGTTTAAATTGCCAATTTTATTGAACAAAGAAGTAATTAATGATTGTACAGGTTACAGATGTACACTACTCTGTACACAGGATTTCAACTCTTGATTTAACGAGAGTTATATGAGACTGTCTGTTTGAAATCCTGGAAAAAAGAATTTTTTTTATATTGTCTTTCATATGTACTCTTCAGTTTCAAATGAAGATGTAAAGAAATGTGAGCTCCTTGTTTACTGGTTAAAGGGGCCTGGAAACAGTTGCATTGCTGATTTGTGTACAATTTTAAATTTCTATGTTAATTTCAAAAATAACTTCAGTTTAATGTATTGAACTTGGATGAAAATACTTAAAATTCAATAAGGACATTCTTCATATCTACAACAAACATCTGTGTTTGTGAACATGGGCACAAGCTCCCTAATTGCTAATGTTTACATTTTACTGGGTTTGTTCAAGTTGTTTACTCTACACACAGTGTATTTCCACTCTGAATTTTCTGGACTATGGGTTTAACATTTTTTTGTACATACACAACAAATTTTTACTTTTCCCAAATAATAAAGATACAGTCTACTTTGTGAAAGAGCAAGGATGCATGTCAATCAAAAGCATCCCAAAACTCTTCTCTAAACATGCTTTTACAATATTTTTATGTGAAATGCACCAGCAACATATAAGTCATGATATTTAACTGAAAATTTTAGAAAATATTAACTTCTTATCTGTGTTCAAGCCTCTTTAAAATACAAGATGGTAGCTTTTTTGCATGTATCACAAATATGCAAATGGAAACTTCAAAACAAACATGCAATTGTACATGAAAAGCAGGAGAGGACATGCACAAGCTCTCATGCATTCCATCCATCCCTTTGTCTTCTGGAAATAATAACATTTAAATTAAATAAAAAGCAATCTACAGCAGTAAAAAACAAGAATGAAAAAAACCCCAAACAAACACTCTTATGAGTATTGTTTGTGAAACATTAAAGCAATGTCCAATCAAAATTCAACACTGTAGAAGCTTTTTGAAAGAATTTCACAGATTTTTTTTTTTAAATGGAATCAAAATTTATTGAAATCAAATAAACAAAATATAGAGATAAGTATCTAAATGTAGTCTAGTTATTTAGCAAGTTTTATTGAAATCTGACAACTGTTGGAATAGCACTTTGGAATGAATTTTTGCAGAATATTCTATCATTAGGAACCATAGAAAAACCTTTAGTTAAAATCAAAAACCAATGAATGAAATTATGTACATGTATCTTAGTGTAGCCTACTTACTTGCGTAACAAGTTACATTGAAATCAGACCAAAACTGTAGGAGTAGCACTTTGAACAAATTTCATAGAAATTTTTATTTTTAGTAACCATTGTTGAAAACAACTAGATGAGTTTGTGAAACACTGATGCCCTTGTATGGCAGTTATGGCTGAAAAGATTTTCTAGAGTAGGTGAACCTCAAAGGTCAAGGTCATGAGGTCAAGAAGTGGTACCCAAAGAAAGGTCTTGTCACAAGAAATACACGTGAAACATGAAATGTTTGCAAGCGCTCACCAAAATTCCTTATCCCTCCAACAGAAATGTTCGCAATCACTTGCAAACATTTCCTCTGTTGAACAGGCCTCAGATGTTCCAAAGTTGGGGCAAGGTTAAAGTTTTCAAACGTAGGTGAAACTTGAATATCAAAGTCATGAGGTCAAAAACATTGATACCCAAAGAAAGGTCTTTGCACAAGTAACATACATAGGAAATATGAAAGCCCTAGCACCCACTGTTCTAAAGTTATGGCCAAGGTTAAAGTTTTTCAAAAGTAGGTGAAACTCCAAGGTCAAAGCCACATGGTAAAATATATGGTACCAAAAAGAAAAGTCATGTCAAAAGGAATACACAGGTGAGATATGAAAGTCCAAGCATTAATCATTCAAAAGTTAAAGGCGAAGTGAAGTATTTGTGGACAGAGACAGACCAAAAAACTATATTCCCCCAAATCTCTTATTACAGGGACATAAAATGATAAATAGAAGTATGTATATAGTCATTGAAACTGGACCAAAACTGTAGGAGAATTAGCATTTTGAAACAGACAAATGACAGACACCTTAACTGCCTTGCCTGATTTACTTGAGGAATGGCAATTATAATGACAGAAATTGGAATTGGTTGTGCTTGTGCATTTTGAAACAAAGACGTAGTTAATCAGTTGGAAAAGTTTCAGATTGATTAAGGAGATGGGCGAACATAGCGTGCAGAAAGCCTATAGCTTCAAATATATAAAAATCATGCTCAGTTTGTGAATTTAGTATTTAGAGTCCAGTTCTCATTATTGAAATGTATGAAATTATGATAAACAAAACTTTTCTGAGGAAAATTTTCGCGGAAAATTTATTCTTTTATTAAAAAAAATAATGTGATATTCATGGGGGTTCGAACTCTAGCAATAAAAATCCTGAGTATCATTTTCTTTCGAGACTAGCACGCTAACCACTAGACTACGCAAGATCTGATGAATAGTGGCATTTAAATCATGTTTGTGATATGACCCTTGACTTAATGGACTTCAAGTATTTCTCGGAAAGATGTGAATTTTGTGTCAAAAAAGTGTATTTTAAAGGTATAGTGGGTCTTTCCTCCATATTTTAGGAAACCAAAAAATGTATATTTTTATGCAAACTTCGAGGATTAACTTTCAAAAAAATGGAGCGAAGACCCACTCATATCGAAAAATAGTGTTATAGTATGAGAAAATAACTCTTTTTGCCCTTTTTAGTGTGTGTACAATATTTCATAAGTAAATAATTTCAATCTTTGTGAGATTTTTGCAAATTGTAGAGATTTTACATAAAGTATACTGTGGAATCATCATTGTTCGTGGGGGACCAATGTTCGTGGATTTCGTGGGTTACCCTTACCCACGAATTTACATACCCACGAACGTTTATTTTGTAAACATTTAAATTAATTGAATCTACCGTATAAATGAGTAACCCACGAAATTACGTCCCCTCGAACAAGTAAAATTTTGCTTGTCCACGAACATTGACCCTCACGAATTAAAATGATTCCACAGTATTTTAATGTTAGATGAAATATCAAGGAAAATTTTGATATAATTGAGATTTAATTTTTCACCTTCATGTTTGTCACACTATAGGCTTTTCGCTCGTCATGTTCACCCATCTTCTTTACAAACAGATATCTACATTTAACTGCACCAAATACATTATAAAGTACATGTACATGTGTCATAATAAGAAAGAATGAACCTTCAAACATTTAAATTATAAAAATGCCATAGAAATGAAAAACAAAACAAAAAAAAAACAATACAAGAAGTAAAGAATATCAAAAACATGCAGGATAATAAATGTTAAATGTAACCAATAGGTTGTTAACAAAAATACAAGGACTCGCAATACTGAATAATGTAGGGGGCATCTTAAACAAAAATAAAATTTTTCATCAATCAACTTATACTAAGGCCTACCATTGCAAAATGTTTAATAAAGATGGTAAAAATCAAATTACATGTTCAATAAATCATTTTCTATTTTTGTTGTGATTCTACAAAACTTCTCAAATGAATACAATCTCAAAAATACGGTGAAAACAAAATTCTTTGGAACAAAAGTAAATGGTGATACGCTGTATGATCATATACAAATATAAAAAGTTTCATTCTTAAAAATATTGAAAATTCTTTGTAAATTTTACTGGATGGTGCAAGTCCACACATAAATGACTTGAAAGTTTAGTTTTTGTTCAAGCTTTATTATACATTGATTGACACACGTGTTTTTTTAACTCATCTTCTTAAAATATGATTCAAAGCAATTTTTAATGAATTGCCTCATTTGTAGACAAACTATTCACTGGAAAATTGCACTGCTTCTGCAGTATAAAGAATATACTGTACCTACTGTAAAATACACAACAAAAAATACAGGGTTACATAATTTTTACAACCAAGCTCTATATGAAAAAAAAGGCATAGCCAAAAGGACTCTAATCAGCAAACTTCAATCCTTTAAAAATGTTTCAAAATGTGTTTTAAAAAGAACTTAGTTATTGCCAAAACTTCCAACAATCCTCTGGTTGAAATCAACAGTCAACCAGATATTGTCAAGTCCTCTAAGAGTACGTAAATAGTCGAAGCTGTTTTTATGGATCTGGTTTGTGATTCCTAGATCTCGATACAGGGTTGTCAGGCCACGACTGCGAGCACCTTCTATAGTGACAGTGTAGTTGGCACTCGATGTGATTTTGATCAGGTTAGACTCAGCCTGCCCTTCCTCTCTCACTTCCTGGGCTCTATTCTTTATCTTCTGAACCTAACAACAAGTTATATTACATTTATTAAACTACTGTACATTGTTACATGTTGATGGTGCTACCATTAAGGGTGAGTGGTTGTGTTTAAATTATACTGGATACCTATTTCATTTAAACTTACATCTACCTCTTCAGTCTTCATTCTAGACTGTGACATCACAGGGTGTACGATGTTAGTTGCATTTCCATTATGAAGTTATTAAAGGGCAAATAGTAAACAAAGGGCACTTAAACTACTATTTACCTGCAATTTCCATTAGAATTAGGTGAGTTACATATTTATTTGTGAACTTTTCTTTGGTCATCACAAGAACGCTAGTCATAGAGCGGTACCAAAGCCTATTTGCATGCATTGTGGGTCTAGAGTTTACTTTGAAAAAAGAATTTCTTTTGGATAAATATGCACAGCCTGAATTTTCTCTTCATTCAGCGTTCCTTTAAGAGCCTACAGTGCAAGCAGTGCTTTGTGCCACTCGTTGCACTCACTAAAAGTATTCACTATTCAAAACTGGATGATAAATAAACATGGAATGGAATTTCTGTGTACATAACTTTATGCTGCCTAATTTTCACTAAAAGTTTCTTTTATGGAAAATTTACAAAAGAATAAAAAATGAATTAATTATATTTCTATGGAGCTAGCACCCAACTTGTATGTAAGAAATGATAAATGAAAGGCACTGGTAACTTTGAATGTACATGTACAATTTGCTCAGAAATCATGAGGGGAAAATCATGATTGAAATACTGAACACACAAAATCAAGATAAAAATGCAGCTTTGTAGATACATATACCTTTACGGTATTTGATACCTGTGAAGATGTGATCTTTCTTTCTACTTGAGCTTTCTGTAGGAGTTTTTCTCGCTCAGAGTCTTCTTTCAGAGTAAGCTGTCTAAGAAACCTTTCCTCTACATCACGGGGGATGTACACTTGACCCATTTGGAAGAATCTCACATCAGCAAACACCCCTTTGTTGTCCTCTGTGCACAGATCAATCCTTGTACAGCCAGGAAAACATGCTGGAAAGCAAATTCTACAGGTTAAGCATGCCCTGAATCACTTATTACATTTGAATTAAATCCATACAAAATATTAAAACACATTCTATTTTATTTAAAAGAATAATCATGTGAAAGAATTTTTAAATTTTTTTTAACAAGTTCTTTCTCTTAATGTTTAACTAAAATCAGTTTTAATAAATGTTTTTGGGAACAAAATTATTGTTTGTCAGAGGTGTTTGATATACTGCATACCTTACCCTTGGTAATATACATATATTTATGACTTCAAGTATTTCAAACAGCTAGTACCTTTAATTTTCAAAAATAATGTATCAAAGGTATTTTAACCTACACATACAGCTCAGTACTAGTATCACTGAAAACAATACCATATTTCCAGGATTTGCAGTCTTCCTGGCAACATTTCCCCCCTAGACGTTCCCTGACAGCTTTGAACAAATCCTCTTCCACTTTAGCTCTCTCTGAGATGAGCTCCCTTGTGGTGTAAATAGTAATAGCACCCTATTAATGAACAAATTGTTAACAAAAGGCCTATGGGTCACATCACTCACCTGAGCACATTGGCTAGGAAAAAGCACAAATCAGTTCAGTATTGAAAAGTTTACAGGGGGGGGGGGGGGAATTGATTTTTTTTAACTACAATGAGGATGCTTCCATATCAATACACTGTATAACAAATGGCTTTGCTGTTCTTGAGCAGAAAAATTTTTAAGGACTTTTTCTCATATATTCCTTTGTAAAAATTTGATCCCCCATTGTGGCCCCTCCCCTGGAGGATCATCATTTGAACAAAATTGAATCCACTACCTGAGGATGCTTCCATATCAATATGACTAAACATGGCTTTTCTGTTTTTAAGAAAAAGATTTTTTTCCTATCAATTCCTAGGAAAACTTTGATCCCCCATTGTGAACCCACCCTATCCCTGGCGGTCATAATTTGAACAAACTTGAATCTACACTACTTGAGAATACTTCCACATCAATATGACTAAACATGGCTTTGCTTTTCTTGAGAAGAAGATTTTTCAAGTTTTTTCTTATTTATTCCTATGTAAAACTTTGATCCCCGATTGTGGCCCCATCCTACCCCCAGAGGTCATCATTTGAACAAACTTGAATCTACACTATGTAAAGGTTTCCTATAAGTTTCAAGTCTTTTGGCCCAGTGGTTCTTGAGCAGAAAATTTTTTTTAAACATGCCACCAAATTTTCACTATTTTTGAATTATCTCCCCTTGACTAAGGGCATGGCCCTTCATTTGAACACAAAAAAATTTTAATCCCCTTGATCCAAGGACGCTCTGTGCCAAGTTTGGTTGAAAATGGCTCAGTAGTTCTGGAGAAAAAAATGAAATTGTGAAAAGTTTACAATGACAACGACAAACAACGGACAAATTTTGATCAGAAAAGCTCACTTAAGTCTTCCGCTCAGGTGAGGTAAAAACACAAAAATGAGTCATCATGTGAATTCATCTTTAGTTTTTGATGCAAGATACAATAAATCACAAATAATCCCCCCCCCAGGGCCATGAATTGAACAAACTTGAATCTACACTACCTGAGGATGGTTCCTTATAAACATGACTTATCATGGCTTTGCTGTTCTTCATCAGATTTTTGGGAGATTTTACCTATGTATTCCTATGTTAACCTTTGATCAGCCATTGTGGCCCCACCCTATCCATGAGGCTTCTTATTTGAACAAACTTGAATTTACACTATCTGAAGATGCTTCCATATAAATATGACTAGTCATGGCTTTCCTGTCTTTGAGAATATGAGTTCTAAAGATCCTTCCTATATATTCCTATGTTAAACTTTGATTACCCATTGTAGCCCCACTCTATCCCCCAGGTGTCATGATTTGAACAAACTTGAATCTATACTATGTAATAAAACTTACACAAAAGTTTCATCATTTCTGGCCCAGTGGATATGGAGATTGAAGATTTTTGAAAGATGCCATTAATTTTTCACTTAATCTTCATTATCTTTCTTTGAAAGAGGGCCATTCATGTGAACAAATTTGAATCTCCTTCACCCAAGAAAATTTTGTGGCAAGTTAGGTTGAAATTGGCCCAGTGCTTCTTAAAAGAAGAAGTAGAAAATGTGAAGTTTACAGAAAACACAAGTCAGATGAACTCCAGACACCTTTTGATCAGAAAAGCTCACTTAAGCCTTCGGCTAATGAGATCTAAAAATATTATGTCATCTTTATGAAAATGGCATTATTTAAATTAAGTATCAATTAAAAACAATCATGTATGCAGGGAAATTTTTAGCCCCTCCATTTTTGCCCTCATAGCAAATGGGAAACTCATACAAGTCAGAGTTATTCCTTAAACACAACTTGTCTGGGAGTACCAATATTTACAAAGGGGCAAAATTGTTTGCAAGAGTGATAGGGCAAAAGTACAAGAGGCCCACAGGCCTTATAGGTCACCTGAGTATAATGCAACAACTTTGCCACAATTAAATTGGATTCACATTTTAAACCAGGGGCCATGAAATTCACAATTCCGAAAGAGGCAAACTTGCTCACCATAACTTTACATTTAGTAAGCTTAATACCCAGAAAGAGAGAAGAGGATTATCAAAGAATTAATGCATTTTCACAATGTAATCATTAGAGCCCTGCCCTAACACCAGAACCCTGACCCAGGGGCCATAAAATTCACAATTTTGGAAGAGGCACCCTTACATATCATAACTATACTCTTAATTCATCGGCTTAATACCCAGGAGAAAATGAGAAGATTTTCAAATAATTAATGCATTTTTACTATGTAATCATTAGAGCCCCACCCTAACACCAGAACCCCTGACTCAGGGGCCATGAAATTCATAATTTTAGAAGAGGCACCTTTACTCATCATAACTATGCATTCAGTTTGATTGCTAAATACCCAGGATCAAAGAAAAAGATTTTTTTAAAGAAATAATGCATTTTCACAATATATTCAGCAGAGCCCCACCTTACACCAGATCCCCTGACCCAGGGGCCATGAATTTCACAGTTTTGGAAGAGGCACATTTCATCATCGTAACTATATATTTATTTTTTTTTCCATGATATTCAATAGCAGAGAAGAAGCTTTTTAAGAAATAATGCATTATCACTATATATTCAACAGAGCCCCACCCTAGCACCAGAATCCCTGGCCCTGGGGCCATGAATTTCACAATTTATGTAGAGGGCTCAATGCTCATTACATTCATGCCAACAGTTTGCCTGCTTGATGTCCAAGAGTAAAGAAGAAGATTTTTAAAGATTGCATTAATTTTGATGGTTTTAGCCCCACCCCTCAGGCCCCAGGGGGGTAGGGGTCATGAATTTCACAATTTTTACTCCCCTTCACACATAGACGCTATATGCCAAATTTGGTTGAAATTGGCTCAGTTGTTCAAGAGAAGAAGCTGAAAATGCTCAAATGTTAATGGACAACGAACGACGCACGCCAATGGACGAAAACAGATAGCAATAGGTCACCTGAGTAAACTCAGGTGACCTGAACATGGGGGCAAAAATAACCTTACTACAATGGATCCTATATAATACATAGAAATTAAGCAGAAGCCTGATTTTGACCAGAGCCCTACTTTTACGGCATCTACAGCACTATTCTTCATGACGTCCTCATAAAACAGATCAAAACGTCTGTGCAGAGCAGGCAGGTCATCTTTTCTCAAGAAATACTGCAGATGAACAGTAACCTGTACCTATCAATTATAAAAATAGAAATTCTTATAATATGTTGCTGCAGTTCTTTTTTTTTTTGTTTTTTTTTAAAGCAATTTCAATGTGATGGTCTTATAGTACAATGTAGCTACGGCATGTGTACTTGCACTAGTGTTCTGCAATATTTACAACAGAACAGTTTTACTAGATGTCTAACAAGAAAACTAGTATATGATGATTTAACAGAAAAAAATGTCATAATTATTTGAAATTACACAGAATACTTTACAACGTTAAATCCTAAATTAGATACATATCTTAGTTCTACAGTTTTCGAGTAAAACATGCAAATAAGAATTTTTTTCTCGACATATCCATAAAATACATTAATAAAGTGCACCACCACAGCATATGGTACACCCATCAAATATTGTTCATTTATCATAAACAGATTAGAGTGCAAGGAAGAAAATCAAGTAATCCTGGTACAAATTAAAAGGACTATAATTATTTGGTAATGACCAATATCTGCCCACAAAATCAAACTTTGATAGCAAAATCTATATGTTCTAAAGCAGGAGGGTATCTGCAACTTGAGAGCATTACCTGTTTTCATCAGCTATGACATCATGTGTTAAATATGATGTCAAGAAGATGACCTAAATTCAAATTTTAAATGATTTTGTCATTGAGAGAGAAAAAAAAATGTATTTTACATCGATATTGTGATTAAAAGTCATCGAGCACAGGTCTGCCCCAGCTCTATCTTTTGATATGATGTGTAGATCAAAATTATAATATCCCTCAAATATGTGAATATTGTTCTGAAGCTAGCTTGCTCAGTAAATTCTTTACTCAAAATTGAACAAATTTTGTTCAGTTTGTCCTTTATCTTGAAAATAATGGAAAATTCAAATAGTTTGTGACGTCACAGAAGCAAGCATTGACAATAATCTACTTCAAACTATATTAATTTTTTGTCAATTAAGAATTTTCATACAATATATACAATTGTGAACATTTCTAGAGATTTTCAAAATTTGCCTTTCATGAGGGCAAAAATATGCTTTTACTGCATATAGTTCTTTCAATGATTTTTCTATTCCTGATGTTTGATGTGCTTCTCCTATAATGTACCCGGTATTTATTAATTCATCACACAAATAATACATCATATTTTTCTCATCTGGTTGTGCAAGTTTTACAAATGCCCATCCGCAGCTTTGTTTATTGTATTTTTTACGAATGAAGAATAAAGCTACAACCTAATAAAACATCAAAACACTAATCATTATTCTTAGACTGTAAAACTGTCATCTTAGTGAGACAATTATTGATATGCTGCAATTTGTTGTTGAGATATAAAAAATAAAAATATTACATAATACAGTATCAAATTAATTTTAAAACTTTACACCAAGTCAATTTTGAAAGTAATGGCTAAGGCAGTAAGAATTATTTTTTTATTTGAAGAGATGCTATCAATTGCATTTAAGAGGCCAGATTCTTCTGCCCAATTCCCAACAGATACATATAGCACCTGCTTGATCAGACAAGCTCTACCAGAAATCTTCTTACACTAGACTCATTAATAAATCTCTAATTTGACAGACTGCAATTTGTCTCTTATCAAAATGCCCTCTAAAACACCATTGCTTTTGATAATTACACCCATGAGACAAGTGGAATTTCTCTCCTTATTAACAAAAAAGAAACTATATATTTCTTATTTATCCTGCAACTACCCCTTGCATTGACCTAAGAAAGGTAACCTAATAAACCAAAGCTTTATTCGGTCAATGCCCTAATAAAGCCTCGTGGATGTATTCCGACGTTCGAAAGGCATTGTGACGTCATGAATATTCCAATGTTTACGCCATGGCGTAGTTTCAACTGCAGAGGAGATGTACCTAAATCGATTGAAAATAGCTTGTTTTGGAGGTCACGTAAAAATATGTTGCAGGATAAACAAAATACATGGAAACTGCCTTGAAATATAAGCGATATTTGGGCTCGGGTCGAAAACGTGATAGAGGGCTCGGCAAGCCTCGCCCTCTACCACGTTTTCTTACCCAAATATCTCTTATATTTCAAGGCAGTAACCATGTATTTTATATATAATGCTGTAAGATATATCACGAAAAAATGAATTAAACACATAACATTTTCATGTTCTTGAATTTTATTATAATTTTTATTATAAGTACTGCAATACTCTTGCATCTGTTGGGATTGTGTAACTTAAAAACATAGTTTTTTAATTTTAATTTCACCTTAATTAAAGGTCAGAGTGATCTTTAAGTAAGATGACACACAACTTCTACTTAAGATGCAGTAATTGACCAAGTTTGATGATTCCAGGTCTAATAGTTTTCTAGTAATGAGCCAGACAGATTTTTCCATATTTTGCCACAGCATCTTAATTAAATCTAACAGCAACCTACTTTTAATGTGTGACACAACTTCTACCCAAGATGTATCAGCTGATGGAGTTTGATTATTCTAGGCCTCACAATATTTACGTTAAGAGCTGGACATGAAAAAGCTAACAGATTAGGGCTGTCACTGTTCCAAAATTTTTCGGGTCGGGTCGGTTCTGTAAATTTTCGGTTCGGTTTCGGGTTTTTCGGGTCGGGTATTTACATCTATTTTAAACCTTAATTTCATGAATTTAACTTGAAAAATCTTTATTTGTTACATTAAATTTACATTGAAAACAAGTCTTAACCATGCGAACGTCTAGACATCGGTGACTTGGCCTACTATTAGCCACAACCTGACCATTCCTGCTCGTTTTGATAATTAATTAAGTGTTCTGTCATGGAATGAAGTAGATTTCAGTTGTGATGTTTATTTATCACTGTTATCGTAATCATTCTTTTGATTTCGACGCCATTTTTAGACTGGCTTCGCCATTTTTTGTATTGAACAGACTCTAATATATAAACCAGACCCGAACCGAAATCCGGAAAAATGGAACCGGAACTGACCCGAACAACTTGGACCGCGGTTCTCGGTTATTTCGGGTACTCGTGACAGCCCTATAACAGATAGACAGAAGAACTGGTATGAACACCATCCATAATTGTCTCAGATGGGTATACAAAAAGGGTGAAAATTGAGGCTAAAGCTTTTGTTTTCATCGATGTTTACCTCCAGTCTGTCAGAAGTAAAAGCTTTGATCCTCTCCAGGGTTAGGTGATGGGCATCAGCCTGGAACACTTTAAATTCATAGTCTGGTCCAGTAAAGTGTTTCCCAAAAGAATATACAGTATCCAGATTTACTGTCCCAGTGCTCTTTTGTTTAACAAAGCCATACTATTAAAAGAAAAGTCAGAATTATTCAATTGTAAATGGCATGTAAAGAAAGCAAAAGTTTACTTTTTTTACAGTAATTTTCACTTGGACAAATAAATTAATTTAAAATAATATAATATAACTTTTACTTTAAATCATTCACTGTTTAAATATAAATGATAAATGGACAGTTATGTTTACCAACTTTATAAATGTCAAATTTTATGTTCAAATATAAATATGTAAAAACATTTTTCTGAATGTGTCCTATTTGAAATTCTACATTATTTGTGGCACTATTTACACATTGAAAAAATGTATAACACTTGCATACAGTTTAATAAGAAAATAACTACACACAAACTAGATGTGAGGTTGACATGAATGCCCCACCTGACATGCATGTTTTAAATATGTGAAAGTCGATGAGTATGAAAATAACAATTCTGAAATAAGTTGTCTAAAAAACATACTAACACTGTTAAAATGGTGATCACTTACAAGCAGAGTAGAGTAATAAATAAGGTCCAAAATCAGTGAATAATTTGAATTTGTGTAAGTCTAAATGCCATTACTTTGTAAAAATGAGTCAATCGATATGAAACTCATATTTGATCTGTAAGTCATCATTACAATGAGACAAACCTTAAAGTACAGCGAAATAATACGGAAAAACAGTGAATTAGAAATTTTCAAAGTCTAAGGGCCATAACCATGATAACTATTGTAAAAATGGGAAATTATCATGAAAATCAAACTTGATCTGTAAGTCATCAATGTAAAGAAACAAATCAAAAATGAGCTCTTTACCTACAAGCAAAGCCAAAAAAAAGCATGGAAAACGGTGAATATTACATATTTTTAAAGTTTAACGACCATAATTATAACTTTCCTAAGAATGGGTCAATCATCACCAAATTTGAACCTGATTTGTAAGTCATCAATATCAAGAGACATAGCAAAAGTAAACTCATTATCTAGTAACAGAGCAAAAAAAAAACCTCCAGAAAACAAGCTATGACAGATGATAGAATAACAATGACAAAATGACAGAATGATGTACAGAAAAGGGTAACACTATACGCCCAGGGAATATCATGGCAGGGGAATAAAAGAAGCATTCTATTCTTAAAGTTTTTCTTGAACTGGGCATGTAAATTTGCTCTTGCCCATTTATGAAAAACAACAGGATATTTTCCAAAACATTTAACACTATCATTATTCATGCCTTTGCAGATCTTATTTTACAGTAAGTGAAAAGACATCTCTATTTTAATATGTCATCATGCTTTTCAAAACCTGAGTAGAACTTATGCAATAGATTTTCTCCCACTAGGACACAGTTTATTTAATCGATACTGAATCTCTTATGTTATTACAGTACTGTACAAAGACTACATGACCATGCAGTTTTTCACCATGAAATATTTATTTCTTTTTATTATATATCCAAAGAGAAAGAGCATTTTATTTTAAATTATTCTAAAATGCATTCATCTGTATTCAAACGTTTATAGAGAGAGGGCTTTTAAATTATTTCAGAGGTCGCAGCTTTTTATCTTTCGATTTTTATGAATATCCATTTTATCTAATGTAAATACATGTACCTGACTACTTCTCCAAGTATGCATTAAAATCAGGGGCTCGTAACATAAAGCTTGCTAAGATTTTGACTTGAGTAGGGTCATAAGTATGTTTTAGGTGCAATCTTATGACCCGCCTAAGTACTACTTAAGTATGTCTTAAACCGTAACATAAAACGAACTAAGACAAGTCTTAGCTAAGTCAAACTTATGTAAAATATTTCTTATGAATCACCCTAGTTTTTCACTTTATTTATATATATTGCTTAAAAAAGATTCATTTATGTTTTGAATTAAATATATATTAAATTTGACGTCCTTACTTATCTATTATAGTAAGTTGGATTAGATTTCGTATCTAATATATAATTCTGTTAAAAATTATTCATAATATTTGAAAACCAATCTTACACGGTCACAAGTGGCAATTGTGGTTCAACGTAAATGCATGAATTTTGTTCATCACTCGAGACTACAATGTTTTCAGTTTACCTTTTGTTGTTATTCTTTTGTTTAGAAAAATATTCACTCGCTTTGACATTGTCGCAGACCTGGCACAATAACCAAACATCTATCTACTTGAAATTGAATGAAACTCTGTTAGAGAAGTGGAAACAATAAGGACATTTTGAATTTTTTCCCCCACGATGAATCAGCTAATGTCAGCAAGGAGAGACTGTAGACTTTTTATGATTTAAAAATACTTTATTATCACTTCTTTTGCAAGTAAATTGAGGATCTTAGAGAACTGATTTCATCAGAATTTTTTTTTTCGTGTGTCCTAATCTATAAACACCTCTCTCTCTCTGATGGTAGTACGCCCTGCATGCATGTCTGAATCCGCGTTTGTCGGTTCTACATTGAATCTAATTTTAAAACACTCTTTATTAGCTTTCTAGTCATCGACTTCTAACTCATCAACAATTTCTCTGTCTCTTTATAAGTGAGACAAAATTTCACAAATTGTGGATATTCCTCTATAATATTATCTTTAGGAATACTAAATAAATATACATGTGAATGAAATTTCTGCGAGTACAATTACGTGAAAATAAAGTTCTTGTGAATAAAAAGTGATTTACAGTATAAAAATTTTCCAATATATCCTCATCAAATAATCTGTTGAATCGACCATTTCCAATTATAACCCATGGAAAAGTGAACTGCCTATATAGGCAGTTCTTTAGCAGTTCTTTAGCAGTTTTACAAATTTCAAGCAGTTTTCTAACAGTTTCAGACAGTTGGGCTTTTACTGCTCTTTTATAACTGCCAGAGCTTTAGGAGTAAACAGTTTTCCTAAGCAGTTTTTAAGCAGTTATCAGTTTCCCTAGCAGTTATATCTTAGCTGTCAATGCTTGGGGATAAGACAATTTTCCTAAGCAGTTTGGTAAGCAGTATATTAACAGTTTCTTTAGTTTTTTGATTGGGATCAAGAGTAATTTCAAAGTTGGGCTCAGTGATCAGTAAATATACACAACAAGAACCATACAACTGACTGCCAAAATTTCAATTTGGGCTGCCTAGTTGTATTGTTGCAGTCAGAAGGAAAGCATCATCAAGTACTCCAGAAGCCTGCAGTTAGCCACAAAGCTTTAGCTAGGTTGATAGAAATTATGATGCAGACATTAAACCATTGGTAGGTTCAATATATTTATTAATATGTGACCTTGAATAAGGAGATGAATTGCATGATTTAAAATATGCCTCTGTTTGTATTAATACACATATGATCCATTTCACAAAATTTAATTTTCTTTCCTTTACAGTTTCAGAAGAGAAGTGAGACTAATCTTGGATATCCCTGTTTTAATGATCTATAAACAATTGAATGAATTTCAGAAACATGAATACACATGCCTAAGTTCTATTTCTCAAATGTTTACAAATTCTGGGCAACACAAATTTTATGCAAAATAACTCTGTAAATTTTCAAAATAATGTGGTTATTACTGAGTGTATAGACGTGGTGGTTAGAGCATTTGCTCTAGAGTCATGGTGTAAGGAGTTGATCCTTACGTCGTGGGTTCAAATCCACTGTGGGACGTGGAGACCGGCTCTTCAGCCAAGACCGTAAAAACCGAGGTCCCGTAGTAGGTGATGGCACGAAAAGATCCCTCACTGCTCAATGGCCCTGAGTGCCCAGTATAGGTCAAAAATTTGCAGCCCTCCACCGGCAAGTTTTGGCATCTCCATATGAGTGAAAAATTCTTGAGAGGGACATTAAACAACAAAACAAACAAACACATAGAGTGACACATGTATACACAGAAGTTCTGATCAAGGAAGGTCCTTCAGTTTCTGGGAGTTATTATAATCTGATTTCAAGGAATTTAACATAAGGCACCAAAACCAATGGGCCACATCACTCACCTGAGCTAGAAACAAGAGGCCCATGAGCCACAACGCTCACCTGAGTAACTTTGGCCTTGCTGTTTTTCACCTGATTTCCCTTGTAGTACTTATTGTGGCTCCGCCCTACCCCCAGGGGTAATGATTTGAACAATTAGAATCTACACTACCCCAGGATGCTTCCACTTAAGTTTCAGTTTTTCTGGCCCAGTTGTTCTTGAGAAGATTTTTAAAGATTTTTCCTACATATTTCAATGTGAAAATTGGATTCCCTTTCGTGGCCCCGCCCTACCCCGGGGGTCATGATTTGAACAATTTAGAATCTACACTACCCCAGAATGCTTCCACACAAGTTTCACTTTTCTGGCCCAGTGGTTCTTCAGAAGAAAAAAAAAGAAGATTTTTTCTACATATTTCATTTCCCGGGGTCATGATTTGAACAATTAGAATCTACACTACCTTAGAATGCTTCCACATAAGTTTCAGCTTTTCTGGAATAGTGGTTCTTGAGAAGAAGATTTTTAAAGATTTTTACTACATATTTCAATGTAAAACTTAAATTCCCTATTGCGGCCCTGCCCTACAACAGGGGGTCATGATTTGAACAATTTAGAATCTACACTACCCCAGAATGCTTCCACATCAGTTTCAGCTTTTCTGGCCCAGTGGTTCTTGAGAAGAAGTTTTTTAAAGGACCCCACCCAATTTTTGTCTTTTCTTGATTATCTCCCCTTTGAAAGGGGCTTGGCCCTTCATTTTAACAATTTAAACTCCCCTTCACCCAAGGATGCTTTGTACCAAGTTTGGTTAAAATTGGCCCTTTGGTTCTTGAGAAGAAGTTGAAAATGTGAAAAGTTTACAGACGGACAGAGGAACAATGGGTGATCAGAAAACCTCACTTGAGCTTTCAGCTCAGGTGAGCTAAAAAGCACAAATCAGTTAAGTATTGAAAAGTTTAAATTTGGGGGGGGGACTTGAGTTTTAAACTACCTATGGATGCTTCCATATCAATGTAACAAATGACTTTGCTGTTCTTTTTAAAGATTTTTTCCTATACAGACAATTTTGCTTTGTTATAAGCGTAATTCATTGTATCCGTTAAGTTTACAATATATTTTATAGTCGTGGGGAATGAAAATCATTTCGCTGTAAGTGTCAATTCATTATAAGCGTGTTCACTATAACAGGGATCAACATTAACGGTTGTCCGATTGCCCGGGACAAGTAAATTCTCAGATCGGGCAAGTGAAATTGTTGTACTTGTCCGATCGGGCAAGTGAATTTTTCTCATACAAATATACATTTTTATTTAGTTTACCTTAATTTATAAATAAAACAATAAACTGAACACTTGATTTTCACCACAGACCTGACTGACAATGTTTGCATTCAGAATTCCTTGGTAGCGATTTCTGGTATTTATACCACTCATCTAAAAATCAGGTTCATTATTTTCTTTCGTAGTAAATACGCTCTACGTCTAACAAAATTTTGTTAACTTCTTATTAGGAAATTAAATTATTTATTCAAGCATAGGATATAAGTACAGTGTAACATGATGTATCCTGATGAAGATAAGATGTATGTTTTGTAGCAACTATCTTTCTTAAGCGTTGCTTCACAGTTATCTCTGAAAGCACAATCACAAAAAGGATCCTACCGAAAATAATTTTTAAAAATATGAATTTTATGAAAAGGAAATGGAGGGTTATCGTTGCATGGAAGTGTGTGTTAACAGGTTAAATTTACAAGCACAGTGGAATTCATTTATGTACAAATGCAGCATGCATCGACATTTTTTCAGGTAGCTCAACTTGCCAAATTGACAGTAGTGTATTTGGTCACATTTTTTTTTATCATAATGTTTACAGTAATTAATAATTTTCTTTTTAAGTTCTTTCCTAATTTTGGGCAACCAAGTTTTGCACTGACAAGTCAAAGTTTGAGATTACTTGCCCAAAGGGCAAGTTAATCTGAAAGTTAATGTCTATCCCTGTATAAGCATTTTTACTGTATATTCCTTTGCAAAAATTTGATCCCCCATTGTCATTGTGGCCACTCCCAACCTCCAGGGGTCATCATTTGAAAAAAACTTGAATCTACACTACATGAGGATGCTTCCATATCAATAGGACTAAACATGGCTTTTCTGTTCTTTAGATTTTTTCCTATATATTCCTTTGCAAAACTTTGATCCCCGATGGTGGCCCTACCCTTCCCCCGGGGGTTATCATTTGAAAAAAATTGAGTCTAAACTATGTAAAGAGTTTCAACTTTTTTGGCCCAGTGGTTCTTGAGAAGATTTTTAAAACATGTCACCAAATTTTCACTATTTCTGAATTATCTCCCCTAGAATGAGGGTATGACCCTCCATTTGAACAAACCTGAATCCCCTTTACCCAAGGATGCTTTGTGGCAAGTTTGGTTGAAACTGGCTTAGCAGTTCTGGAGAAGAGGTCAAAAATATGAAAAGTTTACAAACAGACAGACGGACTACAGACAAAATGTGACCAGAAAAGCTCACTTGAGCTTTCAGATCAGGTGAGCTAAATAAATAGTTCCTCCTTAATTGTAAAGGTGAGCTAAACAGTTGATACTGCATGGCCACTAAAATTACAGAAACAGCAGACAAAACAAATGAATCTGAATGATGCACAGAAAGAGTAATCTTGAGCATAAGCTACATCATGTACATACATACCTCATAATATTCCAGGCCACTGAAGCTCATGGGCAACAGAATGACAAGAAGACCTACTACCACTAGGGCTCCACCACAGAATAATACAACTATACAATTGTTCTGATCGGACATGGCTACAAGAACAAGTACATTAAACTAACAGTGTGTAATGCTCATATTTGTCAATAGGCAATAAATATTCAAGAGGAAGTACTTCATCTGCCTTGTTCTGGGTTATAAAAAGTATTAAGTGGTCTTATAGACTTACAGACTCTGATACATCTTATCATTAAGAGGAATGTTTATTTTTATGGTTGCTTCCCATTTCCTTAAGTATCATGCCAAAATTTTAAAACTAAGCCAATAGCAAATAAGGAAATTAATGAAAAATACAATAATTATTTTAATAGTGTTCTAAGAGACTCATGTGTTGCCTGCTTTATAGCATCATTAAAGATATATTTAACAGTTGTCAGCTATTTATTTGCTACCAGCATTTCAGCTCATGCATTTTTCTGCAAACATTAAAAAAAAAACAAAACAAAACAAAACAAAAACAATACATCCATGGACAGTAAGATTGCGATAGAATCTGAATATCAAATAGAAATATGATTCCTGAACCTTCAAAGGTAAAATGAATTATTAGAAATAATTATTCATTATTTCATCAATACTTAATCAATGCAACAATTTCAGCCTGTCTTTACTGCAGGTGTCAGTCTACGATTATCTATATTTAAAGTAATTAAAAGTTCATGAAAAGTAGGGCCATGATAAATTATGCAAACATTATCAAGTCAGCTAGATTCGTTTTTGACCTCTGGGGATAGGACGGGGCCACAGTTGAGAATCAAAGAAAAAATATTTTAATTTTAAAAATCTGCTTGTAAAGTGCATGATTATCATGATTAGTCATATTAATATGCATGCATCCTCAGGTAGTATAAATTCAAGTTGTTCAAATTATGGCTCCCAAGGATAAGTTGGAACCAATGCTTTGAATACCAGCAGGGCCAAGGTGACTTGGGTGAGCTTTGTGGCCCATGGGCCTCTAGTTGACAAGAATATAAAAATACTGTATACAGGGTTATTTGTGCCCTTTCACACTTGCAAACAATTTACCCCGTTTTAAATTCACCCAGTCACAGTTCTGAAGTTACTCCTGTTTATGAAATTATACTGATTTCTTTGAATTCGATCGCCCCCGTCTTAAACTCTCTCACTTGTGTCTTTGGGTGAAAATAAAATGGAGGCAAAAATTTCCCTGTATACAGTAGTATTATGAGATATGATTCATGTGATTAGCAGGACTTCAGAAATTGGAGCATGTGCTCTGTGGATAGCAGGTATGCAGATGATTGGGAAAAGGGTGCCCCCTACCCAAAAAGAAAACTTCTTGGGGATCAATCTCATATAGAAAACTTGCTTGCCAAGGGTTGTTCCAGTTCAATGTATACTATATAATTATTACAAAAAATATTATAAATAATACAAAAACAATACCAATTCGTTTTTCCATCTATTTTCATCTTCGCTAGCGAAGATGATCTACTTTGCACACTTAAATTATCATTCAAGATATTATTTTCCTTACCATTTGAGTAATTAGTTCCAAGCTATCTAGTGCTCTTTTTTTCAAAGTACTTCTGCTTCTGCCAAGTATTGCCCACAATCAACAAGCTGATTGATTGCAAATGGCAAATGTGGTGTGCATGATACGACAAAAATTAAAACTTTAAAAGGTGAAAATAATATTTCTTATTTATGGTTGGAAGGCAATCACCTGAGACCTAAAGGTATACTCAGGCATATACTTGTTTATATTGTTTGCTGACAACCTTATTTGTGGGAGGTGTGTGTTTGTGTTAGTTTTTTTTTTGGGGGGGGGTTGCTTCGGGGTTTTTTTTGGGGGGGAGGGGGTATTTTTTTGGTTCCGTTTATAAAGATAATATTTTTACTTCAAACCCGAGATTCCCATTCTTTTCTTTTTTGAATACGAACTTCACCCAACAAAATAATTCTGGATCCACCCCATGACCATGTTCGGAAAACAATAACGTTAGACATGCATGTTAGATGCATCAAAAAAGTTTCCTTGGTAGACCTAAATAATGGTAATTGCAGTTGATTTTTAACAGTCTTATCAGAGATCTATGATATTTTTGCATTAGGCTATCATCGAAAAATAGGCCTATTCCCTCCTTCTTGGGTCTCTACTGTGCATAACCAGCTGACAATCTTCCAAAACAAACTCAACAACATACCTTTAGGCTAATGATTTTAATCTTAGCGAATATGATATATTGCTTGCGATGTATTTCTTTAATGAATAAAATAAAATGAAATAAAAATAGTATTCTAGTAAAATGAATAACACTCTCACCTGCAGAGTTTGTTTACAGTGAGCCTATTTCGAAATCGGATACGTAACAGCAGTTTTTCCCCTTCGCCGTTGGGTTATACGATCATTCGCCCCCAAACGCTTTCGCCCTCATTGTACATGTAAGTGCATGGATCGCGCTGGTATGTTTTGCCATATTCCATTATGCACTAGTTCCTGCCACGATGTTTAGATCAAAATATATAAATAGCACAATTGAAATTTTTTGTATCGTATTTATGATTTTATCTTTCTTGATCTCTTCTGCTTTTTTTTTTAAACTTTATTTTTGAGAAAAAATAAACAAGATTTGTTTGTGAAACACTGATGCCCCCGTATGGCAGCTTATGGCAAAGGTTAAAGTTTCTCAAATGCAAGTCAAAATCCAGGCCAAAGGTAAAAAAATGTTGGTACCCAAAGAAAGGTCTTGTCTCGAGGAATATACCTGTGAAATTTGAAAGCCCTAGCTGCAACTGTTTAAAAGTTATGGCAAAGGTTAAAGTTTTTTAAATGTAAGTAAAACGTCTAGGTCAAGGTCAAAGTTGTTGGTATCCAAAGGAAGGTCTTGTCACAAGGATTACATATGTGAAGTATGAAAGCCCTAGCACCAACCATTCAAAAGTTATGGCCAAAGTTAAAGTTTTTCAAAAGTAGGTCAAGGTCAAAGAGGTTGATATCCAGAGGAAGGTCTTGTCACAAGGAATACACACGTGAAGTTTGAAACCCAAAGCGCCAACTGTTCAAAAGTTATGGCCAAGGTTAAAGTTTTTCAAAAGTAGGTCAAACTCCAAGTTCAAGGTCAAAGTTGTTGGTATCCAAAGGAAGGCCTTGTCACAAAAAATACACATGTGAAGTTTGAAATCCCAAGCACCAACTGTTCAGAAGTTATGGCCAAGGTCAAAGTCTCATAAAATTTTGCAAAAGTGGGTCAAACTCCAAGGTCAAGGTCAAAATGTCAAATATGATGGTATCCAAAGAAAGGTCTTTTCACAAGGAATACACATGTGAAATATGAAAGTCATAGCTCCAACCAATCAAAAGTAATGGGCAAGGTTAAAGTTGACAACAGACAGACAAACAGACAGACAGGAGAAAAACAATATACCCTCGGGATCTTTCGATCCAGGGGCATAAAAAAACGCACGAAAAAGATCCCTTACTGCTCAATGGCCCTTAGTGCCGAGTATAGATATAAATGTGCAGCCCTCCACTGGCAAGTGTTGGCGTCCCCATATGAAACATTCTCGAGAGGGACATTAAACTACGAACAAACATAATTACGTGAAATTTTCTGTGAATAAAAATATTACTTATAGTGTTGTCAAATCGGACAATTTTTAGTAATATCCGGCTATTCGCTTACTATTCCTACATTTACTTAATTGATTTACTCGGATGGTTTTTCATTAGAGTACATGTAAAAAGTATGATAACGGAGCGAGCGTTTCCTTCACCTCAAGAAGAAGTTTTTGAATAAAACTGCTTCATAGGAATTTAAAATATAAAACCATGCAGGTCGGCTAATAAAGGAGCACAATTAGTTCCCATCGAAATTCCAAGATTGTTGGAAGACTTGGTCTCCAAGGACTGCATAGATGTTGTCAATGAGGAACTCCAACATCCTTCTAATATCAAGTTCAGAGTACTTGTATGTAGAAACAGAATGATTTTTAACAAAGTAATTTTGTAGACGACGTATCACAAAATATGAAAATTTACGAGTTCCATTTTTATTAAGAAAGCGGGTGTTTATGATGTGAAAAAGCTTTCTCTTTAATTTGATTGTATAAAGCGTAGAAAAGCCGGTTAGGGTTGTAGTGTAAGATAAAACCAGAGACCTCAGAATGGAAAACTCGGAAGTCTCTGGTTTTATCTTACATTTATAACCCCAACCGGAAGATCTTGTATTCCGCTTAGAGTCTTAAAATGTATTGAAGGAACTTTCGAGGAATAAATGAGTGGTTAACAATAAAAAGGCTCGACCAGGGATGTCTGAAACGATTTATTTGACAAGAAAAAAAGTCTCTTGATGCAAACGACGTCATTTTAAAGTAGGTTTATAATGATTGCTATATTTAACAAACAAAAAAAAAAAGAGCTTGAAGCGGTGGTTCCTGAAATTGAGTTAGGTACCTTGTGGAAAGAAAAAGAAGGGATGACCCCATATACGAAACAAATGCCTATTACTAGAGAGCAGTCACTGCAGTATAGCGCCAAAATGTCAGAATCGGAGGGTTTAATATATTTTTGAATAGTCATTATAAAGAGTGACGTGTAAATGTCAACTATTAGAAAAAAGTACAAATTTAAGATTAACTTTCAATGAAAGATTGAATGAAATAGGCGAAAAGGTAATCTTGATCAAATGTCATGCGGAAGACCACGTGGAAGTTGAGGTTCTGTCAACTCCTTAATTGTTTTGAAAGGTTTCAAGTATGTAACATCTGAGACAATTTTTAAATACATTGAAATATATACGTCTTGAGCGTTTTTCTTTAAACTTAATTTTAAGACAATAATGTTTTTTTAAGTTACGACAGAATTTTAAGACTACAGAAAGTGGTGTGACAGAAGAAATTCGAGTCACAACTTTCACTCAATTTATGACGAATATTGCGATTCAAAATTACCTTTGAAAATACCTGCCTAATTGATGCGAAGTATTATTTCCTTTTTCATCGTTTTATAGAAACCAAGTGGAAATTCGCTTGTAATGTAACAAATATCAGGATATTGATACAGTGTACATATCTCTCTTGTCTATAGTAAAACAACTTTTTTAACCACGAGGGAAAAACATTGCTTTCATTGACACATTCATACAAGTTTTATTTAATTCAAAACACTGGTTTCTTTCTTTTTTTTTCATTCAAAAGTTGTGGGTTAGAACCTGTTTCAACAAACATTCAAATTCTGCAGTAAACAGAGCGTTGTCATGGTCTATATTATAAACTATAGAACAGATATGTTTTGTCTACAATTGTGTTTAAAGTAAAAAGGCTCGAAAAGAAAAATATAAGAATAAAATGAAACTAAAAATATTACTGATTGAAGTTTGAACGAAATATGAAGATAAAGAACAGTATTCAATCTCGAAAGTCCAATGAAACGATACAAATTTGGAGCAGAGCAAACACGGACCACAAAATTTAGAGGTGGGATCAGGTGCCATGGAGGAGTGAGCATCCCCTGCCGACCGGTCACACCCGCCGTGTGCTCCTTGTCATGACTGGGAAACAAAAACCGGAAATATCCGTAGACAGTTCAGTGTATAAATAATTGCCGAACAATCAGTATGAAAAACGCCAGTGAGCATTTGACTCAATGACAGGTTGTATGTGCTGACAAGGTCATTGTATCGAATATGTTTTCAAACGAGAGATTGGAGTACGTTTAACTTGAATTGCGGTGAAAACAATATTATACAGTTTTTCTGTTTATCATGTCTCAACATCATCCGGAACACCTCGGACCTTTCACAGAAAAACGACGTTTTTCTTTGAAAGGCCCGAGGTGTTCCGGATGGTCTCAACATGCTTCAATATAGCACTACTTCTGTGTATAAATCTAGCTCTCAATATATTCTCGCCATAACTTTGCAACTGAGAGGCACTGCAAAATTTTCGGATCTCGTAATTCTGAATACCGAAAAATAAAGACTCTGAAAATGTTATGAGGGTGTGGCATAAGGCCTGTAAGTTTACTGTAGCAGCACCAAGGTTTATACTGAAACTTATGATACATGTATTTGACAACTGAGAGAAGACTATAGAATTGTTTGTCTGATTTGCATTAATGTACGAAATTGCAAGCTGTTAAGTAAGATTAGAGATGCATCCCCTTCCCTAAATATCTAAGAAAAGAAAGTTTAATTTTAAACAGTTCATTAGTTGCATTTACAGTACCAATTATCTGTTTTGTATGCATAAGTTTTTCAAATAACACCCGTATTTCCCAAATTTAGGCCATAGAAAAAATTCCATCCTTTATTAAAAAAAATTTTATTGCAATTTTTCATTTTATTTTTCTATATTACACTTGAAAATAGGGTGGATGTCTTGAAAAATCTTATGAACCACTACACCAGAAATGCCAATATTTATAAGAAAGCTTCTTTACGTTGATTTATTCAAAACTGTTCCAACCATGACCCCCTGACCAATAGTGGGACCACAGGAGCAGTGCGAAATTCAATATAAGAATACATGTATACTTATACTGGAGATTCTTTCAAAAACTTATCAAGATCTACAATACCACATTTTGTTACAATACAATGCAAACATTCTGATATAGTGATGGTTTCAATTTTTGCAAACATTGACCCTCAGACCAATAATCGTGCCCCAAAAGGGGAAGGGAGATGTTACCCAAAAAATCTTGAAGAAAATGGAGGCAATGAATTTTTGAATTAGCATGGAAACAAGCTAGAATTCATAATATATGAAAATGAGTAAGAAGCAAACTAATATGAAGAAATTTTATGTTGCTTCATACCATATGCCATAGGAATCACAACCCCTTGTAAAAGCCAGGGGAGTTATTCTTCCAGTGAAAGAAATGATAAAATATTTTCTGAAAAGGAGCTGTAGTTCGTAAAATTAATATATAAAACAAATTATATGAAACCAAAATTGTTAAAGAATTTTCAGGAAAGTCATATATTTGCTTTCGGGGCCAGAGAGAGGCCACCAGTTACAAAGAAATATATATGGTTCCTGTTTGTTTCAACGTTTCAGATTTTTTTCTTTTCCAGGCCAGTTTAGAATCAAAATTATGTTCACAATTTATTTTCAAAGGGCCAAATAGTATAGAAACCACAGAAATTTTGGTCTTGAAGTGGCAAGTGAGTTAATAAGTACAGAATGTAGTTATTTATATCGCATGATAAATCTATTATTTCTTTCAACAATTTCCACAGCCTTTTCAAAAACATCAATTCCATAGTTTGCAGAATGCCAGTCAAATGGACAATATTGTAACTGCATATGAAGGCGAATCAAGCACGGGTCTCGGATTGTTAGATTTTGAACTTCAATGCCAAACTGT